AAACCGCTCTTCCATTTTTCGAGGTTAATTTTTCTGTTTGTTTTTAGTGTTAGAATGACCTGAAGATGGTAAAGTACCCATACTAGCATAAATCTATGAGATATTTTGATAAATTTATAGTTTTCTTAACATTTCAAAATTGTCTACTTTTTTTTGATACACCCTGTAGTGTGATCTTAAGATCAATGCAATTATTGTATATGTCTTCGGGTTGAATACTTGAGTGATGTTTCACTTTGGACGACCCATCCTCCTTAATTTTCTTTAGCTTTGCGTTTAAAGATTTATTTGCTGTTTTAAAAACAGGATCAGTTATGATTGAAAACGTCTTTCCTACTGTCTCTGAGGATAAATATCGGTTGATTCCTGCTCTCACAGTGACATGAGCTGAACAACTATAGTCTTTCCCGTCGCTTTGTTTCAGTTCTTGATAAAACTTGGTTAGTCGTTCTGCCAGTGTCTCTTTGCTTAAACATTCCAAGTACTCAGTAGGATATCTTACTTGCAGCCATTCTTCAAATAAAAAACACTATAAATAAGTTTTTCATGAACGTAAATGTGAATTGTCAAAATGTTCAGAGCAAACAAAAAGCAATTATTGTGTTTTACAATTACCTTTAAAGTTGGATACACTCCATTTTGTTTGCTTTTTGGTACTACCCGGTATCGAATCATCGATAATTTGCTGAATTTCTTCGTCGTTCACTTCCGAAAATCTTGACGTTGAACCAGCTTCGTTCATGCTGGCTGCCATTTTTGAATAAAGTCAATAAACCACGATTTTCGTGGGTTATCGCGAATAAATTAGGATTTTCATGATCTGTCGCCAGGAAACAAGAAACCACGTGATCGATTTTGACCAATCGCGTGCTTAGATTTAGGCCAGTGCACGAAGATTGTATATTAATTCCTGTTAAGCTAATATATTTAGGTCCAAAAAACAAGACTTTGGTTTTCTTTTATATATTAATTTGTTAAAACCTATAGGTAGGAGTAGGTTCTTTCAGTTTTTTATCCATTTTAATGTACATATATAATTTTATACAGAATTTTAGCAGAACTTAGTGAGCATTTGGACTACATATAGACTATTTTAGTATTACCTTATAACTATATATTACGATTTTTGGCACTTCACTAGATGTAGGTAAATTCTAGAGGTTGAAAGAGTGTTATAATTTCGAGTGGAATTATACACACTTCAAATTCAAGCCATGAACAGTTGATGGAAAAATAAGTCAATTATCGGTCCTCCGGCAGGAATCAAACCTACGCTTTTGCGATGCTGATTCAATGCTTTTGCCCCTCAGTGGCGGAGGACCGATAGTTTACTCATTTTTTCATCAACTGTTCCTGGCTTGAATTTGAAGTGTGTATAATTCCACTCGAAATTAAGACCCTTTCAACCTCTAGAATTTATCTTATATATAGTATACAAATATACGGATATTATAGCGTGCAGTCTATGAAATCTATTATTAAACAACTGACTTTTCCCAGTTTCGTTTTTACCCGTACAGGTTAGAACAGGTTTTGATAACTCGTTTTGCTGACGTATTTTCGCATTTTCTGTTAATTTTATTCATATAAAATTCATTAATATTTCAATGGGACACGACTACATTTTGACCTGATAAAACTAGAGAGTAATACGTATATTTATATGGGAAAGAATATACGCTGAATTTTGTACGCTCATCAAAGTATTTAAAAAAATTTGCTCCGTCACTTGTCTTTTCTATGCGTAAACTCGAACTTTTGGGGTTTGTTTGAAGAACAAGGCTCGTGAAATGAGGTTATCTGGTCTATTTTCTACAGATTTCTTATATTGGCGGAAGGAGAATATCGCCGCCGCAGAGAATTCAAGTTTACCTTAGCTTAATGCGATCGCCTTTCTGAAATTCCCAACTTGAACATAATAATTGAACGAAATAAACCAAAATGTTATACGCGAGAGAATGGAGACGTCATTAGAAGTGTTTACAAATGCATAGCAACAGATAATTTGAATTGAATTACCGCACGGTTTTAGGTTTATGCGCGACATTTAAACATTCAGAATGTTGTGCACTTGTGTAATACAACTTTCTCTGCAATGGGTGATCTTTTTTGTCTTATATAAAATGTTGTTGATCACGGTTATGAATTTTGCTCGCCCTGCGCACTTTGAGATAAACGCCACATCGCCAATTGTTTTATTAAAAACCCGAATCCCGCTCTAGCTTATGCTTACTGTTGACCGCACACAACTTTACGTCTAAATTACGTATATTAGTAATACTTACAGATATTAAAACTGTCGTGTCGACCAAACTCGTTCACCAACAGGATTTAGTTTCTTTCAGTGAAAATTATTTGAAACCTGCGTCATATATATACCGAAAAACTAATCAAGAAACAGGTTATTTCGCACCAACTTAAAGCTGGTAATACCTGTTATGCTAAACCTGTTATAGCTAAAACTGGAGTTAGAGGATGTTTTGATAGTTGAGTTTAAAATTCTAAACTGAAGCATTTCAGTGAGAGTTTTAATAACTTTGAATACGGTTCGGTGGCCTTCCTTTGACCCTTTAAGCGAAGTCTCAATTTCGATTCCAGCAAATATTATTTACTATAAATACAGATATGATTGCATAAGCCATGTTTTCCTTCTGTCTTATTAATAGTCTCGTCGCGTAATTAAAAAACCCGCCATGGGAAAAACCCCCCATGAAACCGACATCTTATGAGCTTGATTTAATGAGACAGTTGTGAGTAAGCTTTTAGAAAACAGGTATTAGAGTATTCCTGCGCCAGTAGTTAAGCATGTAAATTTTAAGAAAAGTTAAATTTTACATGGCGTAATTCTTGGGACACCCTGAGTCCCTTCCAGAGGGTCTTGAAGGGGTAAAATGGGAATTGGGCCTTTTACAAATTATACATAAATTTAAATAATATTCTTTAAAGGCTGCGGTTTTTACAATTCATGCAGATGGGCATTTCTTATATAAAGTCCTACTGGCTGGGACGTGGATTTTGCGAATACTCGAAGTGGGAAAAAGGATTGGGACCTTCAAGACCCTCTTAACAGTGCAAGACCGATTGCTTCAAGTAAAAGTCAAAACGACCGTATGTAAACAAACGCTTTGTTTACAATTTGAACTTCAATACTTTTTAAAATTACGTTGTGTTTTCTGAATATCTAACAACATTTATAGGTTCGCTATGTCTTTAAATGAATACCAACTAGTGTTTTGATTTTAAACATACGAAATTTGGGGAAAACTTTTATTTGTGGACCGCACATTGCTATGAACCGAACCGATGGACTTTAGCAGAACTTGCCTTCCATTTTAATAATGTTGTCAGAAGAAACGTTGATTGGTCTCTTTAGAAACGTCAACGATTTCCGGTCAAACCCGAATTTTTGAAACGTAAACAAACATGAAAAATTAAGCACGTCTCATGGCAGCTTGCAAACAGCAGTAATTCACAGTGAATCTTAAGTCTTTTGATTAAATTTCAAAACCTGCATAGAAACCATGAACAGCCGACAGTATAAAAAGGTAAAGTAAAAAAAAAGAGAAGACATATATATATATACGATTCAAGGTCGAGACTGTAAATTTTCGACTTTATTTCAAAGTCACCTTCAGACAGAATTTCGTCTTCATATTGCTAGCTATAGAGTCCTCTTATTAAGAAAGAAGGTGGAAATCAAGTTGCTAATGGTTTAATTGCTGCCGGCCCCGAAACCTTGGGTCGAAAGCAGACACGAGCATAGTGAAAACATATGGAAACTAGCTGCAATATTTGTTGTATTGCTCTTTTTCAGCCTTTGTCATCTCGGCACGGCGAAAGTGTCCTCTCGTTTCTGATTGGTCGAAAACCCTTTCGATACTCACCTGAATTTTAGATTTTTTGGATTTTGACGTCATGACAAGGGATAAAGCAAAAAATTGCGGAAAATCCTTTTATCAATTCATGGATTATACTTGTTTGAAACGAGTAGATGCCAATGGCACGCCACATGCGTTTCGCCGTGTTGAGTTTTTCAGAATTAACTTTTAAAGATTATAAATAATGAGTGAGGGAAATGATTTTTTATCGTTTATGTATAACCTCAGGAAGTGGAAAGAATGGGCAATTCGCTCCAGCCTTAAAAGGGGTGGCGGACTGGCCCCAAATCAATGATGTATATATATATATATATATATATATATATATATATATATATATATATATATATATATATATATATATATATATATTGTCTATTCGTGATGGTGAACGTTTGGGAACAATTCGCTCGCGCGACCGTACAAAATTGAATTAATTAAATTATTTTTCGGTGTAATTGCGGTGCATAGATTATTTTTTCGAAATTAATATATCTAGGTACAGGGTGTATACTAAAACAATTTTCGCCTTCATTGACTATTCGCTCATAGACAACTCGGACTCGTTGTCTAATTGTTAAATAGTACAATAGAAAAAACACGGGTAAACAAAAGAAGGTGAAGGCTGGGAACCCCTTAAATTTTTTCTAAAGGACCCTGCATATAGCCTTTTTCAGTATACAGCGTATCCCATGGGATATTATCAGTAATACGTCTCATAAATAAATTTTCTTAGTTTAATTAGAAATTATTTTAAATTGTAATTAAGAAACACTTACGGTGCTTTAAGCTAAGCTGTAGGTACATACTACAGTACAGAAACCATTTAGACTACATTATAATTTACATTTCTTTAAAGGCATGAAGCCTTTTTAATTACAATTCTTTACCGACGCAAAGTCAAGGAAGGTGTGATAGGATATTACAATGTTATATTATTGTTGCATATTTTTATGTGCGAATTTATAGCAGATTAACGTCTATTCGAAGTTCCTCTAGAAATATACTAAATTTAAACTAAATGTTTTTAAACGTTCACACCGCTGTGAATAAAACCAAATGCTTGTAAAAAATCGTGCTTTGAAAAACACCGTCATCATGCTACGCTCTCGTACACGCTTGTCACATCTCGTTTTCCTTCCAACTCAAAATCTTAAGAATTTCTGAGCTTGCTTCCCATAATTCATTATTTTCTATGAAATCAGCGACGTGCAATTTTGCAACGACTAGAGGTAGAGGGTCGATATATCTTCTGTGATCATCTCGACCCAGTCTTGTCATCTCTTTCATGGCATTGTCGTGACTTTCTTCCCACCGTATATCTGCGGTCGACTTTTTCCACTGATTTCCTTCAAGCTCGCGACCTTTCCGCCATTTAGCACATCTCGAAAACCTCAACAATTCAAATAAGGTTTGGCACCTTCGATTTTCCACAAAAATCAGGGGGACCTCTCTTAGCACCTCCGCTGTCTTAATCTCAACCATCTTACGAAATCTGACAATATTTACGCCTAAAACGAAAGGAATAGTATTTCTCCATGTTCGGCGGACTAAGTCGGGAAGGTAATACGCAGCGTGTTCTTCTGCTTCAGTTAATTTGATGTCTTGCAAATTCAGGACCTTTTTTCGTGCCCACAGCTCTGCACATTTCACGAGTAGTTCCTTCGAACTTTTCTGGCATTGACGCGATCTCACCTCACTTTTCAGGAAATCCGACGCTACTATACCTAACTTCATTAAGTAGTTGACTCGCTTAAACATTTCTACAATGTCTTCACACTGCGACCGATGTTTAGACTTGGCTTTTACCATCATCTGCAACAGTTGTTCAAAGTCAAACTTTTTATGATGGGCAGCTGCGTTTCTGTAAATAATCAATGTTTTCACGACATTTTTGTGCTGTTTCGTCCATAATTCATTCCCTTGTTTTGCTCCGTCTATAATGCAGGCTTCTGTTAACTGCTGCCATTTTTCATAAGAAACGGGGTCGTGTTGTATGTGAGTTAATATTTGACGGATTGCATCGATTTCAATTTCCTCGGTTTCTGGCAAAACGAATTTCCCCACGTGATATTCCATAATTTTCATTGCTTCACCAGCATCTATGGTATCTGCACACTGGGCTTTCATCTTAACCGCTATAATTTCCGTTTCCAGCTCTGTCACTTTCTCTTCGAGCCCAAATACCCGCCTTTTTAACACTTCTATTTCCCCATTTTTCTTTTGAAGTTCGTCATTGTTCAGCTTTAGCAATTCTTTAATCTCTTTCTCTAAATTTTTTGCCTCTTCATTCACGACACTTGGGTATTCTCCAAATTTTAATCGACGCGTTCTTCTTAAAATACTGGTGATTGTTCTCGACATATCATCCCTAGTACCAGAAAAATTTGTTTCGTGGCCGTTTCCATGCCTGCTTGCCATGATTTGCTCACGTCTCTGATTATTTGCTATAACCTGCATGATGAAATAAAAAATGTAGATGTACTTCCAACTGTCAAAATTCCGTCCAGACCGAGCGGGCAAGCCTGAACCGAGCGAGCGTAGCAGCATCCTAATTTTGTGCAGTAGGCAGTAAAGCCGGTTTTCCACTAGATGATATTTTTCAATCGAACAAAATTTTTCGCTCGATTTTCTTTTCAATTGTGGCCGTCAAGAGAATCCGCTACGGTCGAATTCTCACAATTGAAGGCGGAAAATCGAGCGAAAAATTTCTTTCGATCGAAAAATTTCGATTTACGCTTTAGATTCAAGTGCGCATAAACATATACATGTATATATATATATCAATAACTATCTTATCAGCAGAGAGAAAAATAAACAATAAACAAAGAGAAAATACCAAAAATACAACATACGAAATAACCATGCAACTTTCATGAGTGCCGACTGCCGCGTGGGACGAAACGTTACACACTAGCTAGTTTAATTAAAATTCCTCGAGAATAGCTATCATGCCTGTCCGGAACGCTGCTTCACAGCTCTCCATCACTACGCCTAACGCCCTTTCTATTTTCGAACTATACTCGTACTGATAAATGTCGTAATAAAATTCCAAGATCGAATCCTCCATCCTGAATGTGGAGCATGTATGAAAGGCCTCTTATTATGCAGTAACGTCTTTCATATAGTTTCAGTTTTTTAACACTGTCATACTGTGTGCTACGTAGTACGAAAGACTTAATTCGTAAGCTATCAAATTAAAATATCAATGTTTCACGAAAAGCATATATTTCATTACTTCAGGGATCACACAAACACATATAAGAACAAGTTTTGAACAACATACTTTTGTTTATATACGGCTGCTAAAGATAAAAAAAACTTTGTTGAGATTACCACCTCCAGTTGACCAGTTCATGAACATGCAGCCATATTGTTTGATGTTTTTCACCACATGGAAGTTGTGGAGTATGCATGAAGTTGTTTCACCAATATGAAACATTTTGCGTGGGCTATAGTAATACTTGCATGATGCTTCTATCCCACTGTGATGATGCATATCCAAATCGTAACTTGTTCAATGTAAATTGAACTTTTATACCGAAGTATATCAACTTTTATATGAAGAAACTGAAATAATTAAATCCAACATTAACAGCTGGGAAATTTGTTGTCGCTGTGCAAAAAATCGCTGGCACATAGCCGAATGTTTGTCCGAGTTGGAATTTTGAACGAAATTCACAAAGCGAAAGTTTTATTGAGATCTGAATTTTTCTCCGCAATGATCGAAAAGTTTAAAGTATATATGGAGAGCTCCTTATTAGCTCACGAACAGCTGTTAGTGGCAGCCGGATAGCTCGGGATCTCAACGAAATCTCCAAACTTTTTGCACTAAACAAACTGTTAACAAACGAATCAATATATATATGTTTGTGTTATGATCTTGATTGATATTGTTCACGTCAAGAAAAAGCAAAAACTGGTCCAACGTAATGCCTCTTTTACAATGTCAATGAAATAGTTTGTATTAGTCATGAAAAGATAATTGTATTAGTCATGTATTATGATATAGCGGCGAGTCAGATATTTATATATTCATGTTGTTAAAGATTAATTTTATTTTCCAATCCATTGTCTTTATACAGGTCTGTTCACATTGCGCGAGTAACTTGAAAGCAGCAATTTAATTGCCACTATAAATCGGTGAGTCTTTTCATGTATTTCACCCGTATAACATTTTCATATCAGGAATATCATATTTTCAAACAAACATATAACTGTCATTGGATGTGTTAATTATTGTTTTTTAACACTACGGTTATTTGTATTTGTCTTTCACACGTATAGACAATAGCTAATATATTAATTTCTAGCTCGGCGATGTTGACATATTCCAAACATCTTGAACTTTCTCATTATTTTGGTGTGAAAGGTCTGCATAAATGCTAAAAATATTTCTTTAAATACAGTTTAATGGCATCATAAACAATTATTGGATGAGGCTGAAGCGAAACTGAGGCGGATAACATTGACCGAGGTCTGAATAATTCTTGATATCATGCAAAAGCCGAATCCAATAATTGTCTATTATACATTTAAAGGCATCAGAAACGATTAAACGAAGCTCATTAATGCTTATTTTATTTTCGCGCTCTTTTGGGTTCATGTTGCTGGCGCGCCAAGGTCTGGGCATGAGAGACTCCAATAATTGTTTTTTTTTTGGATGCTCGATCCAAAAAATAATCATTGAGCGCTGAGCACGTCAGCATGCAGCTGAAATGACGCATTAAATACAGAATATTGAGAATCAACCGTTACTTTCTGACCAATCAGGAACGACAATACACACAAAATGTATAATAATGTAAAGTAACGGAATGTGTGATAACTTCATTTTTTATTGTTTAACACATGCAATGATAATCTCATGTCGATAAATCACATCTATATCCCATACAGAATAACGCATAAAGGAAATTTATTTAATAAAAGCTATATGATTATAATAATATATTCTTGTATGTTTGTATGGTGACATTAATAAGTAAATTAGCTTGCAAGTACACCACGTAAGTATTCAATACTGCAAAGCTGTTCGGTCTGTTATAACCCGAGCCTTCATCATGCAGTGATAAGGATGAAGGCTCGGGTTAACGGACCGAAAGCTTTGCAGTATTAAATACTTACGTTGTGTATCCACAAACTTATTTACTTATATAAATATACGTGAAACGTTCCGCAAAATAGTCTAACATATGGAGGTAGTACTTACAGATATTTAGAAGAAGCTCCGTCGATCGGTCTTATCACATCATACTCTTAAGCATCTTTGAACAGCGAATGACGCAGGGCTTGTTTTGTTATATATCCAGGTGCGCGTATGTCAATTGACCTTTCTCACGATGACGAACATCCGCCATTTTCGGGGTGCTTTCAATTCTATTAAATGCGTTCAAACAATAATAGCAATATATATTAATGTAAAAAGCATTTTTTTAAGAGTCCACAGACCATTTGAACAGTAAATTATGCCTAAGATAGCCGCCCTGACAAGGTCTTGCGCTTACAATTAAAAAAACAATTACCCTAAAAATGGCCACACATTCGTCATCGTGAGGAAGGTTAATTGACCACACTGCTTGATGCTTTCATAACTATTTTTTATTATATACCACTTGTCAAGAAAATAAGATATCTATTCATAAAAGATAATTTCAAATGGATAAACAGTCGCACGTCCAGGTGCGCCACACGTGATTAAAGTTGTTATTTCCCATGGGAATGAAGTTTTCTTCATTTTTCCCTGTGTAAATGAAGCAATTTGATTGGCTGAGGCCGGTTTTTCTCATCTGGCCCGCTGTGAAATGCGACCGGCCCGCTGTGAAATGCAATCTGATTGGCTGAGGCCGGCTTTTCTCATTTGGCCCGCTGTGAAATGCGATCTGATTGGGTGAGGCTGGCTTTTCTCATCCGGCCCGCTGTGAAATGCGACGGGCCGGATTAAATCTGTAATAGATTTATTACCTCATCCCCGCTCGGAAATCGAGGACTAGTATGTGACACCAAAAAACTTTTAACGCAAATCCTTTGGCTTTGATCTTTAAAGCAAAGTCTTCAACCAATATTATTGTACTAAATTTATTTATGGAATGATAGAATTAGCTAGAATTCATATCACAAATAACATGTATAATGTAATTGGATCACCATCCAAACACAGAAATTTTATTCGCTTTTTGAAATCAAACTTAGAAGACAACCTTGTCCTTGATGTTGCTATTTTATAAGACAACTACTTATTCTGTAAAACAAAATCACTCGCCTTCGGTTCGTGTTTCGCGCGCTTTTCTTATGTTTTTCCTTTTCAAAACACTTATTTATCATAGCAGCTATTTTATTGTAGTTCTTGTCGTCGCGTCCCTGGCTCTGCTCTTATTTCGTCGTAAAACTTCCAACTTTGACTGATTCGTCAGACACCGAGTTACGTACACAATTATTTCATTTATATCAACTGAGTTAAACTCTTTGCACAATGATCGGGCATTCAAATTCGAGCAAAAGCTTGATATTAAACGGCGTACCCAGCCTTGGGAGTTCCTGCATGTACATTTTCCGAGAATCCGCGACACATCCAGCCGATCTGATGAGAGGCGCCTTAACAAAACCGAGTTAGCATGCGCCAGGAGTTATATTTGTCTCCGGATAAAATGAGTTAAAGAATAGCTTTGGGTTCATGAATGACATTTAAACGTTCAGGATGTTGCTCAGTTGTGCTCATAAAACTAAGAAGCATAAGCTAGGGTGACGTCGCTTCCTCAGCAACATATAGGGTCATGGCACAAATTGTGGCGAGTGACATGCAACAACCCAGAGGGCAATATAGTTGCACATGTTTCGCAACTGTTCCTGGCCAGGTCTTAAAGTGCGTATTCAGCCGATACTTCTACAACTATGACATAGATAAAAGATAGACAGATGTTCATTTCAGTAATAAAAATGTCCCAAGTCCCATGATGTTGCGTCATTTGTCGTGACGTCATTACTTTATGTTCTCTGCCTGTTTCACTAATGTTCCGGCATTTGCGAAAAAATTTGTGAAAATAAATTTATTCATTTATATCAATTAAAAGCCAACAATGTCGTGACGGTGCCGAATTACAGTCCTAGCAATACGAGTCCTCAGTCTTGTTCAAAATCTATAGCAGCGGTCAATACTATGGAAATACTTCATGCTATTTCTCTGTTTAACAGCCCCACGCAAGCTCTACGCAAGTTAACCACGTGATTAGTTAATCATCCGATAAACTTACAGTGATTAGCGCTGATCATTGTTAAACTGTTAACGACGTTTTTATTACTCGTTAGTACGCTTTTAGTTTAATTCCTGCCTATAAAAACCCCTCTTTAGCTGTTTATGATACCCGGCTTTATATATATAATATTTCAATAAAATATCTAAAATATTTGAGAAACGTACGCTGCGAAAACAATGCTTGCGAAACAATTTCATTATATCGAGGAACTTGAAAAACTTTCAAGACCTAATTTCATCTATATATATTTTATATTATATACATATATATATAAAATATTTTTTTAGAACAAACCTTTTTCCTTTACAAATCATAGATTGCGTAGCAACTTTGTTGTGTCAGCTGTTGTGTCGACTTTGTTGTGTCGGCTGCAATGTTCCGATATTTAAAGATGAGAACATTGCACTGCAGGATTCTTAAAACGACCTTGTGATAATGTCACAATCCAAACAGGCCATGTATCTGCCCAAACAGGCTCGCAGTTAAATAAACTAAGCAGAAGTTTCATTAATTGGTATCACGAAGCCGCCTCATTTGATACCCTGTTTATACATTTTTGCACCTTTTATCGTGGCAATTAGGTTTCAGAGCTTTTCAATATTTTCCTAATTCCAGCAGCCTTAAATCCTTTTAACTGATTTTGAATGTTTCAGGATTTTCAGTTTGAAAAGAAATGGATTGACCTTAATTTTTCTGTCATTGTTAAAAATATCTTGTCGTATGTTTACGAATTAAATGTTAAATTAAATATTTATGAATAATGGTAATTATAATTTCGAGAAAAGGCTTAAAGGCTTAAAGGATCTCATTTGATCTCATTGTTTTATATTCGCTCTCAATTTTACTATTTAAGTTCTCAATTTGAAACATCAATTTCAATCTAAAACTAATGCGCGAAAACAAAACGAAATTTGAATTCGGGAACATTAGAAAACAATGAAGTGTCTATATCCTGGAATATTTGCTTGGACGTGTCTTTTTGTATCATGTCGCGAACTAGATGTCGGTTGCTCAATAGACTTAAATTGCAAAACCCGAAAACTATTAAAACCACTCATTGTTAAAATTTGAATGCCGTGTTCACGTGCCCGTGGGGATTTAATGCAATTTATAAAATGCTAAATACGAAAAATTTGAAATTGTGAATATGGTTAAATTTAAATTAGCCTTGTTATTGCTTCCGAAAAAAATGGTATAGCTGACCGCGAAACAGCGAGTGTTTATTGTGATATTATCCCAACAGAGTGCTCAGGCATTCAAACTCAAATAATTACATCGTTATGGGCGATTTCAATAGTTTTCGTTTTTTTACGGAGACACCCTGTATATATATTTAAAACAGTGTGGTAGATTACATAATTATCACAATAGGTGGATACAATTAGTTTCACAACAGGTGGTTACATATATGATCTGTTTGCATCCTAAATATAGTCACATCATGCATGCAACAACTTGCAAGCTGATTTCCATCACAGTTATTAGAATATACATGGGGTTCGGAAGCTAGATGGAAGTACAATACAACTCATTAAGGAACTTTAGCAGTGACTACGAGTACGACTACGAGATTCGTCATTCTTTTGCGTTGTTTGCTTACGCCATCAGTCAAAACTCGTAGTCTTTGAGTACGAGTTTTTTGATAAATTTCGTACTCGAAAGCCCAACGACTACGAGTTTTGGTTGATGGCGTAAGCAAACAACGCGCGAGTATGACGAATCTCGTACTCGTAGTCACTGCTAAAGCTCTCTATTATCTACAGTAGTCCCCCGCTAACTCGAACTCGCTTAACTCGAACTCCTCGCTAATTCGAACAAATTTTGTTTTCCCTTGGTCAAATATATCCGGTTAACTCGAACTTTGGTTTCGAATAATAGATCAGCAAACTTTAATCAAAACCGAATGACCAGTTATTCATCGTTAATGCAGAGAGACCCAATAATATATGTAGATTTTTAGGATGAATTTGTAGTCCGTTTCTTGCCATCCAATTTCGGATATTTTTAAGCGTTTAAAGTTAACGTTGAAAATGCCTAAAAGCTCATCACAATCGCTAGAGGATGCGCAAATTATAGTCTCGTCGGCATAAAGAGATGGATCGTAGCTTTGTAGACAATTTGCCGTATTGGCCATTATTAAACATTAAACCATAACTCAAAATATCACGAGAATTTAAACATTTGAACAAAAACTATTATTTAATCCGATCGTGAATTCATTTACAGTCGAGAAAGATGAATTTACTCCCCTTTTGTCCAGCATGCGGAAAACTTACCGGACATGAGCCTTGTTTATAATTGTCGAATAAGATAAAGCTCAATTAAAAAGCGGACGTTAAATGTCTTAAAGGGCAATACAAGCCGTTCAGAATTAATTCACAAACTATATATTAGCTTCGTGTTTCCCTCAGTTTTCGTGTGATTTATCTTTCTTCTACAAACAAACCACGCAGATTAATGCCTCAACTCTCAAAATTAATAAGCCGCTGTTTACAAATGTTTCCTTTCATAATACCCTAAAACAAACTTTAAATCAAATTTGAACAGAACACAGAAGTTTTGAAATGATCGCAACAAGCTGTTTAAATATCAAGTATTTCATCGAGAAAAGATGGCGCCGCCGACGTTAAATTTATGAATGAAGGGAACCAACAAATAACTCATAAACGCGTGCCTAGCGAATGGTCGGTTGACGTATTTTTATATTTTGAAAAAGGAATTGATGGCGGTTCGTTGTACATGATCAAATTGTTAAAACGCTGAAGTTTGAAAGGGGAAAATATCATTTTTAAACAAAACTACAAGCGGATAGGCATCAATTATTGAAACCTGAAAAGTAATTGTTGATACAGGCGAGGATGAAGCCTTAAAAGTTTGTGTAAATCTTGTTCCAATTTATCTAATCAGTTTCAGCGAAAAGTATCAATGTTAGTAGGACACTGATATCAGTAAGCGTCATTATTACTTAAGAAAAGAACCGACTAACGTTTTAAAACGTGTGGTCGAAGTCGAGCGAATTCGAAATCAGAACAGTTTCCTTTGGTTTTGAAAGTGCTGAAGCCATTTCGCCGCTTGCTTTCAAAACGCTGTGTAAGTATATTCCTAATTTAAGAAGTATTGTTAGAAACAGTAGCACTGTAGTATCAAAACAAAACAAATTAAGAGAAAGGGTGGTAATAATTTCGGTAAAAATAAATTACGTTATTCTACTTTACGAGGTAGATATTATAATAAGATGTAGACTATAAGTCTATAGTTCTATACAAATTAGTCGTAAAAACTTCGGTGGGAATATTCGCATATATAGCCCAGGGCAAAAACATTTATCAAGGATTATCCGGTAATACGTTAAGGCCTTAATCGACCCTAGAGCCATTTATTTAAATTCACTTTTAAAGAGGAACGTATCTCGCTGTTTAAAATAGACCCAGACGGAGAACAGATTCATGCACAAAGAATATCGCAGATGGAATAAAACTTTCTATAGAGAAAATTGTTGCTTTCAAGAGGAGATGAAAAGCACAAATTTAACCTCAAGCATAAATACGAGCGACGAAAGTTGTAACAGAAACTACTTCGAAATGTTTACATTTTTGCTGGCAATCTCGACAAGCTTGTTGTCAAATGCAACGTTTTCAATGGCGCTTCGAAAACTACACGCGCCTAAGGAGAACAAATTTCATCTGGTTGTGAAAATGTTCGCTGTTAGCAACACGCTGGTTGTTGCGCCATTGCTGCCCGTCTCCATCGCCTCGTACGTGCAATGCACGTGGATCGGAGGCTATGTGACCTGCGCTTTAACTGGCGTGATCTCAGCCACGTTTCTAGGTTGGTCGGTAACGCTGATGCTCATATTGTGTTTTTATCGATTCCTGGCAATATGTCGACCATTTTACTACAGAACCAAGCTGACAGCGAAGCGCACAAAAGTTATAATGTCGCTATCTTTCCTGTGGAGCGCAGCGCACTTGAGTTTACCTTTGTTCGGGCTCGGCCGATTTCGCGTTCACCAAAAAGGATGGTACTGTTCCATCGATTTGGCGTCGACGAATTCTGCTGATATTCTAGTCGTTTACCTCATCATAGCCGAAGGGATATTGTTCACGTTGGTCTTGGGGCACCTGTACCTGACCGTCCGCAAAGTAGTGAAAACCGAGCGGAGAGCCTCGATGCAGCTCTCGCCTGAACAATCCCGGGGGGCGAATGTCCTAGTTATTGGAAGAAAACGTGACGAGTTTGCTAGGATGACATTGCTCATCGCCGTCGTCTATTGGACATGTTCGTTTCCGTATTTGGTGAGTATCAGTTTTGCTGTAGTAACTCCCCCCCCTAGACTAAAGACATACTCCTTAAATTATAGAAGGTCGAATATACATGGATATGGTGTACTCGACCTTGGTAAGGTAATAAAGAAATCAGTGAAGGTCGAATATACTGGAATATGATATACTCGACCATGGAAAGATAGTAGTTGAGTATAACGGAATATATACTTTCCGTTTTTCCTCTAGAGTTATCGTGCAGCATTTGTGTTCTCAAATGGCAGATACCACGATTCTGATGCGTATTTCTACACTCAGATGATCGCTTACTTCAATTCCTTTCTAAATATCGTCGTGTTCCTTGTTATGAACAAACAATATCGAAAAGCGATGAAAAGATGGCTGGGAATTAGAAGTACAGATGTAGGTAAGATGGGACATTTATGGATAGGACTAGATAGGCGATAGCACTGCTCGTTAATGTACCAGGAAAACCCTGGGCTTCCTGGGGAGAGTCTCAGAACCAAAGTATGAATAGTCAACGCGAGAAAATTCAAATTTTCAAATTTTGAAACTTTTGTTTGTTGCCTTGTGTACAAAGTGAATAAAGATAATGTTGTTCAACATTGATTTGTAGCCAACAATCAGATTTCAAGTGAGCGTCAACCACAACACATCGTCAGTCAGGAAAGCATAGATGCACTACCTGCCCCAATCGAAATGTACTTTGAAAACAGGTCAACGTCTTTGTGATGCCGTAAAGAACAGTTTTCTATCATCAAGGTAACCTCGTGAAATGTTTGAGCAAAATGTAGTCGAACAATACACGAAAATAAAGATGCAATAGACCAGCAGTTATGCTTAGAGTTAAACAACCAAAACCGCTTGGATTTCCAGCTTAACCGCAACACTTGCGTCTTTGATATTCTCTTTACTTGAGAATATCAGGCACATTGCTGCAGTTAAATAAATTAAAGCAAGTTTCACTTCAGTAAATCAGTAAATGAACTTGTATTCATAATTTGTGGCTTGAGCGAAAGTATACAACAGAAACAAACTATAAATTTTCGAACAACTGAATTCAAATAACAATCAATTGTGTAGAAGTAAACACAAAGTATATAAACCTCCATCAGTGGGTTATTTCAGCCTTCCACCAGGCTGTCTCCACTTTCTCAAATTTCTTCACGGTAGAAACAGGTAAAAAAGAACTTGAAGATTTACTTCTTTTGCAGTGATGTGAGGTAGATAGATTCGAAACTTTGGAGTTTATCAAGTCTTTACTGTGGTGCAGGGAAATCATTGTTTACTGATCAAGGATGTATATTGGCACTATTTTACATCCGCCACATGTCGAAGTAACGACCAATTGCATAGGATTTTTGCTGAAGAAAGATCATAATGATGTAAAAATTCATCGTAACAGTGTTGTTAGGATCTCCCAATGTGTTGTTTCACGAGAGCGATGCGATAACAAACACAACGGACCAAAAATGCTTGTAATTTTTTATAATCTCTCTTCCAACCTTCGATCTTTTTGTCGATCAAGCCTCGTTGTTCGACAAAAATGCGAGTCGGGATGAGTCCTCGGGGCTAGTCATAGGACTTTCCGATATTGGATAAGTCGATAAACTGACCCTCGCGTTTATATGAACGCTGACCTTCGGCTTCGTCACGCTTACACTGGGAACGCTCGGAGCTCGAGATTTCCTCCGGTTGCCCGAAGCCCCGGCCAGAAATTTGTTGCTGACGTGGATCGAAGCTTTCCGACCCCTCCCCGAGCATTTACACTTACACTCCTCGCAACAACAGCACGGCGTTTGGCCATCGTCGCTGCTTTTTACGGAGTATACCGTTTCAAGTTTCTCGTTTGTTGTCGAGTTGATTATGCGCTGAAGACCGATAATCTGAGAATTGAGAAGATTGATATATACAATCGATTAAAAAATAAAAATTGATTACCAAATAATTGATCATATAATGTATGGATGTTATTATCAGCACGTTAATTGGCGCTTAATCGATAGTTTAGGTAATACTTTGCATTCATTAATTGTGAGTAAATCAATTAGTTGTGGGTCAATCAATTGATTAGAAATGAATGACTTAAAGTCGATTAATCAGTTAAAAAAACCTTGTTAATTGACATTTGAATTGATTGAACAATCGATCAATCAATTAATCTAATCAATTAAATATTTGGAAACCACAGTAACGTTTTCCAGCCATTCACAAAATCTACCCAGGTAGAGTTAGGTACCTTACCTACCCGTGCACTATCTTACTTACCTTAGGAACGAACACAATCCCCAGGGTGGCAGCTGTACATAATACGACCACAAGCGACATTAGGGCCAGGTACACGTTATAGCGATCAGACCCCGCCATTGTCGTCGCCAAAATCACACCAATAACGGACAAGATGACGACATTATAAACGGAAATACCAATGTATTTGGAGTCATTCAGGGCTTTGATTTCGATGTTTCGTGTTTCCCACGCGAGGAAAATCCCGAACACCAGCAAGAGACCCTTATATCCTAGGGTGGTTATGAGAAAGTATTTTTCATGTTTTGAAGTGCAGTTGAAGATGTATGGATGGATAATTTCGTCCGCTTCATTGTCGTCCTAAAAAGAGGTAGAATATTTTCTCAGGGAAGGATATTTTTAGTTCTGGTCTTTTAAATTTGCGTTGCCACTGGGCCTTCAACAAAAAGTATTGTGCTTTATGCTAGTTAAAAGATCTGAGAATTTCAACATCACATTTTCATTCAGTTTGCTGAATTTCGTCTAGCAAAATTACAAAAAAAACGACTTCGGGAAGCCTTTTTGGAAAGAAATATTATTGTCTAGGTACTCGGTGCTAGGTACTAGTCAGCCAACCAATAATGCTGCAGAAATTATGCCAAAGGTGAAGTTGAATTGGGATATTTTTTATGCATGTATAATCGTGTTGATATTTAACAATTATTGGATGAAGTTGAGTGTGATATCGAGAATTATCAAGCCGAAGTTTGCATTATTCGCCGAAGCGAATATGAGGCGGATAACGCAAACTGAGGCTTGATAATTCTCGATATCATGCGAAAACCGAATTCAATAATTGTTTTATTATGTATTTCCTTTTTAGATAGGAAGCCTGCGCCATTATTGACAACAAACTAGCGGCAAAAAATTACGTCACCTACGGATTATTTTCAATGTCGTGTAGGTGGCAAGACATTGAGAATTATCTGTAGCTTTTTAGCCAATCACAATCGAGATTGTATTAGCAGTGCATAATAATTGGTATCATTGGGCAACAATGTTGGAATTCAAACTTAAAGAAAGGCGATGATTTTTTACATATCAAACTCTAGGCATACCTCCGAGGGGAGTGAAAGTGTCCCGGAACGAAAAGGACTAATGACCATCCATACAGTTAATAACAAACAGTCCACCGCTAACAAGCCGAAGAGCAGACCATATAGATGGAAGTTTTTGATGACCTAAAAAAAAAACGATGAAAAATTTATATTGCAGGGCAAATCTCGAAGAAAGGCATAAAGTATGAATCGGAAATCGATCGTGCAGCGGCTCGTACCGCTCTTCTGAAATTCTTGGAAGCGGTGAATATTCTATGAACTCTCCACGTTTTACTGAACATTGCCCCAAATGCTGTTGTGAAACCAAGCGACATCATCCATACTCGAGCCTATAATACGAAGAATATATATTATTTACGAGTTTTATTGTCCTTATAGATTGACATTCCAGCAACCGTTGAGTCAAGGTCTTCAAAATGGAACAAGAAAACTTCTCTATGTCCTACAAATCAAAACTATGTACTTTCTCAAAAAAAAATACTAGAGTATTATGCGGTCAAATTGTTACTTTCCCCCCTGAAACACTATATGTTGGCAACTCTTTCAGGGGGGAGAACACTAATACGATTTCGTTTTATCCCAGAAGCATTCTAGATTTGGTAATTTACAACTAACGTACATTGCAAAAGTGACCGTAGGTTTCCAAGGAAACAAATCTCGAGTCGAGCGTGTCGAACACGACTTTGGTGTAACAGAGAAATCCTCCAAATATGATGATATTGTTGACGTGGGGCGATGACATTTTTATATATCTGAAGAAAAAGGATTTGGAAAGATGGTTGTTAAACGCATATAGTTAATAATAAACACATAAAACCAGGAATGCATGCGCGTACAATAGGCTAAGCACCCGAGGACGCAGATTCAAAAACATACCTAATTTCACGATTTTTGATGTTGAAGTAAAACAAGGCCAGAGCAATTGTGATAGCGAACGCACACACGACCCAAATCGCGATCAACAGTGTCAAAGAATAATGCCGTAGTTCATTAATATGACGGGGACCATCTTGGATATATTTGGTACCTAGAAATAATATGGGACGACAATGGTTAAAACTAGAATCTTCATCTACAACTATTGGCAATAGCAAATCTACCTGGGGTCAAAAAGATTATGCCTATTAGTAAAACAGGGGGAAACCTAACTACCAATTTTTATGCGAACTCTAGACATAACGTCCACCTCAAAAACCTGTCCGTTCACATTCCCGTTGTTTGTCGTCAACAAAGACTGACCTTTAAATAATACTTCAGGTTTCGACTGGTTTGGGAAAAATGTTAAAAGGTTTAAAGACGAATGATGTTGTGCGATGTCGACCAAACGGCCTTCTCTTTTCTGCTGTATGACAACCGTTCCTAGTCTTTCTGTTGAATTGAACACTACTTTTCCCTGGAGAATACCAAAAAATGTGAAATTTTGAGAAAGAAGAATTATGTCAACATTTATATTGCCCAGTGCGTCCCCCAACCCTTTCAAAAGAATTAGAATGAGCTACTCAGAATTAGCGACATATTCGTTAATGAGTATTTTTAGAAATTATGATATAAATGAATCATTATATATATGTAGAAATGATCATTATATTGTATACATATAAATTAACTGATTTTCATTTCTGCCGGAAAAATTCCCCTTTGCGATTGTACACTTTCGGTGTGTTATTATATGAAAATAATTTGAATAATGCGTGATAGCAGCTGCCTGGATGTAAACTTGTTTATAAGTAACTTGTTTTCCCTTACAGATTTTTTTAAAACAGAATCCAGTCAATCCACAACCCCCAACAGACTTACAACCCTAAGAAAATACATTTTACGATATATTTTAACAATTTTGAATGGGGGACTGCAGTTTTTTATATCGTACCGAGATTCCTTCAAACTCTCTAGACATCATTCGCAGCTTCAGCTTATGTCCCAACAGGAAATACTGGGTATCCGAAATGGAGGACTGCATTTTTATGGCATCGTCGAAAGAATCATTCAGGCTCAATGCCAGGAGCCACGTTGTGTCGAAGGCTATTGAAGTTCGAGGAATTAAAAAGGGAAAAATTCCTTTTTGCAGCATCTTCATTTTGTAGTCAGTGCCTGTCTGGAAATCAACACCGAATTAAAAAGTACATCAAATGATAAAAAAAGAGATCAAGAAAAAAAGGGGAACACAAATCAAAGAACAGGCAAACAAGCAAAGAAAAAACAAACAAACACAAGGAGCAAGAAAACAACAAAGCAAGAATTAAACAAACAAATAAACAAGAAAACAGACAAACAATGTAGCAATTTAACACTCAAACACGAAAACAGAAAAGCAAATAAGTTACCTAACAAACAAACAAAGAAACAAACAAAGACACAAACAATCAAACAAGCAAATTGAAGAATTAAACTGACAAAACAAACAAACAAGAAAACAGACAAACAAACAAACAAACAAGAAAACAGACAAACACTTTAACAACCTAACAAACAAGACAACAGATAAACAATCAAACAAACAAACATGAAAACAAACAAACAAGAACGAAAACAAGACTGGGATAGATAAGCATGCGAGGAAACAAGCAAGCGGGCATAGAAACAACAAAACAGACAAATAATTGAAATAAAAAAGCACACAAACAAAAAACAAACATGCAAACCCAAAACGACCCAATAGACAAACCTCCAGTTCAAAAATTTAAAAAAAACAATTACTTACCAGGCCAGATATGGTTTTATTTTTATCTGTTCGAAGATATTGAACATTCAGAGCAAACGTTCCTTCGAGGACAGTCAAAAGGTCTGTTTCGTTACAGGCAATGTTTCTTCCCTGGTTTAACGACAACTGTGTATAATACGCCACCCAAACGATTTTATCCCCATAGAAACCTTGTTTGAAGGCCTATAGAAGTTGTAAGATGACTCTATTTTCCAGGAAATGAAAAGATAGACGGCGGGATTTTGAGCAAGGGTTAGGTGTTTAGGATTCTTTCCTCCACCAAGTCTAGATATTAACAGCTCCAAGTCATGATATTAAAAACAGAGTATACCATTGTCACCTACCTCACACATGACTGTTAAAAGTGTGTCACTCCTCATCAAGGCAACCACAACTCTTGCATCTTTCTCCTTTAATCACACAATAACAAGAAAAATATTCAGCCTGATGTAGCATTAAATGATATATTTGTACTTTGAATTTGAATTTCTTCTACTCTATATTCTCGTTCACTAAGGTAAATGAGGCTATGTAGACAAGTACGTATCCGGTATCTCCCCCAAAATGTGCTGAATTACCTTTAAAGTTTGTACAAAGAATTTCCTATCCCTTTCGTTCGAACTTATTCCCTCTTCTGTGAGGATTTCCACTTTGTCGGCCTTAAGTCTATCCCTAAGAGCATTCATAGCCTGAAAAAAATGTAAATTAGCTTGTAAGAACACCACGTAAGTATCTAATACTGCCAAGCTTTTGGTCCGTTAACCCGGGCCTTAACTTCATCAGTGCAATATTATTATTGCAAGAGATGAAAGAGCACGTCTAGAAAGAGCAATTTAGAACTGAAAGAGCCATCCAGTATATAAATCAAGTTTGTTTAGCTCAGGTTTCCTATCCTGTAGTAACACTGGATCAATAAGAGATAATCCTCACTGGACCTCAAGAAAAAGAAATTTCAGAACTGATAGGGCTATCCAAAATAAATAGAGATAAATTTAAGCTTAGATTTTCTCCTTTAGTAACGTCGAAACTCCTAGGGAGATGGTTTAAAAATAGCTACATGCAGGATTATCTAAATACTTACAGGAAGAAAAAGGGACTTCTCTTCCATGTCGTAGGCCAACGCAACTCGTCTCCAGCTAAAGAATTTTGTCAATTCAATCATAGCCTTGTTCAACGAGTTTGAAGTCGGTAAAACGCTGAGAAATTTTGGAAATACACCTGACGTAAGTTCTGGACTAGAAGCTCCATACGATACCTAACATAATTGGAAAAAAAAGCTGCACTGACATGTTCATTATTGTATGATAGTAACCGTTAAGCGCGTCCAAAAATTCCTAAAATTACTCGTGCTATTAATCCCGAATTGAACTCTCCATCATATGATCACCTACAATTGCATGACACCGGCGAAGAGCAATTACTATTAACCAAATTATTTACCCTACCTGCAATGTTCCCCAAATTGACGCCAATTGAGCAGTATAGCGAGCGATTTTTGACGTTGACGGTCCAAGAATGCAAATTTTTACTGCACTTGAAGAATTTTCGCTTTTGAACTCAATCAGGGATTGTATTGCCTTTGCAGGCATACGCTGAAATTAGATATCCACATACTGAGGTTATGTAAAAAACAGAAGACATATTTTCTAGGTCTGAATTTTGAAGACCGGTTTCCCAAAAGTAATTACGATTTTCCGGACACACATATAGCACACTTTTATTATGCATTTGATGATTTGAACATGGTATAAACTTACCAAGGTCTCTTTGTGGTTAAACACCAGTTCGTAACCCGGCAGCAAGCCCTGATCATAAATCGTTTCTGCTGCGAATTCGATGGCCCTTTTGAAGCCAAAAAAATCTTCATTTCCTAAACCAGGAATAAGTGTGCCGATGTGTAGTTTTTTCCGTTCTTGATGTGATAGAGGAAGAGCTCCAAGGATGAGGAGAAGTCCAAAGGCTAGCTTTTGCACCATTTTACCTGCATATATGTGAAAGAAGATTACGGGCTGCTTACATAAGAACGGTTACCCGGCTCCAACGAAGCCTGAGATGATTTTGAGGCATTGAAATAAGTCGATCTTTATGAAACACAACAAGCACATGCTATTGTAAGGACGATCACACCACAGGGTCATAGTATATACTCATTTCAATACCTCAAAATCATTTCACGCCTCGTTTGCTCTCAGCTGAGCCGGCAAACTTGGTTTAACCTTCGAATACGAAAGGAATGATGGGTTTGCGTATTAAGAAGGGACGGTACAAAATTTAATTACAGATCATCTGCAGCGCACATGAGCTGTATTTGCAATCAGATTAGGTGAGTTACTCATTGACATTGTACATACATTGAGAATTTGTAATGAGAAAGTGAATAAAACTCTGTGAAAAATAAAAGTGAATATAGGACTCCAAAACATGGTATAATTGTTGCTAAATATTTTGCTATAAATATTTTGCCTTAAACAACGTACAAGGGACCCTTAACAGAAAACATGCTTGCTACATCAAGCGCGTATATAAGATATCACAAACCAAACCCCTCGAACGCTCGGGGGTAAAGGTATAATGGTTAAAAAAGACAGTCTTTTTGAAATAAAGCTTATAGGGAAAGCTTCTTTGAATCAGCTGCATGAGATATTAACATAATTTGAAACAGTTAATCATGTAAATTATTTGTTTACTCGTGGCTAAACATAAGGTATTATGCAACTGATAGCAAAAGATATAGATATTATGCTAAGAACGAAACTATCTTTGCTCTTGAGATGTTTTGAAAGATATTATTAAAACGTCGTCAAAAAAAGCGGCGTCGGCCAAATTCAAAGACAACTTCCATGAGTACGTGCCGGTGAAATGGACATTACGGATTGTTATTAAACATTGACAATAGGCTTATGAAGTTTATGCGACTGCATGGACCCTTCGCTTGCGATGCATCTTTACGAGACAGAATTATATCCTAACCGCGAGTGTAATATAGATCACAATCAGACCGGATGTCCCGTTTCCCTAAAATTGCAACATTACGTTGAAACTTGCAAAATTCATTGGCTAATCGCCTAAAGAAAGTTAACAATCGATAACATAATATTGATCGCAATATGTTTCGACCTTCGCGGGAAGAGCAGGCAGGCGTACGCTGGGGCAGTAAGTTTTAAGTGAAAGATGGTTGTACGAAATCTAGATAGCGCTAAAGCCGAAGAATAGTCGTTTTAATTCGCTTTTAAATATAGACTTTCGTTGTTTTGTATAACCGGAATTAAACCTGGGTATTGTTAGGTAACAGCCTTTCTTTACAAAATTGTTGGTTCGAGTCTATAGCTTTTAAAATAGTTGATAAAATCACCGCTATCGTATCGGCATTCACAGAACTCCCAACCCAATGCTATATCATACCACATAGTCCAATTCTGCCGAAAAATTTAGTTTGAGATGCATTTAGTATACGTGGTGGTCGATCAGTGAGGTTTTACAAATTGCATATATCAGTAATCATTGCACGTTACGACCAAAATTTACTATTTACGAGCCCTTTACCTTTATACCAATTCAGTTAAAAATGGAGAAAAACATTTGCATTATAAAGACTCTGTGAAATTCCATACGAATAGATCGATTTACTCTTCAAGCACCTTCGCAGCAAACACAACTAGAAGCCATTTAATAACTTACATCAATATCAAAGCTTAAAATGTTCGACCCATGCAGTTCAAAATGCTAGAACACCTTTGCCAATGAAAATTTATGAAAAGATACATACTTCAACTCCCAGGACATCCCAAATTCTCATTCTCGTTAAACTTGTTGCAAATTTAACCGCATCTGATGTAGAACTTCAACATTATAAACTTCATTCAACTAAACTGGCCGACTTTGTTTGTTAAACGCCGTGAATAATAGATATCATAGATTTCATTAAAGAGACATGTCACAATTAATCTACGCGCAGGCCAGTGAGCTTATGAATATTAAATCCGCTGTTATCTTTGCTGATTACTGTAATATTCTCTAGAAATATTGCTTTAATATAAATATCTAACAAAACATTACCTCGAGTCCACAAAGATAAATATTACCATCTCAGCTTAATAGTATTGATACAGTAATAAAATAAATGCAAAGTTTGCTCTAGAGTAAGTCTGCAATGATAAATGATTGCTATCGATTGAATTTCGTTTTCTAAGTCAATAAATACGTTTCATTATGTTTCACGGTTCCCATTCTTATTATTATTACCTTACAATCATATCCGGATTTGAAAATATTCAAGGTGACATATATTAAGATAGTTTTTTGGATCGAATAAAATTTTTCAACGATTTTTTCTTAAATGAAACGGCCTTCCAGCCAGACGGGATTTTTCTATCGCATCATTTAAATGTTCCACCCACCGGAATCAATTTAATATCTTAACGCAAAATGAAAAATGAGTAATTGGGCCAGATGAAAATACTAGAACGTAATTCACAACATTTACGAAAATAGAGACACCAGGATATTTTGCTCCATATTATATAGCGCGTATATATTATATTTCACAATCATTTTCTCTTTCGAAAAAAAAGTAAACAATGTCATGCACGAGACTCGCAAGTTGAAAAGGCGTGAAAAAGGTTTAATTCAATTTACATTCATGTTAACATTTAACTATAGTAAGCGAATGATCAGTTCGCTAAACGTCAGTTTTTGCATTCATTTTGTTTCTAAAATTACTAAACAATTGAATTGTTCTCCTTTCGTGCGAGCCTGGGTGTTTGCGTGGGCTCGTAAAAATGTGCTTTTTATATTTTTTTCATAATCACAACTAAATGACGAACGCCCTCAGGTCGAAAAGTCAAGACGTTTCTTTGCATATGTTAAGCAATTTATTTTCCGATTCGTCTGATTGATATGTGAGAGCTGTTTTGGCAGGTATATCACTGTACCTATATGCTAGGTACAATGTCCTAGGTACAATGTCCAAAGCCATAAAATGTAATATAAATTTGGTATGCTTATAGTAATACAGCATTAGAATATGCAAGTTATTCATGTTTGCATAGAACGACAAGCTCTGTGCCTCTGTCAATTTGCTTCCCATCTAGAAATCCAATTGTATTTTCCATTTGGTGTTGAGTGAATGACAACTTATTTATATCAAACTTCACATGTAAATACGATTAATTCAGCGCTTGCGAAATCTCATTCTGACGTGCATATTAAATGAAGCCAAGGTTCCTACCAATATTAAACAAACCCATACGGGAAAGTCTAAACCCAGTTAGAAAAAGAATTAACGCGTGAATTGACCTCGTTACTGTTATTTTGTGCGTTTTTTGTGCCGAATTATGTTCAAAACAATAAATAGATAAATACAAATCAATAAATAGAAATCTCTCATTATCTAATGTGTTCAATTACGATTGATTAATACAAGCCTTATTAATATAAGCCTTTCTCTGCATGAGACTGACGAGAGATATTATTCAAGATTTTTTCCGACTGAGATATATCCCTTGACATTTTGGCGGATTCTTAAAAGATTTTCATCGCGATTCTACAGGCAAATTTTGGTTATTTTTAGGAATTTCTCAATAATGCTGTGGGCTTAATTTCATTCATCCTGCAATGCTATTTGGCCTTACATGGCTTGAATTAATATATAAATATGTTAGTGTATAAAGGTTGTTTGTCAATATTCGGTGTACCATAATGTATCTTATTGCCTCTTCTTATTGCCTCTGTATATTTTTATCATGCTGCCTATACTCCGCCAGCTTTCTGTACAATTAATTCTCTAAAAGAAAATGATCGCTTTTGACTCTTGAAAATGCGAACCAGTTCTGTGACTTTGTATAACCTTGCAAATGTCGTATATATAGACAAAGGTGATTCTCAACTATTCATGAAACGTGATGTAGAAGAAAATTACATATTTTACGAAAACGGCGGAGCATGGTAATGTTTCCTCGATTTTGTACACCTTATAACTACAACTCCCTATAAACCTATATGTTTGAATTAGCAAAGTATATTGCTTCAGCATCCATTGAGCCTAAAATCTCATTTCATGAATGGCTTATTGGCATGCATCCTTTTTTCAATCATATCACAAAATCTTAGCACGCTATATTCACGTGAGTTCAAGGTAAAATTATATACTATAAAACCTCACTCTTACGAAATGAAATCGTAAAATCCAATAAATAATAGCGAATAACCTTCAGAAATCCCACAATCTTACTTGGCAAAGGTCTCTCCAGTTTCTTGCCAATTCCAAAGCCAAACGGTTTTGATAACCTCTGTTATATAAGGCGGAGAAATCTCGACATGAACGTAAGCAGCCGAAGTCGTTTTTTATATAACAAGCTCCACTCTCGCCGATGAGTCCAAATATGTGTCAACAAGAGTCTCGAAATTTTAAATGCGTGCTTTCAATACTTGTTATTTCTCTTGACGTAAGCAATGCTTAGTGAAGAAGCACGATACAGTTCAAAGGCCAAGGCCTTATACACGAGTTATATCTGTCTTCCTTTAAACACATTTACATTAGTTGCATGCAAAATGGAGCCTTTTTATCTTACATAGCATATACGTCTAGTGGCGTATGAAAATTACCGTTGAAGCAGAGTTAATTCGTTTTCTTGCAGAAATTTAAAATCACAGTTATTTTAAGATCTATAAATCGTATTTTAATCTAATTTACAGCGAATCTGAGGAACATTTGTTGCAAATGAATAATACGAGTTTTGATAAAATATATATAGAATGTCAAAAAATAGCGAACTAATATCTGTATGGCACAGTATAGATATATTGCTTGGTTTGTTTGAAGTGCAATAATTCACAATCTTTAACTATGTTGCTGCATGTGAACATTTATGCATAAACATGTTTGTGTCTATCGAGTAAATACTATCCCAAACTCAACAAAAAAGGCAAAGCATTTCTAACAACCCTGTTGAAGTGTTCAGTTATAAGCCTGAGTTGCTAGCAATATCCACTTTGTCTATTTCGACGCACACAAGAGCGAGGCGTGCTAACGACCTCGAGAGGCAATTGACCTCAGCCCAAAAACTGTCGAGATAAACTTAATAAGAGAAACTCGAAACAAGAGAGACTTGCGTCACTGGGGGAATTCCACACAACAACTATGATAACCGCAGCGTCGGGGCTTTAGCTGAATAGACAGGTCAGACACTCTCAAACTATATATCCCTTTGTTCACACACAAAAATATTCCCATAATATATACCTTAATGCACCCTCATGCATGCAAATCGTGATGTTGTGAACCGCTATATATACTCTTCTCATGACCTACGTATATACGCCCAATTATAAAACAATATATTTAAATATATTTAAAGATTGCATTTAGCATAGACGTCAAGTGCTGTTTGATATTTTTTAAAGAGGAATGCCGCCAAAATAACGATTTATCAACGCAAAACTCCCACACAACTGCATGGAAATGAAACAAGATTATATCAGGACTAAATTCGGTCTTAAAATCATTCAAACAATAAATTATTTTTCAAGTTGTTCACGAACGGTTCCTTTGATCGAATGAAACCTGCAAACAGGTTGTGATAACGAATTGTATTCGTAATGCATGTTTGTAATGAAAACAACGTTTCGTTCACGTTTCAAATGTCATCAACTGTCGGAATATTTAACACATTATTTGGGTTTGCTATACTTCTATGAAATTAGGGCTATGTTTAAAAAGCTTCGGAGTAATTCTTAAATGAAGTATCTCCAATAGTTATGCGCAGAACCGACACTCGTGCAAGCCCCATAATTTAATAGTGCTGCCGGGAAAGGCCTATCATTATATTAATATTCAGGCAAATAATTTGTTGAAAACCCTAAGTCGCCTTAAAAGAAATTACTTTAATTCCAGTCAATTAAATATTCTGCTCCGAACGATGCATTTTCAGCTTTGTAAATTGTAACCAGTCCGTAACAAGCTATACTTACTCTTTACACGAAGTATCAACAACGTCAAGCAAAGCACATGCAAGTTACAACTTACAAGAGTTACAAGTATAGTATACAACACAGCTTTACATTCATTCTTCCTCGTCTATTTGCTTATCATAGTTATACCCCCTAATAAATTATTGTACCTATGAGACAAAGACGCCTTTGTGTAATTTAGTTGTTATTGCAAGATAGCATGATATTATTATGACTGCAGTCTTTCCGAAGTAGCATGAACCCCCCCGGCGTTGCTATCATGATTTCAATAATATTAGATGAAAGCTGCTGATAGCTCGCGAATACAGGCATTGCTATCAGCAAAATTATGAGAAATCAAGACTCCATGACCTCTCGTCCAGTTCGATAACACAGTATACGTCTTTCATATATATAAAGACGTTGACACGTTGTAACCTCTTCCGACACAAATTTGCAACACGTATATTGAGACCCTCGCATACGTGAGCTTGTTTCCGAATTTTATATTTACAGATGGTGGTATATTGATTGATATAACAAGGCCTTGTCGCAATTGTAACAAGGACCATTACTATAGCTAAGCCCTGACCGCAACCATTTAAAAAATGCGACAACAGTGGGGAGAAGTGCGTATATATTTACTCAACACTTATATTGACCGATGGACCGTCAGGGATATATGATATAACTATATAAAAAGCGCTTATAGATTTAACTAGCCCTCCCCTCGAACAAACTAATATGCAAAGTAACTAGAGCAGGTATCATATTAATATCCTTATAACTATCGTAACTGTGATCTGATCTGGAGTTATTGGAGCGTTTATATTGTCGGATTGCCTTCGTTTGAAATGATATAGCGTGTAAGCTATTTATAGTATCGTCTATTAACTGAACGAATGTTCTTTGGCAGTTTTAAAAAACCCTTCGACCTAAACAGGAACTTTACAAAGCGACATGTATGAAATGTAGCTACACTTACCAACGTTCCACTCTCGAAGTTGTAAGAACTAATTCCCTCGCGTGTGCGGTCAGAATATTATATTGATGTCCCAGAAAGCAGTCTGACAATAATTCACATCAAACGTGCCACTTAGCCACATGTGTTATCCATCTAGTCAAAACACTTTTCAACATACGAGCGAAGATAATGACTGAGTTCAATAAAGTTTGCTGCGAGTTCCGTCTACCGGGAACCGAGTATTGTATTTCCCCCCCCAGCTGACGTCCTCCGCGGTAGACAAGGTTCTTTGTTTTCTAAAACAAGAAAAGAGAACGAAGTTTGATATTATAAGATCTTATTTACACTTTCTTCGATCCGTATAGGAGCGGTATCAGTAGCCAAGATGTTTTCCACGCTATACGCATTTTAACCTCCTACACACTACAGTACACATCAGGGGCCGGTTGTATCAAGCCCGTTTAGCTTAAACGGTGGATAAGTTAAAAATAGAAAGCAAGTCTGCCGTTTTATTCAACAAGCGAACTAAATTTTTTTTACCTTAATACAAAGATACTGTTTACAACTATACATATTCAGTGCATAATATTTAAGTTGACTCATTCCAAAGAGGTGTAAGAGTGGTATTTAATTTTAACTTACCACCGTTTTAAGCTAAACGGGCTGGATACAACCGGCCCCAGAGCAATATACCTTTAAAATAAACCGAGATTTCAGTCTGCACAAATTTCATTTTCGCTAACGAGACCTTGTGGAAATCGTCACACGAAAACTTACGGAATACATTAAGCGACCGGTCGCTCTAATCATCTTAGAAAATTACTATAATCTCAAGAAAATATTTTCGATCGCATTCAAATTACTTCAAAATAATGAAATAAATGCAAGTATAACTGATAAAATTAAAGATAAGTTCCAATATAACCAGGGAGCAGCGTGGCAGCGTCTTCAAACAACTTAGGCTTAGCATCAAATGTGGTATGAACAACTGCCCAAAATAGACAAAACACTTCTCGACGTTTCGACCTGAGGGCCTTCGTCAGGAGAGTTAGCATGAGGAAGGTCCTCAGGTCGAAACGTCGAGAAGTGTTTTGTCTATTTTAGGCAGTTGCTATACCACATTTGATGCTAAGTTGATAAAATTAAATATCCTGCATTCAAGATTTATGAACTAACCCGGAATCAATGAAATCCCTTTTAGTATTCGCAACATGCTGTGCTATATCTATGCCATCGCAGGAGGCTAAAAGGCCATAGTAATTTTGATCTTTATTAGGGCGGGAGTTTTAATAAGTTCTCGTCTTCAATTTAGAATGTTGTCCAGTCGAGTGTCGAGAGAAAAAACCCGCGACTCGTGGACAGAACATCTTTTACACAAACCCAAAAAAAAACACAAGGTCTTTCTCTTGACCTTATTCCTGTCGGCTTTCGACAGACGATGTGAAGACTGGCTTTCAAACGTTGCAACGACAACAGTCTTAAACTATAACTAAAGCAAACAACAACAATTGGTTTTGTTTTTGTTTGCGTTCGATAAAACAAAACTCGCTGTAACTTTCAGATTGGCTAAAAGATGGCGGAAGTCGATCTTTTAACTTGTTTGCCAGTTGAGTTAAATAATCAAAATCGAGGAAATAATGTTCAAATGTTTGTTATATTTCACATTATTCCCTACAGAACAGGCTTATCATAAGTTTGAGAAAATGAGTCTTTCGCTTTGCAGAGAGAAAATACCATTTATACTTTCCACAAGAAAACTTTCTTAAGATGAAAAGTTCTTAAAAATGTAGCCAGCTAATTTTCACTTACGTGAAGTACTACATATTTTAACACGGTAATCGTGACTGTTAAATTCGCTGAGATGCATGTTTAATAGACCTTACACCGCTATTGTTTTAAAATATAGTGAATTAATTTGCTACAACAAAATGGCGCATTTTACTATTATATTTGGCTTCAAAATATTTTGAAGCTTTCAAACTTCCAAAAAAAAATTTACACCACTATTTTTATCGGGTACACTTTAGCACCCAGCTGAGATAAATGCGTTGTATATATCCGATGCATTGCCAGCTAATTGTTTCAAAATGGCAATATTTTAGCTCATGCAGGGAGCTTACCGGCCACGAAACATGACAAAAACACGACTCTTTCTTTACAGCGCTCTAACTGTTAAACGTCAACACCTAATCACATCTGTTCGTCTTCAATTTTACTAAAGACATTTCTTGAAGGAGAAACAACTAACAAGGATATTTAATCCATGTTGCATGTCATTATAAGATTGTAAGGTCTAGGTCAAACTTTACACTTCACATAGCGGAATTTATTTTTCAAATGAGTAACTAAAAAAATATCCTTAACTCCTGCATCGCGTAAGAACCTAGGTGATTTAATCCTTGCAGTTTAAACAAAATATATGAACGTTCTTAAATAAATCCTCATGCATTTTAAGTGTGACCTCTTGAGCCCGGTCACTTTTCCGGCGAGAAACAACAATTCCTATTATTGGTATTCAAATTCCGAGAATTGGAAACTCCTTGCAAGCAAAATTAATTGAATTGCATTACGGCAGGCCTGCGTAGCAGCGCCTTTTGTTGCATGTTTGCTTTATATTAATAGTTTTAATCAAAATGCCAGACAAGTGGCGTCAAGGACACAGTGTGCGTTTAAAGACTTGAAAAGATGATTAAAGATCTTCAAACCAACACCTTTTAACAGACTAATGATCAGAAGAACCACGGCGAGGTGAATTGCCAAAGCAACTTTTTGTTAAAGATATAATTTGGCATGGTGTTGTAAAAAAGCAATCTTATGCCCCTGAAGTGTGAACTCTATATTTAGACTAGAATAAGTGACGTTTTTTTGTTGAATCCCGTTTTTATAGAATTCACTGCTGAGGTTCTGGTTCGCTCAGTTCACAGTAAGTCAGTTCCAGTTCAAAACATATCGAATCACACTCCTCACAAATCACAGGCGCGGCCTGCCCGACTCCTGCCCGCCTGCCCGCCACTCATTTTAATATACTAGTTATTTATTACACAAAAGTCTCTGCGAAGGAAAGTGATATAACTGCCTTTGTAGCTTGGAGTAACAAAATAGGGACGGCTGTATGCTTCAGACGTGTTTACATACATTCAGTTAATCAGTTTTTATATCAAAATGTCGCGTGAAAGAAACACAAGAACACAGTATGCTTTTATACAAGTGAACAGACTGGCATCGCAACCTACTGTCACACTAAATGGACCACAGGATTTGGCCAATTCCCATAGAAATTGCGAGAATTTCAAGCATATTGGTGTGAATTGCTCGATCATAAAGATAGCGAAAAGTACACGATTGGAGCTTAGCATGACATTTACAGATAAACAAAGCGAATATTTAGTTTTCTTGAAAGCAAGTCTCCTGGAGGAAGCTACGAGTAAAGGATTTGTACTGTTGTCAAATCAGAAGATCACAGATGATACCCTGGCATTATCGCGAGAGGTGATGGCGTAAAGGACATGCACTTCAGCTGGTTTGGCGTGTAAATCGAACATATAGAGTAGACATGTTGTTGTTCTTAATTCCCGGAAGCGAACTTCCGTAATTCAGAATGTATCAAAATTGATTTCATGATTATAGTTTACTGTTGACAAGCATACTCTGAGTTTTAAATTTCTTATTGATATTAATATAAATAGAATTCAGTGTTGTCTCATCTCTGCATCTTCATGCATGCAGTTATATAAACTCGTAGCATTCATCAGTTCACGTGATCTTGCCTTATAAAATCAATACCCGAGATCAAACGAGACGGGACTCGTCATGTATTTTTGAACCAAAGAAGGATTCATTTCTTTTTATAATAAGTCACGTGTAGGAGAGGATCTTGCGCAATTGGTTGTTTCTAGATGCATTGGTAAATGTCTTTCTCCCAACTTTTAGTGTAGTTAGCAATGCTTGTTGGAAGTTTACATGGAAATTTATTGATAAATTCGAAGAAAAATGAAGCAACAGGTCAAAAGTCCAACTGCTAAGCTTCATGTGATATCCGTGAGTGTATCACATGGTCGGCACTAGATCATAGACAACATACGCACATATCTGAAACTGCTATATATAACGGTCAGCGATGTTGCATTTGCGCAAAACTTAATATAAATGAGGTCTTATTATACTTATAATACTTTGTAATTGTAAACGCTTTCAATTTATACAACTCAGGACGATACAAATTGACTGTATTGACTGACTCACAATTTAATGAGTATTACAAAATGAATTGCTCAAGTCATTCACAGAGATAGATTTCTCAAACAGCCTTTCCTCGTATAATATCATAGTTTCTTTTAATATTATGCATGAAGAGCCTAAACCTTATACCATATGCCTTATGCCATAATATTGTATATAAAATCTTTATTATTATTATTAATAAAGTTTTCATTATTATTATCATTATAACGTTAAAATTCATTATTATGGAAGTAAAGTTTCTGCAATATTTACAATCTTATTTCTTTTCATGTAATTGTAGTATATTATTTTTACTTTATAACTGACTGGTGTCACAGGAATTTTGCCCTCCCAGAAGATTCCCTCCCCCCCCTAATAAATTTTGAATTTTTGATCTAATAACAAAATGACTGCAAGTTGAAGAGTACTGCAAAATGTGAGCCTTGAATGGGTATAACATGTATTGTTGTACATACACACTAAGACATACTATTGATTTCATAATTCAAATTTGACCAATTCCATTATGTTTGTCAATACAATGATAATGTGTTAACAGAGAACAAAAATTGCAAAGGAAAGGTGAAGTTTCTGAAAGGGGGCCAATCGTCTGGCGTTTACAGATAGAGTAAATTCTAAAGTAGGCTGCATTTCCCACCAACGGGTTTAGCTCTGGCCTTGTAATTAGAGAAATATGCAACTTTATGGTATTAACAATGCACTCAAATGTACTGTTATAAAGGTTATACTGTTTATATTTAACTATTTCAATTGAGGTTCCAGTGGGACATTAGATGAATTGTTGAAAATTATCACCAACTAAGTCACAGAATGATCCACTAACTATGTCACAGAATGATTCATCAATATCCTTTGCAGGGATATAATATTTCTTTCCTTCGAGCCAATTTCCCAATTTTCGCGCGCTATTTTATTATGAAATCATCAAATCAATTCAGGGCACCCGCTGACCAATATATATAGCAGTTTCAGATATGTGCGTATCTTGTCTATGATCTAGTGCCGACCGTAGCACATATAACGTCTCTGATCTATGCACAACTGGAGTTATATAAAACGCGATTGTCAACATTTAGGTTTGCAGGATAATCGATGTACCTGCCCTCCACCATACCCACGGGATTATTAAATATTGTATCATATCACCACTCCTCATGCATGAAAACAACCTCGCAAGCCAGGCTCTTTTACCTACGCTCCTCGCGGCCCACGCTGCGGCAAAGACCCTAGTCAAGGCTGGTCACGTGATTATTTTGTTACGCTTCTCCCGTGTGGGGATGGGTGGGACACAAGTAGCGCATAAATCACATCAGTTAAAACAGCGTGTTTCTAAGGCCTGAATATTGAGCGCTGTTGTACCGCAAAGCGAAATAACCTGTGTCGCTATTGTTTTTTGACCTCTAAATTCGCTCATCAACGCCCAAATTCAGAGGATAGCACAGGCCTTCGAGTGTCTGTATTGAATGTCAACAGAACTTGTGACGATACTAAAACCGATTCCAACGACGATGATACAGTCTACACTTGCAATTTGAATTTAAATTCGGTTTATTCCTCTTTTGAGTTTTTTGCTGCGCCACACTAGCTGTATTTATTTAGTTTATTGTGTGAACCGCTATTTTTAGTTGCGTTAGTACAAAGCCATCTGGATTGTGACAAGTGCTAAAAATAGCAGAAATAGTATAACGACTTTGCCACTCCTCCCATGAATATGAACTAAACGCTAATTAAAAACCTCCCATATTTTGGGAGGTTTTGCGATGTCACATGACCAGCCTTGACCAGGGTCTTTGCCGCAGCGTGGGCCGCGAGGAGCGTAGGTAAAAGAGCCTGGCTTGCGAGGTTGGCATGAAAACAGATATTTGTTGTAAATCAACTTGAGATAAATTGAATTACCTTATGGAATGTTTTAGAGTCGCGCTCATGTAGACGTTGCATATGAAAGTAAAAACGGTGTAAGACACGATCACACGAATGTTTTATAATAGATCTAGAGACCACGGTTTGCCAAGGATATAAGCAATAACCATTTGGAGAGCTAAATCCTTTTCTTCTCTTGAAGAAGGCTTTTTAAGAAAACTGATAAAAAAATTCTATTCGAAGTTTTAAATAAAGACTTTCTCAAATTTTCGTAGAACTGAGCTAGCCATAGTGCATGACTGTAATGTGTTATATTGCCCAGCAAAAACGGACAAAAATTGACAAAGGTTTTACAAATGAAACGGAAAATCATGATTGGCACAGTTGATGAGTTCATGTAGTGCTTTAATTGAAAGATATTATTTCACAATAAGATTTAAATGGAAGATAAATGCGAATATTTCAAACTAATGACGAGCCGAAATTATACAGAGTCGAGCGGTAATATTCATTTAAAGAAACAATTACTTGAGATAACTTTATGGAAAAACATCTTCAAAATATGATGCGAATCGTGCGATGGCAATTTGTACATTCGCCGACAACAAAACATTTAATGAACGTAAATAATTAAGAGAGACATATAGTAATGGATATAAGATCAATGGACGGAAACGTTTAAAAGGACAAAAACCCAAAATGCTGACTACTTTATTAACTTTGTTTTAACTTTTTGTCCAAATATCATAGTTCCAATTGTATTAAATTCATAATGGGTTTTTTGCGGAAAATATAGCTGGAATTATAAGTTTCTGCATATAATTTTAAGGCTGTTTTTCAATAGGCGGATTTTACGCGCGTTATCCTTTTGCCGTCCTCAGTATTATAGATTTACATGAGAAAATCGCTTTATCGCTTTCCTTCTAGTGGCAAAAGACCTTAAATTTGCAAGTACACATGCATATATGTAGACTTCGAACTTTCTTCTAAATTCGGTAGTCCCTGGCTCCAAGTAAAACACAAGTTCATTAATAATGCTGTATCTATACCTACGCATATATACAGATGTACACTAAAAGTCGGTTATATACTTATATTCATGCAGCTACCGTCTAATTATAAAATTTATACAATTAAAATCACACGTTAAAGTGAAAATTGCGGAATTATCCACAGAATTAACCCCACTTAGTTACTTTTCTATACGTCAATTTATAAAAGCATGCATGCATGATTACAAATCCGCATCATCATAACTATAAGACAACTTTTTAAGCTCATCTTTCTCAATTGGTCAGTGGCCCTAACGCTAAGCAATGTACGAAAAATTGTGAATATCCTGACCCGGGCAAACGAATTTTAGCCTACGTGCATGCTTTTAAAATGATATGAAATACTCGCGTAAAAGAGCTATTAGGAAACTGTTGGCAATTTCGTGTTGTTGTGACGGTCACGGGCATGCATGCCCACTCATATTCTTCCGTCGTAATCCAAAATATTTGATTATACGCATTACAGCATCATCGTGCTTAGCATTTATATAACTTAACAAATAGTGATGATATATAACACTATAATCCAATATACCTATATATATGTATAACATGGGTTCCTTATTTATTGCATAACATGTGAGCTTATAGAAACTTGATCACTAAATGACATATAGGATTTATTTATTGATGCATGAACGAGGAATACGACAAACGCACGACCAGTGCGTGGTATAGATAGACTTCCTTAAAAAAGTTGATATAAATTTGCGATAAATTTGATCGACCTTGTTCAAACTGTGACACTATACTCGCCAAATATCATGCAAATAGGAGCCTTTGGCATACAATTTCGAAAAAGTTCAGTGTTTATTGTAGCTGCCGAGGTTATATAAAAGCCGTTGAAATGTGCTGAGGTAATGATGAATTTCCCGCACGCAGAAATTCAAAAAACGACCTGCCCACCCTCTACCACGCAAGCAGTTCACACCAGGCTTTGTACGTCTTTAATTACTCGACAGTGTCGAGAGTGTCGGCACATTGGCATTTTCTCATCGTAAAGGTGGCTTTCAATTACAGAAAATCATTTAAAACAAATATTTTTCTTATTACTAAGTTGCCTAACTTACATTTAAAGTTCCGCCGGCGTCTATATTCATTTTCGCCTTGCAGCGAAGTGACCTTTATGTGAGCACAAAGGTCACTTTAATATATAGGAAGAAATGTTCCGAAAAACAACATCTTGTAAACTCAATAGTTTGTGGTGATATTTGTTGTCTTATTTTGAGTTTACAACTAGGTTTTTGTTGGAACAGGTTTCTTCCAATATTTCATCAAATTGTCTGCTGGCGAAGGTTAAAGGTCACTTACTTTAAGCGAGTTTTCGTCGAATCGAGTATTATCACTTTTATATTTTAGTGATATTACTGTCTTGTTTATATTATCAAGACTCCATGCATGGACAAAACCTTGACCTTTGAATGACTTCTTTAAAAATTTCCTATGTTTAATTATTAAAATGATAAAACTTTCCTTGATGCACAAGCACTACACATTTACTTGAAAGTACCGAGTGGCGAGTGCTATATCGTGTTAAAAAAAATCAATGACAAAATCTACATGATGGAACGTGCGATTTGACATTTCAACTAAACGTTTCAGCCTACACCGTATATCTGTCATTATCAAAAATATTTTTGAGCCGCGCGAACGCAGTGAATCTACACCGCCAACTTCATTTATTGCGCGTGGTGACCGGAATTTCGCATGTGTTAGACGCTGGCTGACGCATGCACGCGATCACGCCTGCAGTCAGCAGAGGCAGTCCCGCGATAGCGCGGCATATTGTTCTTTATTTACCACAGGTACTTGGGGTCCTTGGGGTAGTAACAGAGTAACAGAGTGTCAAACTGAAGGATGATATTTATTAGCATCTATAGTGAGAACAGTTTAAAACTGATAGAATTATTTAGCATAAACAAAGTTAGTTTAGTGCAGCTTTCCTCTTTCGTGTAGTAACACTGGATCATAGAGATGACTTTACAGCTTTACTGGCTCTTCAGGAACAACTGTTTAGACTGCGTAAATAAAGTCGGCTTAGTACAACTTTCCTCCCTGTAGTAACACTAGATCAATAAGACATGATCGATCCTCGCTTAACCTTAGATCCGTGAATAAGAGATGATCCATACTGGACCTTCATGAAGAACCGCTTAGAACTGTTAAAGTTATCCAGTATAAACAAAGTTAGTTTGGTTCATAGTTTAATTAAAGTTTCGCTTCCGTTGTACTAGAACAGAGCTTCATCGGCAAGTTCAATGGTATAGTGTTAAGTGAACAAAATGAAAATTAACGTATTTGATATCGAATGATAACGATGGCCAGTTCATTGTGATTTGTCGAAAAAAATCATCATCTACGAAGACGATTTTAGCAATAATTCAAGCCCGGCATGCTTAAATCACCTGTTCGACTTTCAAATAATGCTCGGTGACCTCCTCTTCAACTTAAAATACATTTAATAACACTCAAAAAACAACATGAAAACACAAGCTTACCTTGCGAGTCGAAAGAAGGTCCAACCGTCGCCTAGGTATTTAGTTCAATTCTAGTCCATTCGGTGAATCTTAAGAAAAATATCGGAGGAATATTTGAGTGTCTTTCCGAGTCGTAAAAAGGCGTCGATTTAATATAAACATCAGATGCATCTGCAAGCAGCTCCCAGTGGGGCGAATGCTTGTTCAGAAATCTACGTTGCAATTTTATTAAACTCTGTCAGTAAACGATGATTGAGTGACGAATTACAGGTCTTCTCTTAATTCGGAATACTGATCAATTTGACATTAATCATTGCGCTAGCCAATAAGGTAACAGGGAGGTGTTGACTTATGTATAATCTGTGAGGCAGTAAAATTGATTTGTTTGGCCAGAGACGAGATATAATGCCTTATGTTTGCCCCGTTCTCTCGGTCGAAAACATATCTTGCGGTTGAAATAGCATGAGAAATATGGCTTTATTAAAAAAAATATATATCACATTGTCATGGGCAGTTTCAAGTTGGCTCTTTTAAAATTTCCGCGTGGATTGGCTCTTGAGGTCTGAAGTGTTGACTTAATATATATAGAATGTCCGAAAAACGAGCAATTTTCATTTCATATGCAAAAACAATGAACAAAACACATTACATCCTTTGTCAGCTGTAATACAAATACGAGAAAATGTATATAATTTGTTACGGTGGCACTGACTGAAGATTTACAAACGCAATCCAACCAATGACCCCGGTATGGAATTTCAGTCGGCGAAGCCAAAGGGACGGATTATTCTGCAAGCGAGCTTATGACGAACTTCCGTTGTTTCAAAAAGTTGCTCGACATACGATTTTTATATAGCTCGCTCTGGTGTTGACACAAGTAGGCGAGAAGGATAAACACAAGTTTGGTTTTGTGAAAACAAATCGGTAAAGGTAAATAAGACAAAGCGTGGCAAAGCAAACAGTTCAAAATAAAGATGCCTTTTTCTCTTCAATTTATTTTTGAGGTTTTTTAGACGTTAAAATATTCATGCGAATTCTGAATGATAGTTTCTCGAAGTTTTGTTGAGCCGAGTTTAATATTCATCACAGGATTCCCCCGAAGGCATGCCAAGGGTTAAGATCTCTTTTGAATGTGGTGAGATATTAAGAACGCGAACATGAAACCGCAAATGAATAAGTGATTGAGATCGAATTGAACACAAGTTTTTCTTTGAATATTACATCCCTGTACTCATAATCAGATGTTGCATTCAAATTTAAATGAGCATCACTTCGGCTCCATTAGACAATCTCTTTTGTGTCCTGAAATCTGAATAATGAATTTCGAGAGGGAATTGGTTTTTCGACAGCTGCATCATTACCTAATTTAAGTGAGAGGTTTTACGGCAAATTTGCTTTTGTTCCTTCCAATTTAAAGGTGTGATTTTGTTGGTGCGACAAAAAAATAAACTGAACTAACTTTATCTATACTGGATAGCGCTCAATCAGTTGTAATTAAATTGTTCTTCCCAGAGGTCCAGTTAGGATCATCTCTTATTGATCCAGTGTTACAACAAGAGGAAACCTAAACTAAACTAACTTTATTTATACTGGATAGCTCTATCAGTTCTCAACTGTTCTTCCTAGAGGTCCAATAAGGATCATCTCTTATTGATCCAGTGTTGAGGAAACCCGAAATGAACTAAATTATAGCTCTCAGCCCTAAATTATAGCTCTCAGTTTTAAGTCCAGTAAGGATCATCTCTTAATTATTATTGATCCAGTGTTACTACAGTACAGGTGGAACTGAACTAACTTGATCGGTTCATACATGACAGTTCTAAACCAGCGGGGTCGGCAGCATCGATAAGTGAGGTGGACATATTCATATATTCATGTTCACAGACCATGAAAACAATGAATTTGAAAAGAAATGAATATTGTAAAACACAAATATATATGAATATGTCCATCCCACTTATAAAGCTAGCGACGCCACTGTTCTAAGCCGATTTTCCCTAGAGGAAGAGTATAAGGAAAATCAGTATCGAGTTTAATCATCCCTTAATTACTACTCAACAAAAGTGTGGCAGTGCCGTATCTTATTCTTTCGGGATGGAAACGTAATGAATTACGAAACATTAAGAAATTATGAAAAACATATGAATTACGAACACGATACTGATATAGGGCGCGAAAAGCATACATTGCACTAACCACTACATCATCCAAATTCATCAGACAAATAACAAACATGACCCCTCAAGGAATGTGTGATTTTTTACCTTTTACTGATAATAAATTATCGGTGAAGCGCAGATATTCGTAAAACCTCTAATCACTTTTCAACGTGTTAAAGGACGCGAGGAAAACGTCATCCCGAAAGACGTTTTACGAATTCAAGTGTATTTTAGCTTTGCCATCACTCGAGGGCTTGAGGGCTACAATCTAAATATAATGCTTTATATGGTTTACGAGTAAGAGACGCAAGAGATTGAAAGGAAACTTCATGCCAAAAGAGGTCTTACGAATTCAAGTATTTTAGTTTTGCCGTCACTCGAGAGCTTGAGAGCTACAATCGATTGCTTAAATGCGCTTTACAAGTCGAGCACTTTTCAAACGATAGTTTAAACATCTATGCCTATGGACTAACTGACTATAAATATATCAATTGATTGATCCACGTTTGAACTCTAATAATAATACGAAGGAAGACTTATTTTTCTTTGGATTATTTGCTAGTAAATTGACTGCGCTAATTGTGTTTTTATTGGTAGGTTTCTGTTCAAATTATCGAGTTCATTTATAAATTATAAACTGTTAAATAGTGAAATGAATACAACCTACCTTTCCGCTGCCGATGTAGTCGAATGCGGTGTCGCTTCGTATATGGATTAAGTCGTATATGCCGTGTGGTTGAAATAAATTCTTTTATAGGCTTGGAAGCAGGATATTGGCCGGTTTAAGTTATTTTCTATAAATATAAGAAATAGTATTAGTATAATACGATTTAGAAAAAATGGCGGATGTACACTTAGTCAGGATGTGGGAAGAATAACAAGTAAAACCATAATGCTTGTATGACATAAGATTTAAACACGAAAAAGGAAATAGCTTTATATTTTTTAAGTATATCCTCATGAGAACGTCAATTTGCGCTCAAAACAATTTCCGACATGCACGGCAGATTTCCTTTCTACAATGAAATGCGTCCACGCTATCTTTCCCGTCTTAAACGAATCATCCACTGAATCAGACTTATATATCTCAGGTATTCACCCACAGGATATCCAAAAGAAGATTTGTCGTACGACTTAATTGTTGCCGCCGTAAAATTCAATGCTACATGCACTGAATACTACAGTAAGTCATAGAAGAACAGCGCAAATCAACTGCCCCGATATGTGAAACAACCTTTATCTTGTCCATTCAGATAACACATCCTCATATAATTTAAATCACACACATTAAGTATAAGGCCCTGGATTTAGGCCCATGCCAACAAACTGGATGCGATTCGCATGCAAACGCGACGCAAATTTCCATTCTCAGAAACAAGTTAGCAGCTTTTGAAAACTGAAAAATTCGTAAAAATCGTGTCGCGTCGGTGGATCGCGTCCGGTGTGTGTCGACCTTTAGGGCCAAAACGTAGGTCTTAAAACCAGGAAAAATAAGTCGCGACTTAAAAATAAGACGCGACTTAAGAATAAGACGCGACCTCCTCGTATAAACGATACAAAATGCTTGTTAGATAAGACGCGTCTTATGTAAGATGGGTTTTGGGGCAGGCTCGTATAAAGAGACAGCTCGCGTCTTATTTTCCCTCGTATAAATGGCCCTATTGTGTTTTAAAAGAGATCGGCAAAAAAGTTAGTATTTCGGCTGCAGTTTTCGTAACCCGAGTAGCTAAATTTCTATTTTACCCCATTAAGACTGACCACGCCTTCCGAGTTTTTAGGGCCTAATATACGTCAGAAAATTTTGTAGGTGACCCATATTTGTTACCGATGCCAAGCTCGGCCTATCCGCGGAAATACAAAACAAAACCCTTTCCGATGAGAATGAAATCGTTTGACGTCAGACTAGAATAGTACAATCTCATGTAGAAGGGTCAAGGGAAAGCGATCTCTTGGGATGTTTGTAACTGCAGATATTGATTTTTTCGCTTCAAGCTTGTTGTGATTATCACATCGCCGCGTATTATAAAACTAATCAAGTCTCTATCCACGCGCGAACCAGCTTAATAGAAGCATAGACAGGTGGGTAATATGTTATCGAGATTGGTTTATTCTGTCAATATCAATTAAATATCGTGTGACAAAAAGTTCTAGACGTTGATGTATTATCTCGCGGCTAAAACTTGGCCGTAGCTTTCTTTAAATGTGCAAATTGTTATATATGTTCTATATCTTCAATCATCATTTTTTAATGAAAGGTAAATCAGCCTTTGGCCTTCCAAATTCTCTTTGTACCGATTTATTATATCTACATTTCATTTTTTTACCATATTTCAGAAACGTGATCAGGTGAGAGAGGGCGCGTGGAGGTTGATAAAATAGCTAGGCCAGTAAGACAGCACAACTGTATTTGAATAATCACAATATTATAAGCCCTCGTCTGAACTGGACATGTAATTAACAGTCCCAAACAATGCCTGAACATCGAGGATAAACTCATTGGGACACTATTAGTTGGCCTGGTTTGATCCTTAATGCCGTTCAGCATTGTGACATGCGGTTATCTTAAAAGCAGAGGCGTGGAAATGTGCATTCGGACTGAGAAGTAATATTTACAAAAACGCCTCTAGCTATCATGGTTCTTGTAAATCCCAAAGAACTGGTTGAAGCAACTATAAAGTCAGGGGATGGAGTGAGGGGAACCATCACTCTGATAAATTCTATTTTGGGGGGCATACTCCTCTTCCCACGCACTCGCTGACTCGCATGAAAGGAATAAACGAAGTGCATAGCTGTAGCACTATTCCACCCCTTGCACCTTGCGTTCCCGAGGTAATAAACCCACCACCCCTTCTTAACGCAGTTCAAGTCGTCTCACATTTATCCAAACCTTCCTAAGCTTTGTTCGACTGTCCGTTAACTGTCAGAATTTAATATAAAAAATTATCTTCGCTGGGATATTTAGATATACCTGATAAATTTGTTTTCATTACAAAAAAAATAGATTTATGATTTTTGTTATCGGTGAAGTGCGAATATTCTCGATTCCTGGTGGTTAAAAATAAATGGCTTTTTGATTTTACATTCTAGCGTTGTTTATGCAGCATATGCGTTGTGTGGGCAAACTTTGTTGTATTTTTGGCAACGGCTAAACGTTTTTTATTTGAGGACTTCTCTAATGGATGTGTGTGTGGAACGAACAGATGTGAAACTATTTGTGATATGGACACATGCAGTTGCCACCAAGTTGGAAATCCTCACAAAAAACTAATGCCCTTGACATAAAAAAAACCTAGCGTCATCAAAATTTAATAGTTAACTCTACCGAGTATCTTGTAAAAAGCTAACCATGAATGGAATGAAAAGCTATACCCATAACCATAAATGAATATACTTCATGTATTGTTGTCGGCAGGTTCATGTTCGTGTTTTTCCTAATATTGCTGAGAGATAAGAACTCAGCTGGGATCAATGAAAGATATTTTATAAAAATATACTCTGGTTGCAATGTGTTTACTTTGCGTGGCCAGTGTTTTTATGCGATAAAGTATAGCGCAGATATATAACTCAAGCGTATAATGGTATAGAATTCAAGAGTATAAAACTCAAGTGTATCATGCATGGAATGAACTTGTGGAAGAATCCAAACCTGACCGCCATAGGCATAGGAAGTCCGTAAACAGTTATTTCACCATTTCCCAAGGATGCTGATTCGAGTGTATTCTCACATATCTCATCATCCAACAAATTATCATCAGTTCATTGCATTACGTTGTTTTTGGGGTAGAAAAAACAGGCAATTGCGTAGGCATACTTTCGAGAATGGCAACAATTTTTCCCGCCCCAATTGCGGAAAGATAATTTAAATTATGAATATGGAAAACACATTTCTGATATTTCGTAATCTTAGGTTCAAGGTTAGTTGTCGGCCATCTTATATTTACTGGACTAAACCTACTGGACTATGGTCATCAGCGAGGTTAACCTTATAATTATAAAATTATTTTCAAATTAGCAAGTATAAAGAATCCCAGTAAAGTCTGGCGCACACTAGAGCTGTGTTCCTGAGCCAAATGTCGGACATAGTGAATGGCGTAAAAAGATCTCTTTTAAAAGCTCTTGTGAGCGGTTGCCTTTACAAACGGTTTTTGTCATTCGTATCGTGTTCACACGTTTCATTGATTTCTGCGTTTCAAAATCCTTCCGTGGTCAATTAATGCGGCGAACGAAAGCTATCTGCTGTCGTATTTGCGCCTGCGCAGTAAGCGGTCATGCATGCATAGAGTACTCAGGCCATTTACAGCAGGGCGTACAAAAAAGCTACTAAAGGCCCTCAGGTTAGGGCTGCTTTCCACTGTAGCGTTTTTTGTACGTACGTACACGCACGTAAAAGCTTAAAACTTTGTAAGTTGTTGTACAATTGCATGATCAGTTTATCCAGAAGAAAAACACACGAAATCATCAACAGAATCCAACCCTATGCACCTTCTATTCAATCGTCCATTTCATAAGTATATGACTTGAGTGATTTTAATTTTTAACCTTTCACGTGCGTTTACATATACGTACAAAAAACGCGACAGTGCATGGAAAACAGCCCTTACAAAGTGCAATTTTATGCAAATCTCGAGGACTGAGATGTCACGTTCGCACTAAACTCAAAAACAATTATACGATTCACGTTGATCTAATGGCCATATTTCTTATCTACCCAAGTGCAGTAAACAATGACAGTTAAAAAATACATAGAATAAAGATTATATTTTCATTGACATTAGGACTATTCTATATCGGTGAAAATGACTTGGTCTCGACAACTGACGACAAAATGTCAAACGAGCCACGATATAAAACCTATCTGGTACTCTATTTTGTGTTTTAACAGACCCTCACGTACCGGTCGATTATTGATGAAAGAGATTATTATCAAACCAAGCAATTAGGCTAGCCATGTATAGCCATAAGACATTCTAGTTTTACCACTTTTAATATGTCGCATAAATACTTTAATAAACAAAGTAAACGAACTTCTGCTGACATATATTGCATTCAAACGAAGCCATATGCAGTTATCGTCAGTGGACCTCAAAAATTGTCAAATTTGTCTTACACTAATCAACCAGAAATGTGTTTAAACGTTTTTATAAACGCTAGTCAAATTTATCCGTTTTCGCTGCATTTTAGCGGATTTGGTAAGGATATAACTGAAATTGGTAGTGAAATTTGGACCACCTAAATCAGTAGATGCAATGGTCCATCATCCATATTAAACCTAAACTCGTATGCGTAGCTATAGTACACAACCGGGGCTAAATAACGTAGCCGATATAGACATAGACATAATGTTATTAACCTCACCCAGAAAAAAATATTAATAGCGGTGGAACAAAACTACTTGTCGCACGTATAACAGACTTCATATAGGCTTCATATAGGCATATATAAATTGATATTATTTAATACCTGTAAGAAGAGAAATGAACAGATCTCCGTCTCCTCGCTTTGTACGTAGAAAACCACTTCCCTCCTCGCATTGCTTATCAGTATGCCGACATAATCGATAACTAATTGTCCATATGCTAAAAATATTATTCCAAGCGGCTGGGCTAGCCGGATAGTATATCGCCAGTTATCCGGCTTCGTCTCGTCAAAAAGTGTTTCCTGAGCAATTTCAGAGTGTTCTTACTTCTTGGACTTCTCAATATCACCCTAAAACATGCTGCCATTCCTTCGCAAGGTTCTGCTGTGAAAGTTTTACCTCGAGAAGTCATGCACGAGGGTAATTTGCATTCATTATGCGTATATGCTTGAAATTTAAATAATCTAGCTTATCTAACCCGCGACGTTTTGTTTTTTAATGATGCTCTTGAGGTTATTTGTTCACGCATGGACAATGGCTATTTGTATCGCGATCAAATGCAGTCGTCTTAACTAAACGAGTTAACGTCAATTCATTGTTCCTAATACAGTCAAACAAATTATCATAAAATAAGACAAAGGCGATGATCAAAATAATAAGAATAATACTGTACAGGGTGTTCCCAAAAAATGCTCCCTATTATTGAAATCAAGCCTTTGTTAGAGTCTGAACCCAATTGAAAGCAACACGCTTTATTTGAATGCCTCAACCTAATACCTATGCTATTTACACACTACTGCGTTTATCATGGCATTCAAATTCCAACAAAAGCTTCATTTCAATCGGGGGGACTTTTTTTAAGACACCCTGTATGGGGAGTACAGTACAATTCAAATAAAGGCGAAACAAGCAAACTTTTATGTGGCATTTGCGCTAATTATTCTTGCATAAATAATCTTTCGAAGAGCAGCCTGCCCAGCTTCCATCGCACGACGCGCGGTTGCTAGAAGCTCAACTGGGTGCGCGGTGGTGATATATATTCATATATATGAATATACACCACAAATTACGCTTCTAGCAACGGCTCTGGTAAATCCTAAATAGACGAATTTAATCCCAGAGGTTAGGTTGGGATTGGATTTAGGGTTACGGTTTACCTTAAAACGGTTTACCTGTGTATTCAGGATTTCTAAATATCGAATTATTTCCTTGAAGACCACACTAGATTTTAGGCTACTTACACCACAGCATTGGATTAACGCATGGAGGAGATCGAAACCCGGTTAGCCTCATATTGGCCCAATAGTTACGTTTTAACAACAAGGTATTCAATATATGATGAAATAAATGATGCAATATACGATTTAATCCAAAGGTTATCGCAATATTTAGATTCAATTCAATAATTTAATATAACCAATAAATATTTAACAATAATAATTTACAAATACTATCTATTATACACAATGAGTGAAGTATGTACAAGAAGTCGTCAGGCGGTTGCGAGTGGCAGAAAGTTGATCAAATTGTCAATGCTCTAAATCACAGCAATATTGTCTAACCGTAAATGCTACTTCGGATTAGGAGAGCTGAGCTCTTTCTGGCAAGAATAAAGTTCAACGGGAAAAATGGATTTAGTATCTTTAAGCACACTTTCTAGAAAATAGGTTTTTGAATTGGCTAATAAATGGCTGGATTTAGAAAAAAATTAAACAGTGTGTAAACTTTAAACCATAACAGAAAGTTATCAAAAGAATTCAAGAACGATCGTACTAATAAAGTGTTGTTAATTCAGACTCGAATATTTTTTGGTTGGGCGTTCACTTTGTGTAAGAAAACTTTGATTTAGGCCTTATGACCCGTAAAACCTAAACTTTTTCCAGTGCTATATTGTGCAAATTAGTTCATTCAAGCAAAATGAAACTCGCCAGCCTGAGTCATAATATAAATAATTGATAACTAAAAAAGCAAAACAATTTCTCGAAGTTCTAATCCCTTTTCCCCAAGTCTAGACATTACTCTCCTTCATCACTTTCAGCCCGTCGTTGATTTCAGTGGCGTCTCCGGCGGGATCATTCTCTAGGGTTCTCGCTAAGCATTTTGTAACTGCCTCCATCTGTTTCATGACAAGATGCATGGTACGTTCTGTGGTATCCAGACGTTTCTGTAAGTCTGCCAGGTGCTTCTGGGCTGGATAACGGAAGATCATGTAATTATGTGAATATCGAATTACAATTATCATATGGCGTTGGACGGTTTATGGGAGCGACTAGAAAGGTAAGTTCATGAATATGTAAAACTCAGAGACTTTCAAAGAATATTTTGGCAACAATTTTATATGCATATAGTGACCCAAACATAAGTGCAAAAATACTTTCAAGCATCTCACAAATTCGGTAACCCGGTGATGTCATAATGCCGGTTTCGCGGGAGACAGAATTTAATAATTTTTAACAATAATTTACAAAGTTTTGATTGGCAACATGGAAAATTTAGCTACGTAGTGGCTGGGTGGCATTTCTCAAAATGGATCATTCGATGCTATGTTGAGATTTTAATTTTCAGGCGCATTCACGGTGAAAATTCTTCAATCCACATTTTCCCTTGTCCTCTTTCAATCAATTTTTTGTTCGTCTTCTAAGCATGTTTTCGAAAAATTACTGCCAAAGTGAAACTTGAACCCTACTCAAAATGTCAATAATCATATCCCTAACATCATACAGACTCAGAAATTGCTGAATGCAATTTGTAGCATCTCGTGTAATGCAGCTTTAAGAGACAACCTTTGAATAAGTGCTAGGCTTGGATTTTAGAATTTTTAAATCTATGATCAAATTGCTACACACATGTACCTGAATCAATTCCTAGATGAGCTCAGCTTATCTCGATTTATAAATATTGCTCATAATTAAGATAGCTATATGGAACTTCGACGAGAGAGCTTAAAGGCCGCTCTAATGTTGATTAACAACGAGAAGTCTCTGTATAAAGTGCCAGCCTTGTATGCTATGAGAGCTAAAACATATACCGTTCCCCTCGCCTTGCGCTTATAAATTATACGTAGCCATAATAAAATTCACGGCTGTCAATTTATAAGTTGTGATAGTTGCATTGTCACATTGAGCGATCAAATTCTACAGTTATTATGTGATAACTTCGATGAGCAAGGTTTAACATAAGTTTTAAATATATATTTTTAATATCGAACCAGAATAGCATCAGTGAATCTCCCCAAAATTTATGTAATTCTTTTTGATATAGCGATATTTGCGACTGGGCTGACATAACTTATAACGACATTACTTATAAGGCATATTAAAAATGCCATTCAATGATAACAATAACAATAATTTATTGACGAATTTAATGGCAAAATCTTACTCTGAATAAGTTCATATGTCATTTCGGTTATGAGTAATCCCATCCCTTCGTTTAGTTCGGATTTTTCCATGTCATAAATCTCTTTCATATCAGTCTCGGCGTGTGAGGAAAGTTTTATATTCTATCTTATGAATTATTGAGTCGTTCAAAAAAATTTTCATATAAACGGCCGGCAGCCGGCGGTGACTGTGCATCATAAATCAAGTGGAGGCAGATGTTTAACAATGGCAGAATGCCAATGGCAATAACCTACAGTTTAATGCATCGGACCTACTTGATTCGGCCTGGGCTTATTGAAGAATTATTTTCCCGAAGTATTAGACTGCTCACAGGTGGAAATAGTTTGCCAAAGTTTACTCAATTCAATTTTTAGATTCGGGTAAAGATTGAACCGAAATAAAGCCTTTATCAGTGGTTTATTGTGCAATAAAGAAACAAGCGGCTTATCCAAAGTCGGAGAATTAATTTCCACATTTTACTTTGGGTTTCTGCGGCTGTCTGAGTTTAATAACAAAGTTTATGATAGAAATCTGTTTTGCTATATTTGGTTCGCTGTCGTTTTTCATTTTTTTCATGAAACTAGTTTAAACTCTGTAATTATCAATGGAAATTGAAGGATGAGTGTAAGTGATAAGTGTCAATGGATTTCACTGTATTTTTTCATCAAAGAAACTTTTTTCTGGTGAGTTTTAATAGACATTTTGCAGAAAAAATTGACTCTATTTATAACTAGTCCCAGTCCTCTTCCGCGTTTTGAAAATACCTGGACCACCTGGATGGAGTGGACAACCTGAAGTAATGGAATAATTTAATACCTGCACTTCCACCTAACACACACAATTTTTGAACTTCCTTAAGTTGGTTGACACAAGAAATAGCTGCGGCTAATAAATCAGATACTCTTTTCCCACAAGACATCTTTTCTATATCCACCTCGGCTAGGCGCTTCTTAACAAAATCGCAGCTCGGATAATACTGGTTATGTGATGCTAATGGATCGTCATCTTGTAACCACTCCTTAAGAGTGCCTTTACATTTAAAGCACTCAACAACATCGCCACGGCCTGTATATAGGAACCCAGCCCTCGCCAGGGAAAATATGTTGACAGTGCTTGTCGAGGACCATTCACAGAATGTTCGGATGCGACCTCCAATGTCACCATTTTCATTGTCTGTCGGCACTGATGTCACCACTGGGGTTACTGGGGTGACAGTCGGAGTAGGGGTGGGCTGGACCGGTGTCACTGGGGTGGTGGGTGCCGATGGTTGGTTATCTAAAGTGGTATGCATCCGAGTTAAATTATTTCAAAGAAAAAACTTGGTAGCTATTTGAAGCTTGTATGCATGGGCCATTAGGCATGTCATTTGAAATGCATCCTTTTGCCAAACAAATGTGAAATTAATATATCATAATAGGTTTTGTCAAGTGTTATCTCAAAATGCTTGTATTTTAAACAAGGCTAAAATTTTTAAAGAAAATATTTTGAACAATTGCTTTGGAGATTGAAGGAAATTTACACATGATGCGAACGTAAACTAATCTGATATATTGTCTGGACAATAGGATGCATACCACATGACAATAACCAAACACAGACATTCAATTTCATGTTCTACCCAAATGATATCACTAAATGTCTACATAATAGGCAACCTCTCCTATAATAATGATAATTTAGTTCTATGTTATATTTCATTTTTTGTCAGTCTTATATTTAATATGCTGAACACTTACAATATGTAAATAAATATGCACTTTGTTGTACCAAGAATGTTGCATTAGAATGTTAGCAAAAAGTCAGTAAACTAACCTTGTTCTGGATTCAATATGGCTCCCCCAAGAGCTTTGTATTGTGCGGCAAGCTCAGCCTTTCTTTTCTCTTCTTCTGCCTTAAGTTTCTGCAACTTTTTCTTTCGCCTCTACACCATTTAAAACAAGATGAAATTGGTTGTTAATTAACTGATATATGTAATATGAGAAAAGTATGGATACTGAAGTACAGATGCATACACTAAGAGGTAAATAATCCCCTTACATTACATGTTGCAGGTGTTCAGGTTACAAAATGCATGCAACATAGACATAGTTGGCACAAATCTTACTTAATAGCATTCAAGGATGGGAAAATCAAATTAACAAACCAGTTTCCACTGACCCAATAGCTACCCCAAGCAAAGCATCCCTTTCTCTGTATGAATTGACTTAACACTCCTTAACTCTAGGATATTTTGAGTTAAATAATTGGATTAAAAATCAACTTTTTTCCAGTATCTCATGTTAACCAATTCTTCAGCTGATTAAATTATACAAGACAGTATATTTTATGACATATATGAGACAATTTTACTTTTATCTAATAATTTACAGAATTGATTCCTTGGAAAATAAAAATGAGTAAAATTATTGCTTCTCCAATATATGCATAGTTTTGCATTATAAATTATTAACAATGATTTATTGTTAAAATTACTTGCCCTATAAAAGATCTAAGATGATTGAGTGGGCATTATTTGCTTATTAACCCAATATGCATTAGTTTTTATACATATGAATCGTAATAACTGCTAATATTGCAGTTGCATTCCTTATAGGTTGGTCCAAAAGTAACAATACAGCCATAAAATTCAATGTATATCTTGGCATGAAAAGCAAGATAGCTTTAAAGCTTTAAAAAAATTTCAATCAACCTCGTACTATAGATTGCTAGTATAGCATTAAACCAGGGCGCTTCTTTACTATAAATGTTGTGACATTTGGCACATATAGCGAAGAACGCCAATATTATAGACGCGAGTTTATACAAACTTGTTTGCTTTACAAAACGTTATTAGCATTATTATCAATACGATCTGTCAGGAAAATCAGACAAATATATATTGATTTGAGACTGAGTATAAAATAAGTTTGTTTATACCACGACAGCCTTTCAAACAAGGAAACGGATTTTCATGTTTCAGAGGAATACTAATAAATTGCATAAGGTACATCTGAAGGAATATTATATTTTTGGCATTTCAATTTGGCTGAATGCGACCAGCAACCACAAGCAACTAGACGCATTTATGTATAAACGGTATCTTGCACAATTTAATTGCGCATTTTGTACAAAATCTAAACGATTTCTAAGGAATTGTAAAGGCACTTACCCTGACGTACAGTAAAACTAACAGAACTCCAGCGACTGGCAGGATAAATTTCCATGGTACAGGTTTTCCCAGGACCTTTAGGTTTGCAACTTTTTTTCCAAAGTTGACAGCCAATTCCACTTTGGGTTTCACATGTTTCACGTATTTCTGCTTGGCTGTCGGATAAATATACGCGATGACGGCAATCAGAAATGCTAGTGCTGCTAACTTTATCTTTTTGCCCATATTAAACAACTCGAACGGTGGCCAAACGTTTGCAAGTTTACAAGTAATCGCTCTTAGCGTCCGTTCGCATAAGCGTCGCGGTTAAAAAGTTTGTTTACGTCCAAGCTAGCGCATGCGTTTCAATTCTAACGCGAAAAACCGCACGTGCAGCCGGCCAATCGAAGCGTTGCATTTTAGCGGTGTAAACAACATATTGACGAATCAGGAATGGGCTTTTTTAATAAGGTCGTCTACCCGTCGAAATGCAACAGGTAGCAACTACCTTCAAGTGTTTATACCTTAGAAGAGAGCCAGCATTAAACACGAACTATAGAAATATTGATAATGATAGAATTATTGACAACGATTTCAATATTGATATATCAACTACTGCTGCTGGGACAGTATTCCCTATCTAGCACCAGCCACTGTTTTTCACACCTGTTTTATCGCCCCCCCCCCACGCAAGCCGGCCAGAAGTCTGTTTAGATCTGTTTCTAAAATTCATACATCACAAAGGCTTTCCTTTAAATTCTCCCCAAATCTTTGACGCAGGCACACGACTCCGGTTCTGGAGGTATGTTTTTCATCAATTGACCTTTTCATCAATATAGACGCCATTTTGATATCGCAAAGCGTTGTGGTATATGGTATATACGAACATGCATGCATCGGTGCATACTGCTTCGGCGATTCTCTTTATTTAACAAAGGAGTTTGTTATATAATATACTGAAGCGAAGCATTCAGTAAATTCGGAAGCCATTCGTGTATTGTTTCAAAATAGCTTATGACCAACAGAGTCTAACGATGTATGTTGTCCTACGGCTACACACAGAATTGTTTTGCCTTTCAATTACTAGGATTACTAGTTCGAAAAAACCTAAAGCGAAAAATTAGCCTATATCTTGAATTCGAAGTTTAAAGTTTCAACATTTGTATCATTGAGACATTAGACGTTCCTTAGTAAAAGTATTTATTTACATCCGAGCTCTCGACTAGTTTTGGGTTTTCGACGGGAAATTTAAAAAGAAAAATTTCTTTGACTGTATATTTAACCTCATGTTTGTAGAACTTTTCCTTGTACGTTTCCCGCCGAAGACTATGACGGTCACTCGCTTTTATCGGATAAATTTCTCTTTCAAATGTCTTTATTCAGGCTTGACTTGTGTCTAATGCAGTAATGCATCTGTATGACATTGAGTTTGGCTTCTTTTAATTTATATATAATTTTTTAAATTGTCCATAGTTCTTTGGCCAACTAAGTTAGGTGTCTTCACTACAACCCACGCGGTTTCTGCACACGATTTAAAATAAGTGGCCATGATTAACCCAAGGACAAGGTGGAATACCTTTGGCACGAAACTATGTTTAATCAATTAACCGAAAGTGGCCAAAAGTTATCAAATTCCGCGTTACTGCCATCACATACTTACATAAAACCAGCCAAGATATGTTATATAATCCTTTTTGCTATAGTGTAAACACGTGTAACTGGAAATCTAGCCTTGGTAACGCATTACAACGTATCTATTTACAACACGATAATACTATGACACATTCTTTTAAAAATAAGTGGCAAATTCGGCGTATTACTCTAGCCGGAAATGGGTTTAAAGCAATAAACGGAAGTGAATTGATATGCATAATCGGGAATAAAAAGCATAATTATTGCGATTTGAAAAACCGAAATTTGCCAAGAAGTATATTTGGAAACTTATAAAGACCGTCATACACTATTGCAGTCGCGTGAAATTGTACGAAATGTTTCAAAGACATATGTTTTGCACTCGTGAGCCTGTTTGTTTTAGTACAAGAGAAAGGCTCACATCCGGCAAGCCTTTATCGTTATTCCAGGAACTGCAATTTTGGGAAGACCCAAGTCTGTTGATAATAAATACGGGATTCACCTTACGGAGAATCAGTACAGAGGAGCTGCACTTTAAAAACAATCACTGGTGATGAGGTCTGACATTTTCGGGGCAAATGATGGCAAACTTCATAGCACAGTTTGGGCAAAATTGCAATCTAGATTACAGCTCCGTGCCAATGTTTCAAAACGAAAATTTGGATACGTCAAGTTTATATGCCTATACAGACTGGGTTAGTATCAGATTTTTATAGTTTTTCTACACGTGTCAAAAGCGTTTCTACGTTTCCTAATTTTCCCCAGAACAAGTTAGCAGTTGGTCACATCGAACTTGGTGGCCGGTGATGGTAATAAATGCTATCGTAGCTGCCGAGGGGCGCTATTTGAACCACCCGAAAAATGTTCAAAAGATTTCGGTCCTTCGATCGTGGTTTTTAAAAGCAAGGAGATTTATGGCCACTACCGCTTAAAATTCGGAATGGGAGCGGTCGAAACCCGAGATAGTATAATCTTTTTTAAGTACGTTTCGTCAGAAACCAAAGAAAAAAGTGAAAATATAGCTAGTAGATTTTCTTCGAGATAACCTTGATAGTGAAACATAAATGAAATTCAATACGTTTGTCTGACATTCGGTTCGAATTACCCCGAAAATTACTCGGGTTGTTCGTAAGTTACTTTGGGTTGTTTTAAAGTCACTTTGAGTCTTTATCTTTAGACCTTTCTGCTGTCTATGCCTAAAAGCCGAGTAATATACTGAATTCAGTTCGATTCCATTTGTATATAAGCGACAATTGTTATCCTTGGTTACATCTTAGAGATAGAATATTTAAGCACATTTGGATTTCGTTTACCGCTGGAGAAAAATTTCGTGGGCGATTTTGTTTTGGTGCACGCGTGGTTGTTGTTTGCAAACTATTTCATGACAAAATAAAGTTTAAACTTCAAAGCATTCCCCAACAGTAAAATAATTTCGTTTTGTCAAGTTTAATAACTGCTTTATTACTTTTTATGTGCTCTGTAAGGAGATGTGCACACGGTAACGTTTTTGAGCGTTTTCAATTTTTGTTTTCATGCCAAAACGGTTTCAAACACCCTCAATAAACCAATTAAAGTTGAAGCTAATTTAACATATTGAGCATTTGGACCCGTAAACTGAGCGTTAAAACCATTCTCGAGGCGAAAACGATTTTAAAAACGCTCGAAAACGATATTCCTGTGCACATAGCCTCATGTCGCTGATAAAATGCGGCAATTTAGCGAAATAACGTTTCGTTAAATATCGTTTTATGTTGTTTAAAGGTACGGACACCAAGACCATGCAAAGACGTCTTAAGACAAGCTATTCGTGTGAGCAGAATCAAGAAAGGACAAGAAATGCCTGTGATTGACAAATCTAGCACAGTTCCGCATAAGAGAAGGAAGGTGAGGAACCTAATCAACTGTACCACTTTCTTCAGGGAGCGATGCTTAGGTCCGAACATGGACCAGCTTTATGTCTGAGGACAACAGCTTTGAATCGAGGCTTTCAGAACCATCAATAGTTGGAAAATAGGCATTCAGAACAATAAAAGTGGACCTAAACGTGACGTTTCGATTCTTTATCTAGCCCATGCAAGGGGACATTCCCAAAGAAATGTTAATAAGAAGGCAAAAGAACCGGGAAGCTGCGAAAAAATGCCGGTTGAAGAAAAGAAAAAATGAAGAAATACTAAAAGGGGTAAGAACGAAAATGAAGTGACATTTCAAAATTCTGACACGTGTATTTGACATGTACATTACGCTTTGCTTTCAGAAAATCCAAAAGTACAAGGACAAGAACAGTGCAATAGAGAACGAGATTAAACAATACAGAGACGAAGTATCCCAGTTACAAAGCTTGCTGCAGCAACACAACTGTAAGAAGGATGCAACAAAGTCTAAGCAACATTGCCCTGAAGTTACTGCGAGTACATCATCACAACACAGTGCCAAACTACATAAAGTACCGACAACCGCTGAAGAGGAAATCGCGGGCTCAATTGATGATTTGCTCACCGAACTTCAGGATGACGACGGCTGGTGTGAAGAACTAGTAAACTTCATGTAAGAATATCAGACAGGTTTCATGTGAATCGTGAGACAAAATGACTAACCTGCCTAACCAGCAAGAGGTCTTCTGAACTATAGTTTAACTTTGGCTAAAAACTTTAACTTTAACTAAAATATGAACTTTGATTCAAAGAGATACATTATTATTTAATTTACCTTACAACTATTAAGGTTCTCTCAATTTTAAAGAGAGCACATATATGGATTTATAAATTTCTCAATTTTAAGGAGATAAGTTTTATTTCAGTAATCTTTCCGTTCTAGAGAGAATTATGTATACATGTATACGATTTTTTGATAATAAATTCGATGTTCGAATGCTACTAGTTAAATACTTGTCTTCTTTTAGCGTCCATTTCCGGCATACGAGAGGTTCAGGAAAAACTAGATATATTCGAGTGACACCTGTGCACAGGCTAGAGTCACTGGGAAAAGCATATTTCCCTTTTTTTTCGAAAGAGTTTTACTACAAATTATTTGAACAAAATTCCGGAAAAACTACTAGAGGTTGCGAAAAAACTTTGTTACCTCACCAGTGTCTATGCATAATATGCCAAGTTGGCCTTCTTCTTCGCTTGAACTTCCAAAATACCTACGTAAACATAAAACAGAATTATTTCTTCTTCCGACACTGCCGCAGTCATCACTGAATATGACACAATATCCAGTATTCATAACATCATGGCAGCTCAAGTTAAGCGAGGATTTTGAGCACTTACCGTCCATGTAATCTTCATGACCAACTTCAGTAGCACCTCGTCGTAACGCGATCATACCCTGTCAGCGGGTTATAAAAAAATGTAGCATTGCGAGTTGGGCTGTATTCATATTGGATTATGTGTGACCATGTGATCACAAACTTTGACAGTGTAAACTGGGCCGAGTTTTATTTCAGACTTACCGCTTCGACGCAGACTGCTTTACATTGCGCACCGTTGAAGTCGTCTGTGCATCTCGACAACTCTTCAAAATTCACATCCGAACTAAAACGAATAAAACCAAATGAACCAACTGAAACAGTGCTGAAAACAACAAGAAACTCGTATTTCTCAAGTATTCGTCTTGAAAGGGATTAGACCTACGTATACAGTGGAAAGCCATGCCTCGCGACGACGCGAATAAAGCGGAGAGAATATTGTCATTACCTAACATTCATTTTCCTCGAGTGGATTTGTAGAATCCTAGCTCTGGCTTCCTCGTTGGGATTGGGAAACTCGATCTTCCTATCAAAGCGACCTGAAAGTCAAAACATGCAATATAGAGTATAGATTAGAGCGGGGAAATGTGTTTCCAGGCGCATGATTTTGCTTAAAGCCGCGGCTACACGACCAATTTTTGTAGGCGATATGCTATTGAGGGAATTATGTATGTACAGAGTTGGATAATATTTGCGAAGAAAGGAAACTAATTCGCTAAATATGACCAATAGCATACACCAGGAGAAAAATATCGCCGTCAAAAATCGCCCGTCTAGTCGCAACTTAACTCATTAAAAGATATGAAAACATAGTCCATGCATACCGGATCTCAGCAAAGCCGGATCGAGAATATCAACACGATTAGTCGCGGCAATCACCTGAAAAAATGCAGAGTATATTACCACGAGCGGTCCAATTTTGCAATATAAATCTAAATTTGTCGGAATAGTAAAATCACAAACATGTTAAAGCATTTTGTTCATTCTTTCTTGGTTGCTCATTCTTTCTTGGTAACCAATAACATTTTAAAGAACAATTTTTAGCGGGCTTCCTTCGTTGTTCTAAATTCAATTAGTCATTTACTGGCTTTATAAAAAATGTTGCATGTTGTAAACAACCTCCGTTTGACCGTTACATTTACATCAATAGACAATTTTCAATTCTGTACTGTGCCTCTCGTGCTTAAGGACTCTGGTCAGTCGGCCGAACAGGGCGTTCAAGATATCAAACAAGTGAAAAAAACACAGAGAAGCAAAAACAAACTTTCAAATGTGGATACTGATGATAGTAATATTAGAAAGATTGCCTTGTCAGTTCAGAATTCGCTTTGTATGAAACAATTGCCTGGTATTTCATAATTACCTTGATGTTAAGTGATGAGCTAAAACCATCCATTTGATTTAACAATTCCAGCATAGTCCTTTGTACCTAAACATGTGAAAAATCGGGTTTGAATTTTACTTAGTATCGAAGCGTCAAAATTAAAAAAAAGCCACGTTTTGACAAACCTCTCTATCGCCAGCTTTTTCACTGTCAAATCTCTGTCAAAAAATATTATAGGCGCATTAACGTATAAACCTTGAAACACTATGAAATGTTAAAGATAATGCAGCATACTTTAGTGCCAATGGCGTCCAACTCGTCTATAAATATGATTGCGGGTGCCTTTTCTTTTGCCAAAGCGAACGCGTCTCTGACAAGTTTAGCTCCATCACCAATAAACATCTAAAATTAATGACAGCACAAAGCCAAAGGCTTAATGGATTGACAAATTATGTTTCTATAGACTATATATATAGGGCCTGTTTACATGGAGCCGAGTTACCCGGGTAACCGAGTTACTCGCCTTGCAGGGACAAAACGGTACTGTGTTTATATGGAACCAGGTAACTCGACGCACTTACTATGTAGGGTGCGAAATTTCAAAAAGTTTTTTACAATGGTGGTAAATGAAACGTAAACGCGCATGCGTGTTTGGCGAATATTCTGCTCGCCTAGCCGAGTTTCCCGTTGCAAAGTGTTTATATGGTATAACCGAGTAACTCGCCTTGCCGAGAACCCGGCACCGTTTGCCGAGAACTCGGCACGCCGAGTTACTCGGATGCGCCATATAAACAGTCAACCGAGATATGCATACAATATATAGAACAGGCGAGAACTCGGTGCTGCCGAGTAACTCGGTTAGCCGGGTAACTCGGCTCCATGTAAACAGGCCCTTAGTATAAAACTGCATGGCTAAGCAATATATCCCTTGATACATGTTTTTGCATAAATATAAAGCGAAAAAAGAATCAACCAAGCTCTGTCAATAAGCTACTTATTATTATATGACAAAAGACGAAACACAAAATCGCTTTTTATTTTATAAAAAGAAAGGCGTTTACAAATGCCGCAGTTTGAATAAATCCGGTAAGTGCTAATTAATTTCGGAACAACGCAGGAAGTCCGTTAAACGTTGTTCTCTAAAATGTGATTGGCTACGATGAAAAAATAACAAAATTTTGGAAATAATATTCGGATTTTGAATTTCCGTAGCCTGTCAATCATTTTCATTGTTTTCAGAGCGGTCGAAAACAATACTATAAGCACTGGAAATCTTGTTTGTTTTGGCGGGAATGCAGTACAGTACACAGTTGAAATATTGGTTGAAATACAAAAGTGTTTTATTCCCGCTTTGCCTTCGGTAGCCTGTTGCGAATTACCGTGATTTCATTATAATATCATAACAGTATACAGTTAGTATATCAATAGTTTTATTTGACACCATAGTTGCTATCCAAAGAAGTATTTTTGTAATATCTATATTGAATTATACTGATATACTTTGAGGAATTTACTTGAAATTAAAACGCGGTATATCAGAAACCCGAAAAAAGGAACAAGTTTGCTATTTTGGCGATTTCTATCTATATTTGACTGCTTTTCGACTGTATAATTTCATACCAATGTTTATCAAATTTTTACGTACCTGAACTAACTGTGGGCCAGCTAACTTCAAAAAAGTAGACTAAAAAACAAAAAAAACCATGATCATGAACAATATTCAATATCAGTAACGGTAAAGCGAAAATTGCGTCCAATATACTTTGTTTAATGCTTTTCATTAGACATTACTACATAATATGTGCACGAATTGGTTTGCTATATCAATATGACAATATATATTCGGCTGTATGTATGAGCAACTAATTTTTTATTGTATATAATATCTAGCTGTATTATTCTACCATTTCTGTTATTCTATTTTATTGAAATAATATTTTCTCACGAGCGGGTTTTTCTAAACTGTCGCCTGTCGGGCGATTTTTTCAGCTCTCGGGCGGTTTCTAGTAGGACCCATTTGAAGGATGTCCTTTTTTGGCAGGAAAAACCTAGATCTCCTTACTTTAGTTTGTGCAGCACAAGCTCTTGCCATCAATGTCTTCCCAGTACCAGGTGGTCCATACAATAACACACCTACATAAGTTGTACAAACAGTTTCATCGTGAAATGAGCACTCCATGAGACAAATAATATCAGTACAAACAAATTGAATTATTATATATATATATATATATATATATATATATATATATATATATATATATATATAAATATAAATCATTCATATGTACCTTTAGGTGGTTTAATTCCCAAATTTTCAAAACGATCTTTGTGGGTCAAAGGGAGAACTACAGCTTCTATTAGCTACAAAATACAAAAATTTCACCTTAATATTTATTAAAAATTTTATGAAATTACAAACAGCAACAACATGGTGGCCTACAAGGCTCTTATGGTATGGTACCTACCTCTTGTATTTGCGTATCTAGACCACCAATATCACTGTATTGTTCCGTAGGTCTTTCATCCAATTCCATAGCCTTGACCCGCGAGTCATATTCTGTTGGTAGCTTCTCCAAGATGAGATAGGAATCCTTATTTACCCCCTACAAATGTGAATTGAAAATAGGTTTTACTCCTCAGTATTTAAGTATATAAGGATGTGAGGAAGCCATCACCCTTAGAACTTACAATCAAATCTGCAGGTTTCAGTTCTTCTGGATCAACCAGGCCAATAACAGGAAGAAAATATGTCTACATAATTACAATAAAACATCAAGGGCTAATGTATTAATATATACAGGTCTGGTACTCTTAGGTTTGAGTTAAAAGCACTCATCCATTGATTTGCAATGTTTCTATTTCCAGTATTTTGTATTTTCACTATTTTACTTTCACTATTTTCACTATTTAGCTACATGGGGGTTTACGCAGGAATTCTTCCGAACTGTAAAATTGAATTTTCATGACGGCAAGGAATAGCACCATAACAGGTTTTCAACATTGTTATGGAGTTCAAACGTTTGGTTGTTGCAAATGAAGGATTTTCTTGATCTAAAACAGGCTGGTTGTCTAAGGTAGGCCAGCTAATATGAAGAGGTGATGAATCCTTAATCATTATATCTATACCTGTCTCGTTGATGTTTTAATGACGGCACATTTCCCTTTTCTTTGTGAATCCAAATCAACATTAGCACCTTCTTCTTCAGCCTAAAATAGTTTTCATAAGTTCTTATTGTTTAGATTGTAGTTTATTGGAATTATAATATTTGAATAACAGATGAAATTGGGTATTGTATTAAAAAGAATAAGGAAGAAAAGAAAGAATTATTTTTATGTTCATAAGTAGTGATGACCCATCACCTGTTCTTGGGGATCCACTTCAAGTAACTAGAGAAAAACACATAAAAAGAATGTAACCTTCACCAAATGAATTGTCAGAATTAATGTTTCTCTTGTAACAGTTGTATGAGATGAAATAGAATGAAATACACATTCACAGAAATTACCTCAATAACATTTGAGACAAGATAGGGCAAGGTTTTGTTAACTTTGATTTTCTCGGTGTTTTCCTACAAGATGAATTTACATGATGTCAAAAAAATACATCATTTGGAGACATAGCAGTTTAGTTTGGCTTTGCTCTGTTATATTTCAATGCCAAACTCAAGAAAATATATGTGTGAAATATAATCCTAACAAATGCTGTATCCAGAAGTACACATTCTAACATTCAAATGAGTTTTATACCTTTATTTTGTCTTTCATTGCTTGTTGTTCATGGTTAACACGCATTATTTCACTTTTCATGATCTTAATTTATAAAGAAAAGATTGTAAAAAGTAGACAAAAGTAGTCATATAGAAGACTACCGTACACAAAGGTCTATCAAATTATTCAGAGAAAATACATTGAAATACCTTGATGTCATTGTCCAAAAGTCTAGTCCGACTTGTAATTTCTTCCGTGGACATACGCAGAATTTCGAGATCAATTTCCTGTCACATTCACAAAACAGTTTATTAAAAATGCACATCAATTTTCTGTTGTAAAAAAATCCCCCCGATCACGAAAATATTTCGATTGCAGAAATCATCAAATTCAAGTTATTGAAGTAAAGAATTCCCTGCTACTTGTAGTTGAACTAAATGCCTAACAATATTTAGTAAAAACCCTAAAATTGTACAAACCTCTCCATCATCCCAAATAGCTTTATCTTCCAATGTGGTCGCCATCTTGAAATGTTAGAGGTCAGTGAACTTGTTGGATAGACAGGATCACTGACAGGATATTTAGTGTTTTTGCATGATATTTGTGATAGCTCAGGGCCATTTATGATCACATGAGGACATTATTAATAAAATTTGGATAATAGTGATCATACGTGTACACTGAGGGTTAATGAACAACAGTACAAAACGACGACGATAAGTGCAGACTAGTGAAGGGTACCGAAAAAGATTTAGATGTTAAAAAGTAAACTACCTTTATCAACAAAACCATATTAATTTAGGATTTCTAAATTAAGACCTAATTGCTTTCAAAATTAATACCTAGTTTTCCAGAACTTAGTCTTGAGGTTCTTCTTTCTACAATTGTATAGACAAGGCGGGCTAAGGGAAATTCCTGCAAATCTAGAGTCATAAGTTAGTTCAAATAGTCGGCCCTGATTCACGTTAATCCCCACAGGTTTGGGGCATGGGAACTTATCAGAAGCAAAGGAATGTGTTAGGTTAGACGGTATTATCGATCCAAAAACTTCCTCTTTCCTTTTTATCAATATTAATCCACTCAGAAATTCTTTGGAAATTCCGTCTAGATTATAGCTGAAGTTCCTCCTTAGTCCTTTCTTTGAAAGAATGCTATTGTAATATTACCTTCCATGGCCATGCAATATATCATTTTTACCCTAAAGCTAAACTCTTAACGGCTGCAAACATAACCTTAAGACCTTCCATTATTTTGGCTTAGAATGGTTGCGTTTCGTAACACAATTCAAACCATATCTATATTATGCATATATTTAAAAAAAACAATGAAATATTACAACATTTGGATATTTAGTTCGCTACAGAGTTTGTGTTTCACGTTTCTTCTTAAACGATCATCAGGCGAATGATGATCGTCACAGTTCAGAAGAAACGTGAAACACAAAGTGTAGCGAACTAAATATCCAAATTTTGTAATATTTCTTCGATTTTATTTTATAAATTGCTCTATTAAATTTTGGTATCGAGCATTCTTGGATACTTTACTTAATTGTATCAGTATGAGTATTTTATGTATATCCTGTATGGATGTGTATACGTGCATGCATGTTAATACACACGTTTACTAACTTAAGCTTCGACGCCTGCATAGTTTGCGGTAATAAAAAATAGATATTTTAATAAGTATTTTTAAGAACTCTTAACTTGTCAACTAATGCTGTCAGTGTTTTTAAGGGTGATTATCTGGACATAAACAACACAAGTTCATCGAATGAACACTATTCAGATAATGCCGAATCTGAGCCACCAGGAGGAACTCTGACTGAGCTATCTTGTGAAACTGCATGAATAAAGTTAGTTTAGTACTTTGGCACTCGAATAGTTACAGGCATTCTGATTCTTACGAGAACATAAACAGGAAGAACAGCTTAAATCAGATCCAGTTATCCCGCCTAATTACAATCATTTCAATTCAAGGTTCCTCCTGTAGTAATTTGGGCGAACCTATAACAAAGATCTCTTGAAAATTCTTGAAAATACAGTTTAAATGCGACTAGGCATACAATTTCTTATCTCATTCTGAAAGCTCGTTCGCTACCAGCCGTTCCCAGTCCATTAAAAAGGATAAAGACAAGAATGTATTTACAGTACTCAAAATGAGGGTCAACAAAATAAGAATATACCTGCAATACAAAATAACGAACAAAGAGTTACAATACAATACGACAAGGACAATGAAGGACAATAAGACATCAACAACTTGTTACCAAAGACATGATATTACACCACAAAGAGCTTTGTAAAAAAAATGAATTTCCAGTTTCACGTTTTATGATGACTGTAACAAGACTAACTGACAACATATGTAACTAATCATATGTAACTGTGCACTACATAAATAATAAAATGTCGGAAATATTATGGGAAGAAACTTTGCGTCGAAAACACATGATCTTTATAATAACAGGAAAGGCTTGAACTACTTTACACATAAACCCCTCCCAAACAGGCTTATAAATACAAGTTGCATAGAATTTCGGCGACATTTGCATCGCAGTCCCTTGGAACAACGACACGAATTTCAACGGATATTTTACAATCAGGTAAGAATTCGTGTTAGTTAAATGTTTTACGTTTTTCCCGTGAATATAAGTTTAATATTGCAGGCGATTTGTTATTGTTGTAAAGACGAGAGAAGCTAAACGATATTTGAGTAAAAGGTTAAATAACTATTTATCACATGCACGTCTAATTTTCTCCACGATAGATGAGAGACCATTAACAAAATCCAGAGCGCTGCTGCTACAACGGAAACAGGGCAGCGAAGCAGGGATGCAATATATCTTATAACTTTCAGTTTGAAGAAAGAATCACCAACAAATCCTATTGGCAATTTTGTACACAGATTTACATGAATGTTTGTTTTGTGCGGGGATACATAAAAATAATTCCATAATGCAGTTGTATGCTTATTCCATGCATCTTGAGTTCGCTTTCAAATATGCCCAAACGTTATTCGCTAACGTTTCTGGGATATTGAATGTAAAAGTTCCCAAGCAGCGGTATACGAGTGCATAAATATCACGCAATGCCAAAATCTTTAATATGAAGTTGCATTTCAGTTCTCTACTTACATAGGCAGCAACCAGATAAGTTATATTTCGTAAACGCCTTAAAATCAATTTCTACATCAATGTTTTGCGAATATCAGACCTACTTGATAGCTCGGTTCAAACTTTGTTTTTGCAAGCTCTAAATTTGGAAAATTGCCAAACTGATTTGGAAGCCGAGACTTTCAAAAAAGACAAAAAATTCCTTTGGCTTTGATGCAAGTGGCCTCCTTTAAAAAATTAGTGCATGTACGTGCATAGTCGTTCGATTAGCAATGGCGGTTTATAGAAATTATAAGGCCAATAGAGAATCTACATTTGTAAAGACTTCCTAAACCATGACATATGAGGGCAGAACTCAGAGGTAATTAAGTCAATATTCGCGGAAGTTGTTACAAGATATCCACGCATATGTCAGGCATCACAGATTTTTTCATGAAAGATTTTTAGTGGTTTATTTTGGGAAAGAATGTTGTTTACAGCAAATGGTAATAATGTAACCATGTTTAGGATCTCGCCATTTGGGGGGGGGGGGAGTTAAGTTTCAAAAGATTAAAGATTCATGCCAATTGTCGTAAATTTCTATTTTGTTCATTCGCTTTTTGACCGAAAACAGTTCGCTGATCTTATGCAAAATCCCATTCAATTTATGCACTCAATTTATTGGCACAACACGGTTAAAATTGGCACCGTACCCAATTTTATCAATGCTCAGGATACCAAAGCAAAGGTCGAGCCTGTGATAAAACTGGCACGCGGGTAGCCATTTTAGCCGTGTCGATAAATTGAGTGTAGTGTACACGGGGGGTTTTATCATAATCACTAGTTATATACTAAATGCAAACAAGGACGTTTGTTGAATCGACAACTAATAGTTTGTATTGTTGAAGTGCGAAAGAGTCTGTTGTTCGAATCCTAATTTGGCATGATTTCAAAATCAATATTGCATGTAAAGGCCAGTTCACTCATGCGATTTTAGTTGCGATTTTATATATGGCCGATTATCTTCTTTTGATAGATGTGAACGAGTAATAAGTTACGAATAATCTGACGTGTATACGAGCACCTATTTTGACATCCGTAACTAATTCACTTGTTCATATCTGGTTTCAAGTAAAGCTTCAGTACCGTTGTATCTACGTGTAGGCCTAAAACCTAGCTCTCAGACATGAACGTACTTTTGAATGTTGACAAATTATACAACTTTATATATCAGATTTATTGTTGAGACTTTTGTATAAACATGCATGCATTTAGACCAGTGACACAGCTAGATCTAAATCGTGATATTCCGTGCTTCTGGGGTGAAGAATGTTTCAAAAGGAAAGAAAAAAAGTATACCTAAGAACCGTATGCTATATCATGCACCGTAGCCAACACGATATTGGCAGTATTCCATTCTATATTTCTTCCTGGAATTAGGTTTTTAATAAGGCCAGTCCTTTAGTCTATTGGCCATGCACTTCACAGAGCCCCCTTGTCAACGTACTATCTTCACGAAAACATAGTATGAAAGGTGATTCCCATAACTAAACTTCAACAAATTTTAACATCTTCTTCCGGGAACCTTCAAAAGCAGAAATTCATTCTTGATTATAGTGGAGCCATGGCAGACGCATTGCTTATTGCAAAGAAGGACGATCTTCAGTCGAAGATTGGACCCTTTCCTGTTCTCCTTCTTGAAACGTTTCAAAACTGGGGAATGACGCAACAGATGACTGTAATTTCGGTGAAACCCAAGACGGCTAAAGAAGTTGAAGACATCCTTGCTGCAGCCATCAGTTATAACGCAGAGTTGAAAAACACAGTGAAGGTCTCCGTGCGTTGTGTGGGTGATGGACATTCTTGGTCTCCTCTTTTCCCAGACAAGGGAAGCATCTTGATGTACACCTCAAACCTCGTTCTGAACTCACATCAGCGCATTAGACTTGATCAGGTTTGTTCAATGAGCTTAAAATAAGTGGAACGCTAGCTACCTCCGGCCATAATTGTGGTTTTATGAATTCGTACGACACGAACACATCGTTATATTCCGTGCTATTAACGTTATTTCAAGAATTAAAGCTCCAAAAAAATCCTTGGAATATATAAAACTGTTCTGCATGTCATTTCCTGAGGAAATATACTTTCTGGAGGAGTGTCGTGCATTAATCACCAAACTTTGTTATACCTAAGCGATATACAGTATATTATTGAGTTATGATAGCATTATTCACTCCTAAAGGAAATTCATTATCTTAGGAACGAGGCCAGTGCTTCAAAGAGAGCCTTGCATCTAAGCACGCTTTTCATTAAGCAGCCAAAATGGTCAGACCGGTCATATTTTAAATTGAAATAGAGTATTTCGTTAAGAATATAGCGGTGAAACAGCTTTTTCCGTGCTAGTCAGATGTAAATAACGATATACTTGAATGCAGAGTTCTTGAAACAGTCTAAAATACCAGTAATCTGTCTTTAGCGAAATACAACAGGACCGGTCTAGCCGTTTTTTCCGTATAAATGAAAGCGCCCTAAGAAAGTAAGGCAGCAAAATCTTCAGGTCTTTGCATAGCTTTTATAGAGCTTCACAAAAGACGAGAACAATTTTGAAGGGGAATTCTGAAACATGAACACCTAATTATTCAAAATTATGTTGTAGCAGTGCCCTTGAGAATTGGTTCTCATAATTTGTTTAATAATGTATTAAAGAAGAACTGAAAAACTCCTCTCTTTATCTCAGAATTTTTTTATTTTTCCATTTTTTTACAAGGTTGAACTTTGCACGCAAAATCCATTGACTATAACCATGGCACCAGGTGTAACAACTGGAGAACTCAGCAAATTCTTCACTGAAAACAACGTGTGTTTTAACACCGATGTCATCTTAGACAAAGTGACTTATGGTGGAGTAATTGCGCCAGGTTGTCACGTAAGTTCATGCTTCTGACAGAACAACTTCTCTCCCCCAAAACTTAATTTTCATTATCCCAAATCTTCATATATTATAATTTTTACTTTTATTAACCGATGATTTGCTTAAAGCTTTCTTCAATTTCAGGGCGTAGGAAAAGACCAGTTGGCAGTGTCAGACTACGTGACAGGAATGAGCATCGTGGGAGCGAATGGTAAAGAAAGCCACTACACATTCCCTTCGGGTAATCCTGACCATGACAATGCCTTGAAGGTAATAAGAGAAGATTTTATGGCAATTCGCTCGATGAAAGACAATTTCCAAAGGATTAATGGTCTTAATTTCGAGTGAAAATAATAAAGATGTCGAATTAAAAACCAGAAAAAATATGACAAAACATAAATTCACTATCCATATACTATAGTATTTAGAGGGATACTCGTTCTAATGCTTGATGTAACTTGCATGTTACCGAAATAATGGTTAATCACGATGAATTTGGACAAAAAACTACAGTAACCATATAAATTTTCTTCAGTGTAACATGGGTTTGTTTGGAGTGATGACAAGCATTACTATGGCGGTTCAACCAATGACGATTGTCGAAGTTGTGAACGACTTCAGTTATACCGTTGAAGATTTGTTTTACAATCCCTCGACATTGGAACAACTTTACGAAGATAACTGGTCTCTCGAAATCTTTTGGTTTCCTTTCAACAGTTTGTCCTGGTTGCAATTGATCACCCTGTTTTCCACTCAAAGACCAGGTAAATATTTCACAACAACCATGGACTGGTTGAAGTGGAAGTCATGCCCGTTCTGTGCGTTGGTTCTGCTCAGAACAATGTGAGCCTCTCCGATGAAAAAATTGCCCAAATTTTCACTACCAGTTGCCAATATTTCTCATAAACTTTAGTTTAAACTGTATATTATGTAAACAAACAATCTTTGTTTACAATCGACTTGATTTTGCCAAGAACAACAAATTTCAAGAAATTTCTTGGCATCACTTTCGTCCAGTATCGAAGTGTCAGTTTTGTTGTGGTCTGAAGTTATCGATGTTTTCTTGGTGATTTTAATAAATGATGAAAAATCATCTTTTTCAGCTTGGGTGCGTTGGGATCCGAGAAAAGATCTCCTGTGGGTTAGGAAAATAAATCCTGCAAACGTTCCGAATGAACCCACTCCGACTGAGGTGGATTATGGAATCAAGAAAGTGCAGGATTTATTGTCCACTGGATTTGGAAGAGTAGTTGCTCCTCATTTGAACAAAAACCAATTTCTGGTACCATCCTTTTTGAAAGCGGGATTCGAAATGGTGAAGTTGTTCAATTCGACAACTCGCTATGAGCAAATGAACGAAGCCATTCATTACCAGGGCTTCATTGAAATCATGCCCGTTCTTGACATGGAGTTTGCCTTTAACGCTGATCCAGGAACATTCTCTGAACAAGTCAAGGCCATGCAATCCGCCATTGACGTGACGAAAGATTACTATGACGACAAGAAATTTCCTCTGAGTGTTGCCATGGAAATGAGATGGATGGCGTACAGCAACTGTCTAATCTGCCCGGCAAATGGAGTGCACAGCAATACTGAGGAAAGTAAGAAAGTTTTTAATTTCGTTAAAATGGTTATATGAGATAATTTATAATACAAAACCCACATACGAAGTTAGTCAGCCTTGATATAACTGCAGTCAAAAGATAGGAACGAATAAAGTTGCATTCGAGGTGAAAACTGCCTACTTTTCGTTTCAGACAAGCAAACCCTGTACTTGGAAGTGCTTGGCCTCGCTGGTCAACAAAATTGGGATGATTATACGAATGATGTTGCTGCTGAATGGATGGATTTGCAAATAAATGGAATGTCATCACTTCCTCACTGGGCCAAACAGTGGAGTTACCTCAATGGTATTGACGATCATATCCAAGCGGTAAGGAATAGCAAAAAATTTTTAACTTTCTTATGAAAATCACACTTTATTATATAAATATGCTTCCTACTTACATTAGCCTTTCCTCCACATTCTTTCTTAACCCTTTTATTCTGGAGATACAGCAGTTCGATTTGCAAAACGTATATAACCAGTGATTATCCCAGATTTTAAAACATTCTTTTATTGCTAATCAGATACCTATGGTTGTGTCTATGGTAAGCAGAACCAATACTAAATCAACGGCCAGAATCTTTAACAATGGTTGCCATAAATTGCTCTGTCTTTACAGGGGTACGGTGAAAATCTGACAAAATTCCGAGATCAAGTGCCACAACCTGAGAGGTTGCTTTTCTCCAATGAGACGCTGAATCGGGTCATATTCTCTGACCCATCCTTAAAGGTAAAATTTGCCTGCACACAGATCGTATAAAAAGTGTACATGTCATGCAGCACTACTTCAGTGATTGAATTCGGGCTGCAAATCTCATTTTTACTTTTGTTAGCACTCAAACTGCATTTCTTGAACTTGAAGGGAAAAACTCAGTTTAAACCAACCGAGTTTGAAATGAATTGAATGACGTCTTCTTTAACTTTCTTATTTTGTACCGCCATTAGAAAGCTGAGAAGCCAAAAGTAAAAAAATCGAAGGCCCCTGCGAAGCCACCCCCAGATGAAGCTGAGGTGGAGGAATCCAAGAAGATAATCAAAGATTTGAAGAAGCACGTGAAAGCCTGGAAGGCGTTTTTCATGACACTGGGAGAGGACGTGTGGAATGTTCCGTTTAAAGCTCGTAAAATGAGCATCGAGAAAGAATGGGAGAATACTTCAGGAATCTTGCGCGAGGTAAAGCTTCTTTCTCTGTTGAATCGCCCTCGCAGCAAAGGAAATATTTTGGACAACAACGCCTTGTCTGTCCATGTAGGGCCGTATGAATATTGACTCAAAGGCTTACCTTTGCTGGGGCTAAGATCTCTTTTGATCGTAACGTTACTTGGATGATAGGTCCTTGGAATAACCTTAACACAATACATGAAAAATAAATTACATCTTTAAAGGAAAATAAGAGATTAAACCTACGTTTGGGTTTTAACTCCATCCTACAGTAAACCCCTTACATATTTATTGTTCAAAATGAACCAGTGAGCTCCACAAATGAAAAGAAGCCCAATAGATATATCGCTACCATTACTATTCTCTTTACAGCATTTCCCTCTGTCGCTGAAAAAACGGGCTAAAATTGCTTATAGCAAGCGACAGATTATGAAAATTTCTGCTGTTGTTTAATTAAGTGCGTTTTAATTCCCCACATTGCAGATTAACGAAAAATATCCTCATCTTTCTATTGAAGAAGATTTGTACAAGAACTTATTCCGTTAAGGTAAATATTGAAGCCCATTAATGCGCTTCGCACTTTTTCAGATTAATATAGACGCAAGCGTTTTCACTTCTAAGGAAATTTCGAAGGGAGGGAGGAATAGAAATATATTCTTTTCAAATGCTCTTTGTCTCAAAACAGCCCCCCCCCATGGTAAAAAGTATGCATATTTATTTTGTGAGAGCACTGATAGACGCCTCTCTTCACATTGACGCCCCTCTTCTCTTCCGAAGTTCATATTCCTGCAGTGGTTAAGCGTAACAGCTCTACTCATATTAACCAAACTTAAAAGGGAAAATTTCCACTAAAGCTGGACATACATTGCATGCATGATATTGACCTCATTTTGTCCAGTCTACCGCGTTCCTATCCACTCAGTTAGAGAGTTGTTTCAAGTTTTTTGTTAAGGTTTCCCAAGATGAAAGAGATCTCAGGAGCATGGAATTTCAGAAAACCAAAAGAATCCTTATTAATCATACACAATTCAAGCCATTATGTTTTACAATATAGTTGCATTGTTTAGAGCAGTTGGGAGAATTAATTTTTCGTTGTAATTTTACGTAATAAAATTTGCCAGGCAATTCCTTGAACCTTGGTTTTGTTTCAAGGTAGTATATTGCATGCTATTGTTTATTTATTACATACCACCAGCGGGCATTTCGAATCCTTGTCTTCCCTGCAATGACTGATTGGCTGTAACAGCAGGTGGAAATTTAAGATATCCCCATCAGATAATGGAGTTTCATCTCGCTCTAATATGTATATTCGTTATACTTACTAAATTATAACGATGGCTGTTAGCAAAACGAGTCCGACATCACCGAGGCAATCTTGGTAGGTTATGCATTCAAACTTTCTTTATAGATCGTATTGAAATCCATAGTGTTTTAAAGAATCTCGTGATTATCTGGAACCTAAACAACACAAGATAATTGGATCAATAAGTTAGGATGATCTAGTCTCTGAACCTTTACTGTCAAGGAACAGTTTGCGTAAATAAAGTTATAGTTTAGAACTTTGACACTGAGACAGTTAGAAGCGATCCTTATTTATATCTAGGACCACCAGGATGGTGAACAACAATTTTCCCTTGGACTCTTTCGAGGGGAGCGAAAAATATTTAATATATTCTTTTCAAATGTTCTTTGTCTCAGGCTCAGCTTTTCCAAAACATCCTCTCCCACAGTAAAAAGTATGCATATTTAAATTGCTGGTGGTGAATGATGGTAATTTTATAACAAAGATTTTTCGCGGGAACAGTTTGAACGTGAGCGGGGATACTTTTTTATCTTACAACAAGAGCTCGTTCGCCACCGGCTGTTTCCGGCTGATAAAAACAAGTCAAGTACATATTCACTGTACCCATGCAAAGTGCAAGTCATCAAGGTAAACACGCAATATAAAATTAGGATAAAATAAATACAATAAAAAACGTCAAACATAATTAAAAACTTTCACGTGAAATCAACAAGTTATCACCAAACGCTTGCATGCTCGAGTTCATCATTTCTCGATTGTAACACGTACGGTAAGATGCCAAACGGCCGGCACAAGAATAACTGTAAAAACTATACACTACATAGTCATAGATAATGTCGGAAATCGGAAATGATCTTCAATATCGGGGAGGACTTCTTTTATGATATAGTTTACATATAAACTCCTCCCAAGACGATTGGTTAACAGATGAACACAAGTTCGTTTATTCGACAGTTGGTTGCATTTTGTTCCGTGAAAGTTTAAACAACGATACAAATTCTAACGGATAATTTGTAACTTCGGTAGGAATTCTTGTTAGTTACATTCTTTATGTTTTTCACGCGAATAAAAGATTATTATTTTAGGCAACGCGTTGTTGTAGGGACAAACTGGAAGCTCAACGATATTCGAACGTAAAGCCTTAAGCTTATCTTTCATTCTAGTGGAACCATGACAGACGCATTGCTTATTGCAAAGAAGGAAAATCTTCAGTCGAGGATCGGACTCTTTCCTGTTTTCCTTCTTGAAACGTTTCAAAACTGGGGGAAAACGCAAAAGATGACTGTAATTTCGGTGAAACCCAAGACGGTTAAAGAAGTTGAAGATATCCTTGGTGCAGTCATCAGCTATAACGCAGAGTCGAAAAACACAGTGAAGGTTTCCCTGCGCTGTGTGGGTGATGGACATTCTTGGTCTCCTCTTTTCCCAGACGAGGGAAATATTCTGATGTACACCTCACAACTGGTACCAAAGACACAACAGCGCATTAGACTTAATCAGGTTTGTCAAACTTTGTTATAAAAATTATATAACGCTGACATGTTGCTATTACGCGTTTTGAGACGTGCAAAATAGATCCGAAAGAAAGTAAAATAGTTTTATAAAACCAATTGACCAGGAGGAATCTCGTTTTGAGTTTCGTTTTGCACTATCTTTTTCATATGGCAATATTTTCTTTGGGTGGTTTTTTGACGGTTCCAGTAGCCACTACGTTGATTTAAAGTAATTCGATTTCGTCCATTTTGGCGTATGGAAAACCGCTGTTCTGTACAATTGCCTGCTCACAAGACATAATCTGGTTCTCCGTTCGCTGTTCATTCATTTCTATTTGTTTTATTATGCTATATAGGTTAAAATTGGCACAGAAAATCCATTGACTGTGACGATTGCACCAGGTGTAACAACTGGAGAACTCAGCGAATTTTTTACCGAGAACAACGTGTGTTTTAACACTGATGCAATCCTCAACAACGTGACTTATGGTGGGCTAATAGCGCCCGGTTGTCATGTAAGTTGATGCTTCTAGAGCCCATTTTTAAACAAACCTTGATAATATTACCTCATATCATATTTCATTGATTTTATTTCGAAATATAGCTGAGCAAATGCTTAAACCTTTCTTCAATTTCAGGGCGTAGGCAAAGACCAGTTGGCAGTGTCAGATTACGTAACAGGAATGAGCATCGTGGGAGCGAATGGTAAAGAAAGCCACTACACATTCCCTTCGGGTAATCCTGACCATGACAATGCCTTGAAGGTAATAAACTTGTAAGAAATCAAGTTCACAAGTACCCGAAATAGAATCGATATAAAAAAAATTAGATCTGCATGTCATGAACTTCAAAGAATGCTATTCATAATCCCTAATAGTAAATTGAAAACAGTCCCACAATAACCATATAAATTTTCTTCAGTGTAACATGGGTTTGTTTGGGGTGATGACAAGCATTACTATGGTGGTTCAACCAATGACGATTGTAAAAGTTGAGAACGACTTCAGTTATACCGTTGAAGATTTGTTTTACAATCCCTCGACACTGGAAAAACTTTACGAAGATAACTGGTCTCTCGAAATCTTTTGGTTTCCTTTCAACAGTTTGTGCTGGTTGGAATTGATCACCCTGTTTACCACTCAAATGCCAGGTAAATTCCACAACAACTATGCACTTGTTGAAGCGGAACTCAAATCTGTTCTGTGCGCATTGGTTCTGCTCATAGCAATACGAACCCTTCTGTTGCAAAAAATACCCCTCAAATTTCGCATGTTTAATCAAAGCCTCAATTGAGTATTGGGCCTGAAGTCATCAGTGTTTTCTCTAAAGCAAATCTTAATGAATTTCTGAAACTTGTCGCATTTAGACATTCAGCATGTTTTTTCAGGAATTGTGCGCTGGGATCCGAAAAAAAATAACCTGTGGGTTAGGAAGATTAATCCTGCTTACGTCCCGAATGAACCTGCCCCGAATGAGGTGGATTATGGAATCAAGGAAGTGAAGGATTTATTGTCAACTGGATTTGGAAGAGTAGTTGCTCCTCATCTGAGCAATAACCAATTCCTGGTACCATCCTTTCTGAAGGCGGGATTCGAAATGGTGAAGTTGTTCAATTCGACGACTCGCTATGAGCAAATGAACAAAGCCATTCATTACCAGGGCTTCATTGAAATCATGCCCGTCCTTGACATGGAGTTTGCCTTTAATGCTGATCCAGGAACATTCTCTGAACAAGTCAAGGCCATGCAAGCCGCCGTTGACGTGACGAAAGATTACTATGACGACAAGAAATTTCCTCTGAGTGTTGCCATGGAAATGAGATGGATGGCGTACAGCGACTGCCTAATCTGCCCGGCAAATGGAGTGCACAGCAATGATGAGGAAAGTAAGAACGTTTTTAATTTCGTTAATTAAAATGGTTATATGAGAGAATTTATAAAACAGAACCCTACATACGAAGTTAGCCAACCTTGATATGACTGCAGTCTAAAGAACGAATCAAGTTGCATTCGAGGTTAAAACTGCCTACTTTTGGTTTCAGAAAAACAAACCCTGTACTTAGAAGTGCTTGGCCTCGCTGGACAACAAAATTGGGAGGATTATACGAATGATGTTGCTGCTGAATGGATGGATTTGAAAATAAATGGAATGTCACCACTTCCTCACTGGGCCAAACAATGGAGTTACCTCAATGGTATTGACGATTATGTCCAAGTGGTAAGCGATAGCAAAAATTTTTTATGAAATTTTTCTGTCTGAATAAGTTTTCTACTTATATTAGCCTTTCCTTCGCGTTTTTTCACAACTATTTTGTTCACAATAGTTGGCATAAATTGGTTTGTCTTTACAGGGGTATGGTGAAAATCTGAAAAAATTCCGAGATCAAGTGCCACAACCTGAGAGGTTGCTTTTCTCCAATGAGACGCTGAATCGGGTCATATTCTCTGACCCCTGCGTGAAGGTAAAATTCACCTGCACAAAGTGCTGAAGCGAGTTGGGGGTGGATTCAAACTTGCTATATACCTTTACATATTTGATTTCTTTAACTTGAAGGAAAATTTGAATTGAGTTTGAATTGCATGCTTTTAATGAAGTCTTGTCAAACTGTTTTATTTTTTTGCAGGAAATAGAGAAGCCGAAGGTCAAAAAATCGAAGGCCCCTGCGAAGCCACCCCCAGATGAAGCTGTATTGGAAGAATCCAAGAAGATAGTCGAAGATTTGAAGAAGCACGAGAAAGCCTGGAAAGCGTTTTTCATGACACTGGGAGAGGATGTGTGGAATGTTCCGTGTAAAGCTCGTAAAATGAACATCGAGAAAGAATGGGAGAATACTTCAGGAATCTTGCGCGAGGTAAAGATTCTTTCTCAGTTGAATCACCCATGCAGCAAAGGGTACAATCAGCGTTTTATCGAGGTTCACAAATTATCAGGAGAAAATGTTTCAACCAAAAAGCTAGTGCAGCTGTGTAAAGATATAACCGAAATTAGTATTCTTTCCGGAATCTTTCTAAAGTTTATTTATGGCAGGAAATAGCACGTGAAGAGATTTTCTGATGTTGTTTTCACTAAGTGCCTTTTAATTCCTCATTGCAGATCAACGAAAAGTATCCTCATCTTTCTATCGTAGAAGATTTGTACAAGAACTTGTTCACTTGAGGTGAATATCTGAGGCAAATGTGCTTGTAAAATCGAATTCCAAGATGTCCCTTATAGTTAGTTAATATTCCTGCATCCAGCGGTGAGGCCAACAGTTTTGGCTTAAACCGTCAATTTGTAGACATCATGCATATATTTATTATTTGCAGAGCTTTCGATCAGTTAAATGCAAGCTCTTAAAAGACAGAAGACGACTCTCAGAAAAATAGGTACGATAAACTGCGATAAAGCCGCTATAGTGGCAAGTAAATATCAACTGATGCATTAAAATATTATTTTCTAGTCTTATGTTCTAATGCCATAGACAAGGGAATAAACGCCCTATAGTTAGCTGGTTGAATACAGTTATAACAAAGTCAATTTAGTACACAAGCTATATATTATAATATTTTATTGTATTAAATACATTTTAGACAGATCAAAACATATATAAGTATTTTTACAAGAGATAGGAAATGAAATTTTTGCAGAATAGGTGAACAGAACAAAAAAGACAGTAAGGTTCCGGGATGGTGGCACACATCATCTGATAACATAAAGCTTAGTTAAGAAAGAGAAAAAGAAGGTTTCAGACTTTTCCAAATTATTTCGTTTTGATGTCCTTTGATTATCAGCATGTCTTTGTTACATACAAGATTGGTTATTTTGTTGATAAATCAATGTTATAGTTATGTTAATATTCAATAAAGGTTAAACGTTATTGTTCCAGTAAGATTATACCACTTGTTTTCCAAAGTTTATTGGCAATACGTTCACTATTATAACTGAAGATGATAGTATGATTTCATTGATCCAGTAGGAAGGTACAGATGGTTTGCAATGTTGATTATAGATAACTTATCAGCATCAATTAGCTGGACATAATAGCACCAGTTCGTAGGTCTAAAAAATCTGTGTGGCTTTTTCCAAGTTTAAATTTATCAGTTGACAATATCTTATCACTGTGGTAATCAGTCCGACAATCAGTTAACATTGAATGCCATCATTCATCATTGATATAAATGTGCATTGCTCAGTAGTAGTTACCAGGAAGGTATATATATATATATATATATAATTATATATATATATATATATATATATATATAACAAAGAGTCCAAAATTGTTTCAAACATTTCAGCATAACAATTTCAAAGGACTCCTCTATGGTATCTGGACAATATTTTAAAGATTTTTGTTCAGTTGAAATGCACTTGCGTTAAAAGTTTTGTTTTTTAAAAAAATATGTTTTGTTAGTTATGTTCAAATAAATGCTTCTTTTTAAACTCCAAAGCATTCGGCTTAATAGCTGCATGCCCACAAGCAAGAAATTGACAAGTGAAATATTGCGTTATAATTTATAAAACAGGGCAACTTGTTACTACCATTTGCCGAATAAGGTAATGTTTATTTATTTCCTATTAGTGTAACTTTGTAGTTGTAGATTAAACGCTCACCAATCACCGCTTTTTCGTCTTTAAAGTACTCGCCTTCGCTTTAAAATTTGACAAACGTATTAACGTGACTTCGGTAAATTGTTCGGTTGCTTGAGGTTTAACTGCCATTAATTTTGCGTACCCCTGGCTTAGCCAGTGCGCTCAAGAGAGGCCTTCTCTCGCCCCGGGAAAGCATACATATGGCGGCGGCTTGAACACATGTATGGAATATAAACAGTCGAGACAGAACTATCTGGAGAAATCGTATTTTTGACAAAAACCGGCGTTGCTCAATTTTTTTCTCAAAACCAGATTTTGTTAGTTCTTATCCTTTAGAAGAGTATAGAAGTGGGAGCGATCTGTTTATTTATATAGCGATGGCTATTTATAATGTTCGGGGGGGATAGGGCCTCTCTTTAGCGCACCGGCTAACAACATGGCCGCTAGGAACGCATAATTAATGCAAGGTCAAACCTCTGCATGCTCTGTGCTTCCGTCCTTCGAAAACAACGAAATTTTCCGGAAGTAGAAGAACCACCGTTCGTCATCTTTCGTATATCCGACGATTACCGAAGATGAGGCACCCACACAAACACAAACATCCGGACACTTTTTCGACTACATAGTGGTTAGACGCGCATGCGCAGGCTACCCACAAAAACGGAAGTTTTTGAACCAAAGGAATCTTGTTAATCGATCATCAATTAGTTTGATGACTTTGCTTAGTTTTTAAAGTGGTTGCATTGTATCGTAGTATAATCCAAGTTTTCCTCGCAATAAAATCTGTCATTTAGTTGTTGTCACTTTCGTTAGTTCTAGTGCAAACCTAGTACACATATATCCAGCACAATAGCTACATTTCACAAATTCAAACCCCCAGAATGCGGATAAAATTTTACGTTGCGGATTATGTCTGTGTTGGTATGCAAACAAGCGGGGGAGTAACTAGCGCAATGATTACGTTGTCCTTGCTGAAAACGTCATATCGTCACAAAAGAAACCCGTTCAGCAGAACAAATATTTCGATACATGCATCTATTCACGTCCCCGTGTACATGCGCATTTACCACAAATCGGGAAAACAAAGTTTTTTTCCTCAACAAAACCGGTTATCAAACTAGTTTAACCTGTACTGTTAAAAATAAAAGATCTAATAAATAAAATGATTTCTTGAACTACAAAACATTTGTAATCTGCTGACACTCAGCGCACTTCCAAAATCTCGTTGTCGACAGTAACACGGTGTCGCTGCCGAATTATAAGAACTCAAGGTTTGGAGCAGTGGTGGTATTTTGAGACGCAACTTTCAACTGAATTCCGAAGACAAAAAGCAGGTAATAAATGTTATGTCAGGTAACATGGTCTTAACCAACGGAGAGCAACAGTTTCTTACAGGCGCGCAAATATATATCGATTGTGTAAAAGGGCGTTTACTCAACTCTTTCATAGTTGTCTCAAATTTGATACTCGTATAAATGTGTTTTAAGAATTATTATGAATGCAAAACACTGAAGAATTGGTTAAACGTTACATATGGTGTTAAAGATAACAGACTCATTCTCGAGAACGGTATTCGGCAACCTAATCTTATATATATATATTTATATATATCTGGTGTATCATGACTTCTGATCTACAGTAAATAAAGAACTAGCTATATATATATATATATATATATATATATATATATATATATATATATATATATATATATATATATATTTTTGTACTTTTGCTCTCAATTGAGCCATGTGTTCACTTGTGGATATATATGTAAGGTGTATTTTGTTCTTCTGCACAAGTATAACCAACCGGGCAAGCAGAAAATTCTACTTGACCGCGGTGGGAATCGAACCCGCGACCTTCGCATTTCTAGAACGATGCTCTACCGTCTGAGCTACAAGGCCAAGTTGGTATATATATATATATATATAATATTATATATATATATATATATATATATATATATATATATATATACACCCGTTTGCAAAAACGTTGGCCGCAAATAGATATATAGATAGATACTCGAAATCTAATTAGAATTGCATATGTTGTGTAATATGATTGAAATCCCATGCTAATGTAATCATATGCATTTCTAATTAGACTTCGAGTATCTATCTATCTATCTATCTGCGGCCAACGTTTTTGCAAATGGGTGTATATACATATATATATATATATATATATATATATATATATATATATATATATATATATATATATATATATATATATTTAACAGTTATTCTGCGAACTCGAGTCGTATATGAGCTGATAGCCGACGAGGCGCGTAGTTTTATTATTTAACAGTTACACAAACCTTGTCACCCTTTCGGTGCATTTTGGTGTGCTATTATCAACTAGGCTTGGATTTCTATTTCACTCAACTCCCCAAATCTTTCCGCCATTTTGTTTACTTTCTCTACTAGACAGATATGAGCTAATATCTGTCTAGTAGCCAACCAATGAAATTGCAGCATACCTCATATCTGGCGCTTGTGTATATAATAAATATATATATTATACACTTAAGGCGGATTTCCACTTACAGCGAAATCGTTTGCTGGCGAAATATTTGCATATTTTCTTTTGAATTCGAAACAGTCAAGTCGAACTAATTTATTTATGCTGTTAAAATTCAAAAGAAATTATGCAAATATTTCGCTAGCGAACGATTTCGCTTTAAGTGGAAATCCGCCTTTAATGTATGCTTTCGAGGGAAACATTGAGACACGAGGGAAAACAAAAGTCACTATTTCCCGAGGTGTAACGAACATTAAGTGTTTTGTAATATAAGAACAAAAACATACATGTTACAGGACTGTCACGACAATATAATTGGGTTTCGATTTTACAAGTCTTCACTGATATCAGCACGAGACCGAGACGAAGGAATGAGGAACCGCGCAGTATAGAGACCATAAGACTTGATCAATGAAGCAGAAACAAAGGAACGGAAATAAGAGAATGACATGCTATTGTTAGGACGATAACACGACTACCAGAATCGTGTTATTTATTCATTTCAATACCTCAAAGTACATTTTACACTTCGTTAAATCCCGGTAACCGGGCTCGTGTGAACAGCCGCATATATACTCACCCCGGCAGGCTGCAAGTTTCCCGAACTTACGGAGCGAAGCGACATGAACACGCTCCCTTTTTCTTCTATTTAAGACGATTCATTAATTTCGTGTAAAACTAAAATGAATCAAAACGAAAAAAAAATCTTGGAAGTCGCCGCAGCACAAGTAGTGTTTCCCTTGTGAGCAACCAGGAAACTGGTATTGCAAAGACGCCCTGTATGACACTGAAATAATAATAGTTTCAGTCCACACAAAAAGAAAAAAACTTTTTGCTTTAAATTCCTGCATTATCTTTGGCCTGCGTTTCAGCTTTGATCAGTATTAGAAACTTTAAACATTACATAAGACATAAATTTAAGGGAATTTATAGATCGTTGTGGTTTACTTTTGTAAGAATGTTTAACGTGGGATGTTTTTGAATATCTGCCATACAGACTTGTATATACAGGTCAGTGATCTCATACGTCATACGTTTTTAACCAATAAGAATGTCGCGAGGTGTGAAACCCACGCGCACGAAATACAAACCACTGTTTAGTGTTTACATTTCCTTCTCTACTGTGACAACTGTGCTTCGAGTCTGTTTCAAGTTTATATTATGTTTATTGTGAAGGCGATTCTAAAATTAATTTTTTGGAGATGAACACACGAGAGCTTATGATGTTGTATGATGTGATTAATGACTTTTGATAAGTTGTTCGACCAAGCAGCGCCAACTTATCAAAACGCACTCAAAGATAACGGGTACAATTACCAACTACACTTCTACACAGATAAAGAGAGACGTAACAAGAAAAAAAGAGAGCGACGCAGAAACGTTACATGGTTCAAACCCACCTTATAGCAAGCATGTAGCCACAGATATAAGAAAAAAGCTCCTAAAAAAGTTTCAGCCTTTGGAAAGAAATATCCACTAAGAAAAATCTTCAACCGCAACACACTCAAAATCAGTTACTCTTGTATGCCAAGCCTGGAGAAAAAGATCAGCGCCCATAACAAGTTAGTCTTGCGAAAAAACAACCCTACACCAGAAGAGCAAAAAACCTGTAACTGCAGATCCAGAGCTAACTGCCCTTTAAACGGCGAATGCCTAACAAGGAACATAATCTATCAAGGAACCGTCGAGAGCAACAATGAGAAACAAACCTATATTGGTCTCACTAGTGATGAATTCAAATCCAGATACAGAAATCATACAGCGTCATTTAGGCACAAGAACAAACAGAACGCAACCGAGCTTAGCTAGTTTATCTGGTCCCTGAAGGATGACTGAGTACCATTCAAAGTAAACTGGAAGATCATCGCACGAGCCGCCCCGTATTCAAGCGCCACGAAGCGTTGCAACTTATGCCTCTTAGAGAAATACTACATCATTTTCAAAACAAACTTATGCTCACTTAACAAAAGGAATGAACTTACAAGCACATGTCGTCACGCTAGCAAATATCTTCTAAAGAACTTATAGATTCTATCTATCATGTAAATTAGACTCTGATGTATTTAAGACGTGCTTGTTAATAATAAATTCTTATATACACCTGATGAGAGGGACCTTGCTCCTTCGAAACAGCGCTGTAGTAATTATGCAACCTTAGTTTTCTGTCTTTACTGCAATTATATTATACTGTAGTTCTACTTTACAGTATTGAGCACTCTTCGATATACGAAAACCATATTATTGTTTGACTATATATATATATATATATATATATATATATATATATATATATATATATATATATATATATATATATATATATATATATATATATATATATACAGTATATACAGTCGTACGGTTGTCACCTGGAAATATATATAAATACCTAAATATCGATCACGTGATTGTACTGCATACGTTAATTTTATGGGAAATCGTTGGAAATCTATCTTGAAAATTTCTTAAATGTTATAGTAAGGTGAACAATATTGATAATAATAAAGAAACATGAGGTAAGTAAACAAAATAAGCTATGTTTAATGGTCACGTGATTGATATTTATATGTTTGTATATATAATGACATGGACAACCTTAATGATAACCACTGTATACATACCTATATAAATAATAAATAAGTAAAATGCAATTTTGTTGTTAATATGTGCTCGATGATGAGTCTTTTATAACCTGATGAGTCTTTAATAAATTTGAATTTTTCGCTCTTTATACTACCAGTTGGAAGAATGGGGCCGACAAATAACTCTGGATAGAATAAATTTTTTGTCGAGACGCCTCATGATCTCAGATCAGCTGGGTGTGCATGTAATGACGCGAATATTTTGACATTTATGGTAATTTTCGTATCATGTGGTAGAGGTTATAAAGGGTCACAGCGATGAAGGTCGCCTTCCTCTCAACGTTTTGCACTGCGTTAAAATCTTTAATTTTTTTGAACAGACGCAGTGTGGAACCATGGCAGACGCATTGCTTATTGCAAAGAAGGACGATCTTCAGTTGAAGATTGGAACCTTTCCAGTTCTCCTTCTTGAAACGTTTCAAAACTGGGGAATGACGCAAAAGATGACGGTAATTTCGGTGAAACCCAAGACAGTTAAAGAAGTTGAAGACATCCTTGGTGCAGTCATCAGTTATAACGCAGAGTTGAGAAACGGAAGAAAGCTCTCCCTGCGTTGTGTGGGTGATGGACATTCTTGGTCTCCTCTTTTCCCAGACGAGGGAAATATTCTGATGTACACCTCTAACCTCGTTCTGAAGTCACATCAGCGCATTAGACTTAATCAGGTTTGTTTGCAATTTTACTATTATGATCATGTGGGCATTTGCTAGAGGCCATTTGCTAGAGACCCTTTGTACATGACGTCACAGTATAGGTATCTGAAGGACGAGTTAACGTAGCTTAAGTTTTACTGAGCATGCAACAGACGAAATTGTATACGAGCCATTTAAAAATCGTTGAATATAACCAATGAGCCTAGCCTTGGACATCCCTTGTAGGTATCCGGCTCAATAATAATTACGGTGAAAATTGAATAATTGTAGCAATAATCAAATACATATGCCAATATTCTTTGAAAAATGAAATGGGTGCTTTCAAACCGTTGAAAACGTTTTCAGACTGCTCGTTTTTTCGTTTCACCTATTTTGGATCTCACAATAGGATTTCATTATCATTTAAAGTTCGCGGGTCTCGCTCCATTAAAATTGCCTGCTCGCTCGATATATGCAAGCGAATTTCGTCTCTTTTTTCTCTATTTTTTTTACCTCTGATCATTCAACATAGGTTGAAATTGGCACGCAAAATCCATTGACTATAACCATGGCACCAGGTGTAACAACTGGAGAACTCAGCAAATTCTTCACTGAAAACAACGTGTGTTTTAACACCGATGTCATCTTAGACAAAGTGACTTATGGTGGAGTAATTGCGCCAGGATGTCACGTAAGTTCATGCTTCTGAAAAGCAACTTCTCTCCCCTAAAATTAATTTTTATAGCCTCAAATCTTCATAATTTTTACTTCCTTTAACCGGTGATTTGCTTGAAGCTTTCTTCAATTTCAGGGCGTAGGAAAAGACCAGTTGGCAGTGTCAGATTACGTCACAGGAATGAGCATTGTGGGAGCGAATGGTAAAGAAAGCGAATACACATTCCCTTCGGGTAATCCTGACCATGACAATGCCTTGAAGGTAATAAACTTGTAAGAAATCAAGTTCACCAGTGCCCGAAATAGAATCTTAAATGTCCAATACTCTCGCAAGCACACCGACGGAAAAGGTTATTCACCATATGCATCGGTAATAAATATTTTCGTTTCGTGAACTCCAGCTGAGCATGCATATATACGCGCATCAAATTATCGCAAGTACACCGACGGAAAAGGTTATTCACAATCGGTAGTAAATAATTTCAACTCCAGCTGATTTAATCATAGACATACGCGCACCAAACGGCCACACCATCGTGTGTTTCCATTCTTCGTTCTCGAAAACTCCCATAGTGTGCTCCTGCATTTTTATAGTATAAATTGTCGTATCGTTACAATTCATCACCAAAACGCAAGTATTACAATATATATATAAATGACATTGTATGCGTGCAATATATCGATTCTTCGTTCTCGAAAATATCCCATAGTGTGCTTCTGCGTTTTCATACTATATATATTGTCGTATATCGTTACAATTCATCACCAAAACGCAAGTATTATACAATATATAAATGACATTGTATGCGTGCAATATATCGATTCTGACTTCGTTCTTTAGAATATCCCATAAAATTTTACAGCAGCATAATGGTTAGCCCGGGAACGGGCTACCCACAAAAAATTAGATCTGCATGTCATGAACTTCAGAGTATGCTATTCATATGGCCGCTATGTGAGAGCCGTCTTAATCCCTAATAGTAAATTGAAAACAGTCCCACAGTAACCATATAAATTTTCTTCAGTGTAACATGGGTTTGTTTGGAGTGATGACAAGCATTACTATGGAAGTTCAGCCAATGACGATTGTCAAAGTTGAGAACGACTTCAGTTATACAGTTAAAGATCTGTTTTACAAACCCGCGGCACTGGAAAAACTTTATAAAGAGAACTGGTCTCTCGAAATCTTTTGGTTTCCTTTTAACAGTATGCCCGGGCATGCATTGCTCTATCTGTTCACCATTGGTCGAGTATTTCACTGTAGTGAGTGGGTTTTCTTTAAAAATTGGGCTTTAATTAATATAAAGGAATGACACAAAAACGTTCAAGCATGCAATAGCTACACTTCATTCTAAATTTCTCGCAGCAATTTCTAGCAACTTTATGAGTATAACTGGTCTCTCGAGATTCTCTCGGGTTCCTTTTAAAAGTGTGCCCTGTTTGGAATGGACATGTTTGTTCTTCATGCATTGCCCAAGTAATAGTTTTATAACAGGGGACCTAAAGTTCAAAGCGAAAACTATCGATGCATTCCATTCTAAGCTTTCCTGTGTGCATTTCTTTGCTATTCTGTTATGATTTGGGTGTTATTTAATTAAATGTAGCTTACCTCAAACAAAATTTTAACGAATCTGCGAATTTCGCCCGGAGGGAAATTTGGCTCCAAACATTTCCAAAGAGGGGTTCTATTCATGATATAGTTTTACGTCTAGAAAGATGACTACACCACCTACAAAATATAAAAGAACAATGGATTTACACCCATGCTAATTGTATAACATGATTGGACAGTTTTAATAGTTCCATTGTAGCGCGAACCTTGAAGCCTGCCAATAATTAATAATACGGTCGCATTTAGCGCGCAGCTTAATATATATATGTACAAACTATTTAATGAAAGACGATATTCTTCAGAACTATTATGGAATCCAAAAAAAGATAAACTGTGGATTAGGAAGATAAACCCCGTGGAAGTTCCGGATAAACCGACCAAGAATGAAGTGGAATATAGTATCAAGGACGCGCAGGATTTAAGGTCCGCTGGTTTTGGAAGAAAATATGCTCCTCTTCTGAGCAAAGACAAATTTCTGGTACCATCCTTTTTGAAAGCAGGATTCAAAATGGTGAAGAAATCTAATTCGACAACTTGCTATGAGCACATGAACAAAGCCATTCATTACCAAGGCTCCATTGAAATCATGCCTGTCCTTGACATGGAGTTTGCCTTTAATGCTGATCCAGGCACATTCTCTGAACAAGTCAAGGCCATGCAAGCCGCCATTGACGTAACGAAAGATTACTATGACGACAAGAAATTTCCTCTGAGTGTTGCCATGGAAATGAGATGGATGGCGTACAGCGACTGTCTAATCTGCCCGGCAAATGGAGTGCACAAGAATAATGGAAGATTAGGTAAGAAAGTTCTTTATTATAATACTAAAAGTAATTAAAAATTAGTAAATCACTTTTTATTAATAACTATCATTCTTTACGTCTGTTAAAATATGGCATTCCTAAGTATTTTTCGGTAATTCCACAACAATTCCTAGCTGTTTTAACGTTAATTCCACAACAATCTGTCTGAAGACTTCGTCAAAATATTAAAGTGTCGTTGTTTTTCGGTTTCAGTACAAAACCTATTTTCCTTGAACTTTTGATACAGTACATACATCTTAATATATATAGTTCTTACTGTAGTGTTTAATACAGCGAATTCCGCTGTTCAAATTTTACTATGCACTAAAGAAGAAACACATGTTTGAATTTGCCATCACAGGCCTGTACGGCAATTTGAAAATTTAGAACTAGAGCTATGCGGAATGAGTCATTATGATTGGATGATAAATCTTCACGAGATCGAGGCTAGCTTCACAAACAGTAATGCGTTCTCCTTCGCCTAACACAACGATGTTGAAACAACTCTTTATTTTTGTCCTTATACGTTACCTCAACACCGATCTGATGATCTAAAATTCTACCACGATACGAACGAATAAAAATACTGCATAACTTTTATTTCAGACAAGAAAACCCTGTACTTGGAAGTGCTTGGCCTCGCTGGTACACAAAATTGGGAGGATTATACGAATGATGTTGCTGCTAAATGGATGGATTTGAAAATAAATGGAATGTCACCACTTCCTCACTGGGCCAAACAGTGGAGTTACGTCAAAGGAATTGACGAACATATACAAACCGTAAGTTATAGCAAAAATGTTTACACGAAAACAATGGGCTTTGCTTGTTCCTGCCAAACCGATTACAATAGGCTTTTTTTTCTTCTTTGCAGGGGTACGGTGAAAATCTGACAAAATTCCGAGATCAAGTGCCAGAACCTGAGAGGTTGCTTTTCTCCAATGAGATGCTGAATCGGGTCATATTCTCTGACTCCTGCGTGAAGGTAAATTCGCCTGTATATTATATATTAGTAGGAATGTAATAGCAGTTTAAAGAGATTCTATTTGGCTAATAAAACGTCATGAATGAAGTCTGAGAAGAACGGTACCATTATTAGAAAGCTAAGAGAAGAAAGGTCGAAAAACGTCAAGTCAGGAAGAAGTTGCCTAAAACTAATAGTGTTCTGAAAGATTGGGAAAATATACTCGAAGATTTGAAGGAGCACGAAGAAACTTGGGAGACCTTTTTCATGAGACTGGCAGAGAATGTGTGGAATGTTCCGTCCAAAGCTCCAGAAATGGATGTTCAGAAAGAATGGGAGAATACTTCAGCAATCTTTGGCGAGGTAAAGCTTCTTTCTCAGTTGAATCGTACTGCAAACAAATCAAAGTTTGATTGGAATACTCAAAATAGTGAAAATACTGACTCCCAGACATTCCTAACGCTTCAGAGTTCTGAATTTATATTTAAGGCTTTTCTGTGAGTGTTTTCTCGATCACATCAGCTCCACATTTATCAAACTAAGAGACAATGTTTCCTACAAATGTTTACTATGTTGCATGGCAAAAGAAGCACTGTTTTAGCCACAAAAAGATCGGGGAAACATAAAATGTTTCTGACTTTCCCAGAAAATTTTTTTTTGCTTCTTTTGAAGCTAATTTTGTTTGATATTCGATAGCCGAAATCGACTTCCGTTGCTGTTACTTTTGACAGGATTTTTGCCATCGCTGAGAGAAACTCAGGGTAGAAGTAGTTTCTTCCGAAAAAGAACACGTTACGCACTTGAACACATTATTACCTGTTGTTGTTTTACTAAGTCTTTTTCAAACCCTCATTGTATAGATCAACAAAAAGTATCCTCAGTTTTCCATTGCAGAAGAATTGTACAAGGATTTGTTTACTTGAGGTAAATAACTGAAGTGAGTGCACTTGACATATTCTGAGATTAAAAAATGTTCTTTGACACACCCGGTTCCCTGGTCCACTCGTTTAAATAACGTAAAATTCTGCACTAGCGTACAATTTTACAAAGACAGTAATTTAGAATATGCTTGACAAGGGCAAGACTAAAAAAATTTCGCGACTCGTTTGTTTAACAACACAAATAACTATAGCTTTTTTAACGGTTCCATAGAACTTCAGGCAAATAGGAAAAATTACGTGGACTTCTGTTTTATACATATCATTTATCTTGTGGAAATGTAGAAATGTATATTATTACATATAATGATCAAATATTAAAAATATTGACTACCTGCAGGATGCTGAAAGACAGAAGACGACTCTCAGAAGAGCGGAAGTTTTTGTACCAAAGGAAGAGCGGAAGTTTTTGTACCTTTTAATCATCAAATAATTTGATGTCGTTTGCATGCTTAGTTTTTAGTTTTTGGTTGCATTGTATCGTAGTATAATCCAAGTTTTCCTCGCAATAAAATCTGTCATTTAGTTGTTGTCACTTCTGTTAGTTCTAGTACAAATCTAGTACACCTATCCAACAACATAGCTACATTTCACAATATCAAACCCCCAGAATGCGAATAAAATTTTACGTTTTGGATTATGTCTGTGTTGGTATGCAAACAAGCGGGGGAGTAACTAATGCGATAATTATGGGGTCCTTGCTGAAAGCGTGATACCGTCACAAAAGAAACCCGTATAGCATAACAAATATTTCGATATATTATACATCTATTCACGTCCCAGTGTACATGCGCATTACCACATCTCTAATTCCTATTTGTTTACAATAGTTGGCATTATTCTGTCTTCTTATTCAATCTTTTAGTTTGCTTATGAAAATCAAACTTTGCTATCTAAATACGCTTTCTATACTTGTAATAGCCTTTCCTCTAAAAAACAACATTTATATGCCCTACAAATTTTATTCATAGACTATTTTAGACTCGAAATAGCTACTAAAAAGTGTATTAAAATTCGGCGAGCCAAATGTGGGAAATACATATATATATCTAATACGGTCTAAATCACTGTTGTCACAACTAACATCCTTCGATAAATTGATTAGTGTTAAAATAAAAAGGTTTGATGTGGGGGTAAATATATTTCAGTACCCCCACCAGCTAGCTTGTTGCTAGAAATGTTAGCCAATAATTTAATTACATGTACAAGAATGTAATAATGAAACCAGTTTTATATAAATAACCAACAACAAGTAAAAAATCTGTTAACAGATACTGCTATTGCAAGTGACATTTTGATTCCAAATGCATGATGCAACTCCGCGTTTAGTTCAGGGAAAGAGTTTGACATACTCTTTTTACAGTGAAAGATCAATTCTGAAATAAAGCATCGTTGCTTGTCCACTGATAACCACATTATTATTATGCATAAATTATATGATGTTTATACCGGGAAAGTTACAAAGAAAATAATAACGATTTATGTATAAGATCTAAATGCATGCAACTGATTAAACTTGATTTGTGTGTCTAGAACATAAAATGCACGCAACATGAAGTTCTGCGGTACAATTTTATTGATAATCGTCTATAACATTGATTATCTTTCGTTCAATGACGGAAAACGAGGTTAAAGACAAAGTATCTTTTGTGTGCTTGCGCAGCGTGATATCCACCACCAACTGCACTGCGCGAGCCATTTAGACTAAACTGTCTTAATCTCAGACATACTCTCGCTTGTATCATTTACAATAAATATGCGTTCTTCCTTCTTGTTGAAGCATTCGGTCAAAGCAATCGCTATTAGAATGGAGATATATTTTCAGTTGAAAGTGATCATGTTTTTATTGATACGCTGCATGTAACTACATGCATATGATTATAGCATTACCAAGAAATACTGTTCATACTTAAATAACCGGTCACCAAAACCGGTTATAACCGGCCACGCAGCGCCAACCATCAGTGACAAATCAAAATGAAAGTGGAATAAATAATTACGGAGATCAAATACTTGGAATCGGCAACACTCCAGAAATCTTGTGGTCGACAGCGCATCTGTTTTTTGAAGTCGGGTTTTACAAGAACATAAATATTTGGATCGGTTCTGATATTTTGCGAACGATAACATCTAACCAAACTCCGGAGAGAAAATAGAGGTAATGAAATTTAAATCTTATGTGGAATAGGTTTTGAAGGTTCAAAACCAGTGAATGGAATATGTAAATTTTAAACGCAAATCAAATAACGTTGTTTAAGGGTATGTAGCCCTACTGCATATACTATAAGCATCTGTATATATGGGCGTTTACCAGGGGTTGGTTGTATAAAAACGTTGTTAACTTTTAACTATAGTTAGTGACAGAATTGACCAATGAGAGTGTTGTATTTCTGAGTTAACTACGATTTAACTACAGAAAATGTATAGTTAAGAGTTTCATACAATCGGCCCCAGCTGATGAATTGAACTTTATTCCATGGTGCATGGTTTCGAAGATATGAATATTATATGTGCACATAAAATCATATCCACTTCTCAGTCTTCTCTTAATATTCGCTAAATATTTTTATACAGACACTGTGTATCGATGTAGCTAGTATCAAGAATAAAAATCGGGTTCGGCTATAGGTTTTGATTCGGAAGGTCTTGGATTTGAATTTTGAAAGTCTATAATTATATCGCTTTCTTGTCGTGCATGCGTATAATGTATGCGTTTATGTTTTCAGACGTGGCTTAAAAAATGTGATAATTCTGTTTGTGCATCACGATACGCCATAAGATATAACATTGTAAAGCTGAGCGCTTCACAGTTTCCCAAGAACGGTAATTACACGAATCAAATCAATTCTCAACTCAGATCTTATCACCAGTTTTGAAAACGGAACAACACTCATTTCACAAAATTAAAACACTGATGCATATTCCACGTTCCACAGGAAACTGTTAATTGATTTTACCTCTTGATGTATAAATAATATTCACCCCCTGCTATTCTTAACTTGAGGGTTCTTTGTAGGATTTCAATGCAAACAAACTGTAGTTATTTTAATGCATGGGTTTTGCAAATCGTGCATGCTCAGATGTCATTTGTTGCTCAGATCTAATGTGATCAGACGATCCCAAAAGTCGATATAAATAGAAATAACTTAGATTCCCGTCGCTTTCGGTTTTTAAAACTTCCATTGCGGGTACGTGGAGACAAATCATTTTTAGGGCTAATTTTCTTTATACCTACACAAAAAGTTTTAAATCCGTTCACAAGATACCATAATGAATTACGACTGATGAAATTGATTCAATATAATTATAAAGCCGCAGCTGGAGCGTGTTTTTGTGTCAGTCGTCTTGTGGTCGGAATTCTTATGAAAGCATTATAGTTTTTACGATAAATACCTACGTTTATTTCAGAGTTGAAGCTATGTTGACTGGCTAAAATAAAATATTGCTCTCTGTGCGTTAAATGCTCTTCCTGGTGGAAAACCTCAAGTCTCTCGCGATAAACAGCAGACTATTTAAATTCTAAACAGATAATATAATATTGCACTATTGGTGTTTATTATTTCTTGCATGCATGCACATAGCGTTCTGATGTATGAATTGAAAAATTAACTGACTTTTCTATCCTTGTGTTTTTCAGACAGAAGAAGGAGATGCCGACGTCAAAACAAGAAAGTTCGGTCCAAAAAGCAGTGAAAAAGCTGTGTCAACACTTGGAAAAAATTCCAAAAGACATGCGCCTGTTTTCCTCAGTTTTCCGTTCGCTTTATTCAGAGCAAGCCGTTGATGAAAATAGCGACGCTGCTGTAAACTTTGAAAGATTCGAGATGCACAGAAAAGCAATGGTGTATTTAAAGTGCGTCCTTCCCGTAACGAACAAACTTAAGGTCTATTAAAGAATATTTCGAATATTACGAAGCTCTGTCGTATGAAGATTGGTGCGAAATTTTACCAGAGATCTTTTGGAGCAGAGAAGAACATACGAAGACCTGGCGCAGGCTGTGTTAGATATGTACCAGAATATGACAACTCCTTTGAACAAACGCAAAGAAAAGGCGCATGTGGTCATGGAAGATTTCGTGCGCTTGTACACCGTGAATTATCCGTCGGAGGAATCTCCACGCGCAAACACGGCTCGGGCAATTGCGTCGGAGAAGCAATACGAAATCAACAAAAACGCAGCTAGAACTGTTGCTGAAACTCTCATTCCTGCTCTGTCCAGATTCATTGACGGCATGCGAAAAGTGGCCCAATTCTTTAGAATTATTGAAAATGAACTGAGGTCGTTTGAAGATGAAGAAGGCATGGACGAACTTAAACAGTCTCATTATAAAGTAATACAGAATTCAGCGAGAAAAATAAAATCCTCTTTGTGCCGAATTCTTCGGGACACTTCCGGATGTTCGCACCGACCTCGAGGCAATTCCCAGCGAAGATAGTGACCAAAACTACGTCGAAAAATGGTTGAAGAAAACCCTTGCAGATATTGGGAGCCAAACGACAGTCAGAGTTCTTCTTGGATCTTCCTCGGGAGTGGAAGAGATGGAACCGGTCGACACAGGACGAAAATCAAACCGAGCAAAAACATCGAAAAATAATCGAGAACCAACACCAGAAGATGATTCTGTACAAAGTAAACCGGTACTGCCACCGAAAGAAATTAAACCGGTACCACCACCGAAAAATAGACGACCATCACCACCAGTAAATGATCCAGTACCGACATTGAAAGATAAACCAGAATTACCAGCGAGAAATAGATCAGTGTCAGCACCACAGGAGTATGAAACAATAACAGCAAAAGATAAACCAGCAATACCACCGAGAGAAGAACCAGAATTAGCACCAGCGAACGACGGTGTACCAAACTCGAAAAAGAAACCAGTACCACTACCGAGAAATGGACCAGCATCAACACCAGTACATGATCAAGTACCAAAGTCTAAAAATGAACACAGAGCAAGATCGGTAGTTATTTCACAAAAACCAACAAGGAAAAAGAAACAGGCACCATCACCACCCAGAAACGGTCAAGCACCAACAACATCGGTTTATCATGTACCATCTTCGGAAAATAAGCAAGCACCATCACGGAAAAGTAAATCAGCAGCGACATCGTCAGATTATGCCGTACCAGCACCCAGAAAAGGTCAAGCACAAACAACATCGGCTTTTTATGTACCATCGCCGGAAAATAAGCAAGCACCATCACGGAAAAGTAAACTAGCAGCGACATCGCCAGATTATGCTGTACCAGCAACCAGAAATAAAAAAGAATCGAAAAATGCACAAGGAGCAAAGCCGGTAGAATATCAGAAACTTACAACAAAGGAAACATTTGTTTAGGGCACAACACATGCAGTTGTTGCAAGGTGCATGTGGACTTAGTAAAATGCATGTTACGGACTTCACTAATATTTTTTCTTTCAAAATGCAACATTTTTATGCAACTGCAAGCGAAACATAGCAGAGAAACAGTTAATATGCACTTATATCAGATCCGTGATTCAATTCAGCAAGAGACACACAGTGAACAAAGTACTTAGTTTCACGTAGGGTTTTAACTGAATGATGATTCTTATGTATGTATATTGTTTACCTTTTAAACTTATATATACTTTTGAACTCCCACGAGTTCATACTTACAAGTGGTAGTTAATGACTTAATTACATATACAAGAATGCAACGATATGGGACCGGATTTGATCTACCCCCAACATGCAGGAAATCTGTTGACGGATAATATTATTACCAATGACATTTTGGCTACCCACTACCCAGCCTTGTGTAAGACTTCGATGTAGATTTTTATACTCAAAGATAATTTCTAAAGTGAAGTATTGTGGCAAGCATGCACATGCAAATTACTATGAAACTATGGGGAAAAATTACGATTTATGCTCTAAATACAACTGCCGAAATATGATTCACGTTCGTCTAAAACGTAATGCACGTAAAATGACGATTTGCGGTTCCAATTTTCGATTTTTTACAATTTAAATGGTAGATAACGAAGCTAAGACAATCTCTTGTGTGCATGCGCAGCGTGATGTCCACCATCAATGCACAACGCGTGCCATTTGGACTAAACTGTTTTTATTTCATGAACAAGACTTTGGCTATCTTTCAAAATGAATATATACATGCGTTCTTGCTTCTTGTGGAAGTATCCGGTTGAAATCGCCGTTAGAGTGGAGATAAATTTGCACTTCAAAGTAATCATACTTGATTGATATGGCATATGCATGATATTAATTGAAATACTAAGAAATTCTGCTGATATTTAAATAAACCGGTTACGAAACCGGTTATAACCAGCCAGCGCCAACCATCATTGCCAAAATGAAAGAGGAATAAATAATTATGGAGATCAAATACTTGGAATCCGCCAAACACTTCTGAAATCTTGTGGTCGACAGCGCATCTGTTTTTTGAAGCCAAGTTACAAGAACGGAAATATTTGGATCAGTTGTGATATTTTGTGAACTAGAACGTTCGACTAAATTCCGAAGACAAAATACAGGTAATAAAAGTAATACTTTATTGGGAATAGGTTTTACCAGTAAACAGAATATGTAAATTTTAATCAGCGAAAAGCATCGATCGTTCATTCGTGAAATTTGCCCATGGTGGATATAGTGAAATTCGAATAATATATATGTGTGTGCGTTATTGCAACTGCTCAAATCATTCCACTTTTTTTTCAATGTTTTATAAAGCACTGCATACGTATATTGAGGTATAGCTTCATCGAAAACAATTGAAATACGCTACGCTACGTTTCGATTCCCGGAGTAAAACATCCTCGTGCTATATACAGAGCGGCACAGTTGTAGGTCGTATAGCATTGCAGTTATATATACTTCGAATGAAAATTATCCATATTCCCCAACTCGTATAAAAAAGACTAAGTGTAGCTGTATGCATGTTGAATACGAGCACAGGCAACTAGTACTCATGTTAAATTTCAGATAAAAAGTTCAGATAAAATTAGATTGGCCATGCATGCATAGCCACATTTAAGTCTGAAAGATTATAAAAAGCTTTCCAATTATTGCACAGACTGCGCCGTGTTTAGAGATGAAATAGAACTGTTTGTATATCGTTATGTTTTTTCTACTGACAGAAAAGATGCCAATGTCCCAGCATGATAATACGATCCAAAAAGCGGTAAATAAATTAAGCGAGAATCTGGAAGAATTACCACGAAACATGCGTCAATTTTCCTCGGTTTTTCGAGATCTCTACGCCGACCAAGCTGTTGGTGGTAATAGCGACGCCGCTGTAAAGTTCAGAAAGATTCGAGATGACACAAGACAAGATGCAATGGTGTATTTGAAGTGCATCCTTCCCGCAACGACAAATTTCATAAGGTCTGTTAAAGAATACTTTGAGAATTACGAAGCGTTGTCGTATGAAGAGTGGTGCGAGATGTTACCAGACATTTTAGAGGAAACGAAAGAACACAAAGACCTCGCCCAGACCGTCTTACACATGTACCAGGATATCAGGGTTCCCTTAAAGAAGCGCCAAGACAGTGCACGAATGGTTATGACAGAGTTCTCAAACTTGCAAACCGTGTATCATCTGTCGGAGGAATCTCCAAGCGCAAACGCGGCTCGGGCAATTGCGTCGGAGAAGCAATACAAAGTAAACAAAAACGCAGCTCGACTTGTGGCTGAAACTCTCATTCCTGCTCTGTCCAGATTCATTGACGGTATGCAAAAAGTTGCCGAATTCTATAGAGTTATTGAAAAGGAACAGAAATCGTTTGAAGACAGGACAGAACAACGGATAGATAAGCTTAAACAGTCTCATTATAATGTAATACGAAATTCAGTGAGAGAAATAAAATCCCTCTGTGCTGAATTTTACGCAGTGATCCCAGATATTCGGACAGATTTCAAGGCACTACCCAGCGAAGATACTGACCAAAACTACGTCGACAAATGGTTGGAGAAAACCCTCGCAGATACCAGGAATCAGACAACGGTCATGGCTCTTCTTGGATCCTCCTCGGGAATGGAAGAGAAGGTTGACAAAGGACGAAAATCAAACGGAGCACCAACCTTGGAAAATAAACCAGCACCACCAGCAAAAAGACCAGCGGTAACACCAAAAAATGACCCTCTACCAAAATCGAAAAGAAAACCACCAGCGCCACCACCAAAGGACAGATCAACATTAACACCAGTAGATGTGCCACCATCGAAAAATATACCAGCACCACCACTATCGCGACCAAATAGGAGACCTTTATCAACGCCAATTTATGCTTCTGTGTCGACAACGAGATATGAACAAGGACAAACATATAAAAAAAGACCAGTATCAGATTGCCAAGTGTCAGCATCGACATATATAAAAGTACAGCCACTGAAAAATGGACAAGCGTCAACACCCACAAATGATCCAATATCAACAAAGGACAATAAACAAGCACCAACGTTGAAAAATAGACCAGCATCACCACCAGTAGACAAGCCAGTACCAACATCGAAAAATCAACATGAAAAAACACCGAAAGGTAAACGGAAAACAACGTCAGATGATCAAACACCGCTGACATCGAAAAGTAAACAAGTAAGTTCATCGCAAGAGGATTTAATAGAAAGAAAACAACAACGCTGTCACTGGAGGTGCAATATCATGTAAAGAAACTCTATAATTTTTATAACTTCGATAAGTAAGGGTAGAATAACGTATTTTGTGATTTTGAACAATATAGCTAATGGCAGTAAGAAACTTATAGCATATAATCTATATTTTGTGAATGTAACTACATAGTTATAGACAATGCAACGTAAATATAACTTATATTGCTTGATTTTATACGTATATTGACTCATTCATAGCTTGAAAACAATTCCAATGAGAATAGGCACAGAGTTTGACACAAACTACACAGCATGATTAAAACTAAAAGGGGTATTCAATAACATCATATAGACTTTTCCAAAGAAGGGATAAAAAACCTGTTATAAAATTTGAACCGTTTTTATAAGCGTCATTGACTTCAAAGGTTATCAAGACGAAGTTGTTTTTGCATTGTATAAACATAATACCTAGGATTCATGTTCGATTTCCCTAACAATTTCTCGCAAAATGCCACTTTTTTGCTTCGCAATTGCAAGCGGAACAAAGTTACACTCTACAAACATGAATAATAAGAATTCAAAACACAATTATCATTATATTACCAGGAATTATACCGCAATACGGCATTGTGAAAATATTATTGACTATATGAAGAAGGCATGAACACGCAAGTAGCAATGAATTTCATAAAGGAATTAATTCTAGCTATGAGTATAACAAATAGTTAGCTACCTAATAGAAACATGCCGAGAAAACAAAACACAAATGAGAGGTAATGCTGTTAGAATTAAAGAGCCTTTGTGTACGGAAACACAGTGATCAATATCAGTGGTTGTGTTTTAGGAACAAACTCTTTGTGTGAAAACAATACCTCAATATGAGAGGTAATGATGTGTTAAAGTGTCTTGTTGTGCGAAAAGAATGCATGGATATATGGTTATTTCACGTCTGTTTTGACAAGTTATAACTATTTTGATTAACCAAAAACATAATATAGAAGCATCTAGAAGCGCTACCTAGTAACTTTACATTCGAAGAATGCATTTACAGGAAACCAGCTTTAACAATACACCCGCTAGTTTACAACAATCAAAACTGTTGACATGCAGATAGCTAGTATTTTTTATACAAATGAGTGACAATTATAACTTGAAAATTTTATCTGTTTACCGATAGTATATTTTGGTATGTTTTTAAGAGAAAAATAGCTAAGGTGCAATCTCTCCTGATCGTATATTAGCCAGATAAACAAATTTAATCTTAATCTAAATTGCTATAAAGGAAAGGCTATTAGCTTAATGTAAATAGCCCCGCTTTTATGAGCAAAACGTAGGATTGTTTGCTTATTTCATATTAAATAAGTTGTACCTTTTAATCTAAGAATTTGGTGAATGCTATTGGCGTTAAATTCCAGATAAATTTATATGTTTTCGATGACATATGTATATATGCAAATCGGCGAAAACACTGTTAAACCCAGGAATGCATGCAGGCAGCGTTCAGCTAACCGGTTGTCAAACCAGTACGGCTCAGAATGAAACTGAAATAAATAAACCAATTTTCTGAAAAACAACAACACTTCAGAAGTTTGTGGTCAACAGTAAGCGTGCATGTATTCAAGTTGACTATATAAACAAGTCAAAAGTCATATTTTTTATCAAATTCTGAAGACAAAAAGCAGGTATTTAATGAAATAGATTTATTATGTGGCTCTAGCCGGTCTGATTCATGTAATCAAATAAAGTTCAAATTATACTGCAAGCAACCACGCCCATGTACTGTCACCCACTTAAGCGTCTGTATAGCTTTTGCACTTATTAACATCTATCAAAAAGCAAAAATTGCATTTAGAATCACAGGGAAATTGCAAGACTAAACAGTATCTTTTCAGCGCCTTGCAAAAACCATAAAATATTTAATTCACTTATATAGTTATGTTGGCATTAGCACAAGTTCAACCGATCAGCGAGAATATAAACAAGTTGAAAGAGACGTTGAACGAGATGCCAGAGAATATGCGTCTATTCTCGTCGTCATTGCGAGTGCTATTCTCCAAAGAAACTGATGTTAGCGGTGATAGTGATTCTGCTAAAAAGTTCAGAGAGCTTCGAGACGCCACAAAGGAAGACGCCATGGTGTATTTGCGTACGAATCTTTCAATGACGACTTACTTTGTACGCTCCATTGAAAAATATTTCGACAAGTACGAGTTCTTGTCTTTTGAAGAATGGGGAGAAACGCTGCCAGAAATCCTGGAAGAAACGAGAGTCCATAAAAAGCTTGCACATGAAATGCTTGAAAAGTACGAAAAGCTGATGGTTCCTCTCAAGAAACGCGAGGATGAGGCTCGAGTCATCATGAAAGAGTTCAAAGACCTGCAAAGAGATTATATTTGTCAGAAGCAAGAGTTAGAAGCGAAGGCACAGAAAAAGAGAAGATGGGCCTATGGACTTGCTTTTATTCCTGGTGTGAATTTGATCGCGTCTCCCTGGCTGGGATTGTCTTCAAAAGGAGATAAATCTAAAGCGAATTCAAAAATGGTTTTATCGAAAGCGTCTGGAGCCTCGGCGCTAACTGTGGCCGAAACCCTTTTACCTGCACTGACCAGCTTCGTTGAAGACTTGAGAAATGCAGCAAAATTCTTTTCCACCATTGAACAGGAATTACAATCGTTCGAAGGCAGAGCAAAGAAAAGTGAAACATTTCGCAAAAGGCTCCACTACAAGGCAATGTGTAATGCAGCGAAAACCATGAAATTCAACTGTCGATCATTTTACAACGTGCTTCCATCCGTCCTGAACGACTTCAGCGAAATTCCGTTTGTCGGCAACGACAACAACTGCCTCGAAAGATGGCTGGAAGAAAATCTTGAAGAGATTGCATTAACTCTAGATGCCAATGAAGATGATTTTGAAGCTATAGCTTTGCCTAAAAATTAAAGCAGTTAATTAGGTAATTATGTAGGTCAGCAGGATAATTATATAACTTGATTACGGATGCATAAATGTTTGTATATTTGGACATTTTCAGCGTCGCTAATCAAATGTATATGAAAAAGGATTTACAAATAATTGTTATATATCACATTATATGAGGTAAAATAAAATAAATCCATGAAGGAGAATATACTACAGAACCCCTGCTAACATAGAACTGGCGATAACTTGGCAAAAATGCAGAAAGTAAATTATGGAACCCGCTGAAATAATACATCCATCAGCGTATCTCTTTTGACACAACATCAAAAATTGTCAAAATAAACTTAAATGTGTCTGTTCGTGCTGTGACGGTATTTACATCGTAAACTTTGAAAAAAGGTTATTGTAATAGTCTATTATCATGTCAAAGACATGCAATAACAGGTATATTGAGCGCTTGTTTCGTTGCATATTTGGTTTCTGCCTTGAAATAACATCTTCATTCATATAACAAAAATCATCTTCATCCTCTCTTTATTCCCAAACATTTCAAATTTTTCATACCAGTTTTACAAAGTAGAAATTTTCAAATAAAAATTATCAGGAATTCAAATTTGAAATTTTCCCGCCAAAACTGAGCGGTCTGTCTGTTGATTACCGACCTCTCAAGAACTAATAAAAATCTCCCATTATCTGTAATTTACATTTCGAACACCTTGCAATGTAATAAATATGGGGTTTCACGTGTCTAAATTGGCAATGCAAGGACCTTGGTGACCTTTTTGGGCGACAGATTTTTTTATACATATTCCACGTAATTAATTCACATAGGGCATATGCAGTCGAACACAATTACTATTAAACCTTGCCGCTTCAGGTAGAAATATATACTTTAATGCAACTGATTTAATTTTATTTCCTAGAACATGAAAAGTATGCAATGAATATGACAGTTTATGGTTGAGATTTGATTGAATATCTCTTCCAAAATCAATTATCTTCTGTTCAAACGGCAGAAAACAAAGTTAAAGTTATCTTTCGTGTGCAAGCGCAGCATGGTATTCGCCACTAACAGTACGGCGCCAGCCATTTTGGGTAAAAAGGCTTCAATTACATTTGCAAGACTTTGGAGAGCATTTTCCACCTCGAATAAACGAGTTTTTCCTATTATAAAAGCATCTAGTTTAATCGGTATAGGAATCAAAATAAGTTTTGTATAGTGAAAATGGTTTGATATTTTCAATCATACATGCATATGATTATGAAATTATCAAGAAAATACTGTACAGTCCGTCAGAAAACCGGTTATAAACCAGTATCAACAAGTATTGTTGACCATGGGATTGCATAAATAAATAATTTCACTACAAATACTTGGAATTGGGTAACACAAAACACATCTGATATTTTGTCGTCGACAGCAAGTCGGTATTGAAGCTGCCTCAAAAAGTTTGGGCCAGTGTGATATATTTTGAGCCAAATTTCAAACGAATTAAGAAGAAAAAAGGAAGGTATTTAATATCATGTGACTATTAATCTAACTAAAAGGAAGTATGCGAATTTCTCGATGGCGTAAAAAGCGTTAACTCTCTGCAATTCGATTCTATCAGAATGTTCATGCTAATATACTAGCATAAACCACTTCCATCGACGTAATCATTTTTCACCACGATGTGCATCTAATTCATTATAAATATTACCCAGCGGTGGAAAAAAAGCGCAAAACAGGACACTTTAAAGGCGCATGTTATGTATAGCTTATGCAGAAAGAGTATAAATACGCTTTCATCTAGTTTGTTTATGACGGCTTCTGAAATTTGATGATTGTATAACTGACTACTCAGTATAATGAGTCATTCTAATTTGAAAAATCCCGATTAGCAATACGACATTATTCAATTATTGTATGTTCTATTATAGCCCCGTTTACACTACACTGAATTTATCAGCACGGCACGGCTAAAATGGGCACCCGCACCCAATTTTATTAGTGTTCAGGCTGCCAAAACAAAGGCCGAGTACAGATGAAATGGGTACGGGTGCCCGTTTTAGCCGTGCCGTGCCAATAAATTTAGTGTAGTGTAAACGGGGCTTATATCTCATCTTTATCAGCATGTACATGCTCGTTTTGTGTTATGGGGTTACCAGGGGGGGGGGTGGGGCGTTTTGTGGGAATTTTTGAGGACGGTAAAGACTGATTTAATAACGTTTATCCAAAAAATAAGAAAACGGTAACATTATACGGTTTCAAATCAGTTCATGAAGAATAGTTAAGTTGTTATTACGGATTAATGAGAAAGTTCATTCTTGAGGTAAAACACAGAAAATCAAGCTTTTATTACATCTACCGCACAATAAATTTGACGCAGGCCAGTACCTGAGGGGGGGGGATGCCCCTACAGTAAATGTTTTTAGCAGCGCCCCCCCCCCCGAAGAAGTGGAGATCCAGGTATACAGGGGCCTGGTTTGATAGAATATAGGCGTAAGAGTGTATCTGCAAATTAAATTTTAAATTATATTCTTGGGTTTTGACAAAGTACTTATATTAGCTACATACATAGTATATTTATATTTATAAATTATGCATTGCTTGTAACTGCATCTAACAAAAGATGTTTACTCACTCTTAAAACTACGTCATAGTTTGTACATGATATATTATGCAGGATTTTGCATGACTCTTAAAAATGCACCCTGATTATGACATCATGCATATTCTACGATTGTTTGCATATCCAAGATGGAGGAATGTGGTAGTGATTATTATTGGTAAAAAGAATTGAATTACACCAGCAAATCAAAGATAAATCTGTAAAAGGCTTCGCAATATAACCTTTTAATATATAAAATATAAACATATTTTTTTATTGAAATTCAATTTTGTTTTAGAGAATTGGAGCTTTTTGAATGCCCTTATGTTTGACCTTATGTTTGACCAACATTGGCTCTTTCGCAGTGCTATAATTCTTTCTAGGGGTTCAAGTTTCTAGGAAGGATGCAAAAACTTCAAAAGAGGGTGTTCCCTTCCCGGTTAATACGTATCATTTATAACATCTTGTTTTTCTTATTTTCTTCCCTTATGCCTGTATAAAATAAATTATTCGGAAAATTTATTTTTCAATCCAGTTACGATGGAAATTTCGACTCTGTATATAGCTGTATACTTGCATTTTATTGACAGAAAAGATGTCAACGTTAAACAACGAAGGTGTGACCGAAAAAGACTTGAACAGTTTAAGCCAAAATTTAAAAGAAATGCCAGAAAGCATGCGTCTATTTTCCCTGTGTTTCCGCTCACTTTATTCAGACAACGCTGTTGGTGGTCATAGCGAGGCTGCAGTGAAGTTTAGAAAGATTCGAGATGACACAAGACAAGATGCAATGGTGTATTTGAAGTGCGTCCTTCCTGCAACGACAAATTTCATCAGGTCTGTTAAAGAATACTTCGGGACTTACGAAGCTTTGTCGTACGAAGAATGGTACAGGATGTTACCAGACATTTTAGAGGATACGAAAGCCCACAAAGACCTCGCGCAGATGGTGTTAGATTTGTACGAGAATATCATGGTTCCTTTAAAACAACGAGAAGACGACGCAACAACGGTCATGAAGGAGTTCGAAGGCTTACAAAGCAAGTATGAAGAGATATGTAAAGAATACGAGGCCACAGCAAGCAGCAAAAGAAAATGGGCAAGTGCACTTTTGTTTGTTCCTGTCGTAAATATGATCGCGTGTCCTTTGTTGGGACGGGCTGCTCGTGAAAACACTGCACTGGCTGTTGCTAACAAAATGGACGCCGAAATCCATGGAGGTGCGGCAATTATTGTGTCCCAAACCCTCATCCCAGCACTGTCCAACTTCATTAATGGTCTGAAAAAAGTGGCCGGATTCTTTCAAGTCCTCGAACAGGAATTGAAATCGTTTGAAACGAAAGCAGGAAAGGATGAACCTAAAAGGTTGCATTATAAATTAATGTGTTATTCGGCGAGAGATATAAATTCTCTCTGCTGTACTTTCTTTCAAGCACTTCCGGATGTCCGAACAGATTTCGAGGCGCTTCCAGTTGAAGATACTGACAAAAACTACGTGGAAAGGTGGTTGGAGAAAACGCGTGCAGAAATTCGGAGTCAATCGGCATTCAAGTCTCTTGTTGGGGCTGTCTCAGGTTCGAAGGATATCGACGAACGAAAATTAAGACAACCACCACCAATACCAGCTCCCAAACCCACCCAACCGAGATACAAGACACAAGGAATTAAACTTCTTGGAATGGACCCACCACCAAAACTATCATCAAAGGCACCAACAAAACCACCATCAAACGCACCACCAAAACCACCATCAAACGCACCACCAAAACCACCAAGATCTACCACAGGATCTACGGACAGCTAAGTGACTAAAAGAACATGAGCTTATTTATACATTTACTTAACCTCGCGGCATTGCTAAATGGTGCATCATGATTATAATTTCAAATTAACATTATAGTGTATTTGAAAAGTGAGCAGACTTAACAGTAATATAACATTTAACAAACAGTATGTATGAAAGTAGACGAAGTCCATGCAGAATAAATGGAACTGAGATATGACAATCAATACCGCCAGCATTGGTACTTTTTCATAAAAATAGGGTAAAATAGTGCACATTTTAAACGTAAACGAAAACGTCTTATAATGACGTCAAACGCGGAAAGTCTTATGTTACACGAAATTTGATTGACTCCACAAAACTATCGAGCCAATCGAACTTCGTGTAACATCAGACTTTCCGCGCTTGACGTCATTATGAAAAAGGTCTATTCCACGTTTCTTCGAGATAGTAGAGAACAACTTATCACTTAGTATATTATAGTAACGGTAGCTATGTAATTGTTGTACTGTATAATCGATTAAAAATATGTTGCAATTTCGGGTTGCCGTATTCAAATTTTTCATCATCTTGTTCAGGTAGTCATGACCGCAAAAGACCTTTGGAACAAAAGGCTCGAAAATACAATTTTCCTAATTTTGAGCCTTCGAACTTTTTCAAAGGTCTTGTGGGGATGCTTAGCTTCCGTATATTGCGTATGTACAATGTTGTTATTTTAACACATCGTACCTACAAGATGTTTTGACGACCACGCGTACTTTCCGTCGCTAAGCGTTGCTTGTGCGTATGTATGCTAGTTGGAAAAAACTATCGATACTGTGTGACAATTTTATCGTAGCACAAACCTTGGAGATGTCACCAGGTTCAATAAATGGCCAGTTGTCTTCATGGCGCATGCGATCTTTTAACAGCTTCTCGCACGGTTTCAACTAGACAAGAAGAAATCAGACAGCACTATTATCAAAGTTAAGTATAGCCGAAGAATTTTTACCCACAAACATTATGGCAAGTTATAGTTCTTAGTAGAATGTTTCACCATAAACTCTAAGAGGGCGAGAAAGTCAAGGTTTTCCCTATTATAGGCCTAAAAACTCATAACAATGCCTTAGCTGCATGTACTTGCATTGGCTTGTTTATCATCACCTTCAAGCCGGCGAGGGTACTAATTCCGTCCGGGGATTCTAACTACGTCCGGGATAGACTTGCTACAAGTCGACTCTTTAAACCCATACGCGAGCTTGAGCGACCGAGCGTAGCGAGGTCGCGAAAGCGAGGGAAGGGAACGCGCGGAAGAGTCGACTTGTCAAACTTGCTTCGCGCCATTTTTGGCGACCCAAAATCAGGTCGCTGAATTAATTATTATAATTACCATTTCGACTATTCAGCGTGAATAAAAATGTTAATCAAGGTGTCGATATTGGTGTTCGATTTCACTTGATTAGAAAATACTTTGATATGGCTTCCATTATCGAAGCGATTGACAAAGCCAGGAAGTCTGTTGGTTACTCGGAACTGAAAGAGTATCAGCAAAACACTGTTCAGGCATATCTTTCAAACAGAGATGTCTTCGTTTCAGCACAAACAGGAGCTGGGAAAAGCCTTGCATTTGAGTTAGCACCATACGCTTTCGAGCATTTATTAGGAAATTGATTGAACACATTGTCATAGTAATATGACCGTTTTGGCGCGAAGACGCAAATAGAAACCTTGCAAGTTTGACAAGTCGACTCTTCCGCGCGTTCCCTTCCCTCGGTTTCGCGACCTCGCTACCCTCGGTCGGTCAAGCTTGCGTGTGGATTTAAAGAGTCGACTTGTAGCAAGTCTACGTCCGGGAATGCAAATGCAAATTGAGTTGTCCGCCATTGTGTCATGGCCGTTGGGCATTTTATACGTTATGCGCATGCGTAAGTTTAAGACGAGTTGAAGCTGGTTGGACCGTCACTCCCGGCCACAAACAAAGAAAAATATTTGGCCGCGCGAGAGGAGACTGAACTGGCGTATTATAACTCCTTCAAATTCAGCCATCTTTGGCGGCAGTTTGGACAACAAAAGTTCTCACACTCCAGATATATGCGGAGCTCACTGTATCGAGATTGTTTGAAATATGATACGTAGTACTAAATGACAGCAATAGCGCGTGCCCAAACTCTAAGGTACAAATACTCGCAATATAGGCGGTATGTCTTGGCACGGACAATGTTAGCTACTGGTATAATTATAAATCTATCAGTACACTATCGCGTATTTTCAGTTTCTGCCACGTATTGTCAGTTATACTATTAATGATAGCCAATTGTAGTTGACCGAAAATATACAGAAAAGAAGATTTTGTAACACAATCCAGTCAATCCAGCCAGCCCGCATGAGTGAATGTAAAGTGCAGGCTGCGCTAAAGTAAGATTAACATCATGTTGACTCTTTAACTTTTAAATATTTCTTTGTACCACTACTACAAGGTTAATACTAAAACAATTGGACAACTCGTGCCTGTTATCAAAACAGTATACTAGCGATCTAATCAACTCCTTGACGAGTCGCTCATGCAAAAATCGGCCTCTTTGTTTAATTGCATTTTAAAAACAGAAAGCGCCAAGTAACGTAGCCAATCCTAATGCAGCACTTGCTACAGCACTACATTCTATACACACTAAGCACTGCTGTTATAGTGCTTACATTCAGCCAAAAAAAGCATTCAGCCAAATATTCGGGCTTAGTTTTGAAATACGTATTAAGTATAGCTAATTTTCTAGAATGGGGTGGGGAAACATATTACAGAACCCCCACGAGCTTTTAAAAGTTGTAGGTAATAGCTTAATTGCAAGAATGCAATGGTGTGAAACCCGCTTTAAATATAAGTCAGCATGCAACAGAACTTGTTAATGGATACTATTTGCTTAAACTACCACGTTAAAGTAAACATGTTTTTATCTATGTAGCTATATACTTATGATCATAGAACTGTCAAGAAAATCACTGCTCATTTAAATAACTGGTCAGCAAAACCGGTTATAACCAGCTAGCGCCAACCATGCAGCATTGTTAGAAATGACACTGGAATAAGCAATTACTGCAAGCAATTACTTGGAATCTTTACGGAAAGTAATTACTTGGAATCTGCTACACTCCTGAAATCTTGTGGTCGACAGTGCGTCATTTTTTTGATAAGCTGAGCTACAAGCACGGAAATATTTGGATTAGCTGTGATATTTTGTGAACGATAACTTTCAACTGAATTCCGAAGACAAAAAGCAGGTATAAACTTTACGTGTAATAGGTTTAAAACCAGATTAAATGGAATATATAAATTTTAATCAGTGCAAATAAAACCATGATGATAAAGATATATGCAGAACGCATAAACGGGCGCGTTAATTATACTCGAGCTGTTTGTGTATTGTGGAATATTTAACTCGCGCGTTATATGTAAGCATTTGTAACTGCATGACTTAGCTTTCTCAAATCTTGTGTTGAAAATTGCTGGTAGAAAACCACATTCTCTCTCTCTACTGATAATTCAATGGACATTCCTATTTGCGCATACAGATATCAAGCTCATAATAAAATACAAATTAACTTTGTTTTGTATTGAAATGGCAAGTTGATTTCGACCACTAATTTTCATTTCAAAAGTATTCGACCACTTCTTGTTGTTGTAAAATACAAAAAAGTATTATTAGAAAGTTATAAACAACGGTTCTTTCATAAGTAAGGATTATATAACTTAATTCAATTGATACATCCGGCATAAAAAGCTTGTTATGTTCCATTTCGGTTTTTTTCAAGACACCATGTAGAGCACTGTATTTTGAAGTAGTGTCAAAGAAAGGAATATCACGCGATGTTTTAACTCCCGATAAATACACAAAAATGGTGTCATCGACATGAGATTTTTAAAACCGTACTCTCGCCAACATTCTGAATAGCGTAAACATACTATCTATGGGAGACAAAACTGTGTTATAATTTTGTTTGTGTATCGGTGGTGATCACATCGCTGAGATTCCATCTCATGGATACAGGGATGTAAAATAACAATATGCATTTCGTAAAAATGCATCTCGTAAAAATGCATCTTATTCTAGGTTTCACAGGAAACTACAAATTAATTTTGCCTCTTATGCACATAATTAACATAACCACCTACTGCCGGAAATATTTATGTATAAGATGAATATGTGCCAGAAAAGTCAATCGAGGTTACTGCGCTCCTTACAATCCACAAAAATGCATTATCAAATGAGTCGTACGGTTGCACTACAGCAATTGAAACCCATAAGGAGAGTTTGACTATTCATTATCGTGTTATCGTAGTGGAAACAAGAGCAGATTATTCAAACTGGATATTTTATATATGTTTTATATACTATATCATTTAATTTGCATGATAGTTTCTTAGGTAGCATGGTGTTTAGAGATTAGGTGTTCAGGAGATTATAGCTCTGTATTTGCCTTATATCTTGCAAACAGAAAATGCCGAAGTCACGACACGATAGTTTGACCGAAGAAGCTGCAAACAAATTAAGTCATCATTTGGAAGAAATGCCAAAAAACATGCGCCAATTCACCTCAGACTTTCGAGCTCTTTACACAGACCAAGCTGTTGGTGGTCATAGCGAGGCTGCTATAAAGTTCAGAAAGATTCGCGATGACACAAGACAAGATGCAATGGTGTACTTGAAGTGCGTCCTTCCTGCGACGACAAATTTCATTAGGTCTGTTAAAGAATACTTTGAATATTATGAAGCGTTGTCCTATGATGATTGGTGTGAACTGCTACCAGACATTTTGGAGGAAACGAAAACGCACAAAGACCTCGCGCAGACCGTATTAGATATACACCAGAACATCATGGTTCCCTTAAAGAAACGTAAGGATGAGGCGCAAGTGGTCATGACAGAGTTCGCGAACCTGCAGAACTTATATAATCAGTCAGAAGGATCTGCGCGTGAAAAAATGGCTCGGGCAATTGCGTCAGAAAAGCAACACGAGATCAACAAAAATGCGGCTCGAATTGTGGCTGAAACACTTATCCTCGCACTGTGCAAATTCATTGATGGTCTACAAGAGGTAGCACGATTCTTTCAAGTCATTGAAAATGAACTGAACTCGTTTAAAGACAGTTCAGAAGAAGGCGTGGATGAACGTAAACAGTCTCATTATAAAATAATAAAGAATTCAGCGAGAGAAGTAAAATTCCTCTGCGTTGCTTTTTACGGAGTACTTCCAGATGTTCGCACCGACCTCGAGGCTCTTCCCAGTCAAGATACTGACCAAAACTACGTCGACAAATGGTTGAAGAAAATCCTCGCAGATATTAGGAGCCAAACAACACTAAAGGCTCTTATTGGAACTCCCTCGGTAGTGGAAGTGAAGGAATCGGTCGACACAGCAGGACAATCAAACCACGTACCACCATTGAAAAATAGAGCAGCATTACTACCAAAGAATACAGCAGCATTAACACCAATTGATGATCCTGTACCAACATCAACACCGTTTGATTACCAAAATCCAACCTCGAAATGTATACAAGTACTGCCAATGAAAAACGGACAAGCATCAACACCTAAAAATGATCCAATATCAACTATTGAGAGAAATAGACCAGCATCACCACCAGTAGATAATCCAGTACCAGAATCGAAAAATCAACAAGAAAAAACGCCAAAAAGTAAACGAACAAAAACGCCACACGATTCAGCACCATTGACATCGAATAATAAAGCAGTGACCTCATCGACAGAGGATTTAGTAGAACGTAAACAACAATTACGTTGTCACTCTTGCCACTGGAGATGCAACATTATGTAAAGAAACTTTATTTAGTAGAAGTAGAGGTAGAACAAGGTAATTTGTGATTTTGGACTGATAACCATGCAGGAGAATCTTTTAGAATAATCTGTATTTTTTCAATTTAACAACATATGTAACGTGAATACAATTTGTAGCCTAATATAACCTCAGTTGTCATATGTTGCTTGATTTTTCACTTGTATATATTGACCCATTCATCATATTGAAACAGTTCCGACGAAAAAAGTTTGTCACAAACTACACAGCATGATTTTCTTAAACTAAAAGAAATACTCAATACAACTGCGGTTCCATCGCAAAATGCCATGTTTTTTTGCAATGCATTTACAAGCGGAACAAAGTTACACGCCAAAAACTGAAGCATGATAATTATATACACACAATTAAAATTATGTTACCGAATTAATGGCAAGCACAAACAAAATTTCTTTCGCGCTTTGTATAAATTACAATGATACTTGCATAGTTATGTCAACATTAGCACTAACTATAGCTCTAGCTGTGACTGAAATCCTTTTACTGGCACTGAACAGCATCGTTCAGGAAAATGTAGCAGGATTCTTTCCGACTATAGAATAGGAATTAAAATTGTTCGAAGGAAAGCAGACACAGTGGCGTAGCCAGCATCGATAAATGGGGGAGTGCCTATATATTCATATATATCCTTGTTCCATGTTCTGCCTGATCAGTTTCTTATCAAATCAATTGTTTTTACAGTCTGTGAACATGAGTATATGAATATGCTATAACCAAAACTACGCTACCAAGCTATAACGCTTTAGCTACGTCAAAGAGCACGAAATCCACCCGTTGGTTATTTTACATCGTTCTTTCAACCAACAACTTCCCAACTTTTCGACGATGAAGAATAAAATTTGGAGCAATCCATTATGACAGGAGGGTAATTATATAACTTAATAACGGATGATGCCTATAAATATGTTGGACATTTCATGCGTCGCTAATCTTATCTGCCTAATCAACTGTATACGAAAAGAAATTTACAGAAAATCAAGATAAATGTTATACCTATATGTACCAATTATATCACAAGTTAGAGTCGTATATGCGCTGATGAGTCGTAACACCGAGTTGTCTTATAATATATATAGCTATACTATAAATACCATTTAATGAGCGGAATAAACATTGCATAAAAAATTAAATGGACTGGCTACTGATTTTGTTACTGATTTAATTTAAGTCAATGTTGCTACAGCACTATAGATTCGTGCAGTTGGTACTTACAATAAAATAATTTAAGCAAAAATTCCTTAGTTTTAAAGTGCGTATGAAATATAGTTAATTTTCTTGAATGGGGTGGCAAATATGTCACAGAACCCCCATCAGCTCTTAAAAGTTGTAAATAATAGCTTAATTACAAGAATGCGATGATGTGAAACCCGCTTCAAATATAATTCAACATGCAACATGACTTGTTAATGGATACTATTTGTTATTGTAAATGACATGTTGATACGAAGCTCCACGTTTTCAGCAATTAAGAGTTTGACGTAATATTTTCACAATCAAAAAACTTCTCAAATAAAGTATAAATAAATGATTTTGGAAGCATCGGGAAAAGATTACGATCTTTGGTCTAAATGCAACTGATAAATCTGGAGATAAATTTCCACGTGCAATTAAGTAATCATGTTTTCAATAATGTAGCTATATATATAAATATATATCAATATATACTTATAATTATAATTATATAATTTCAAAGAAAATTTATAACTGCTCATTTAAATAACTGGTCAACAAAACCGGTTATAACCAGGCCAGCGCCAACCAGCATTGTTAAAAATGAAAGTGGAACAAGTATAATTACGGAAAGCAATTACTTGGAATCTGCCACACTTCTGAAATCTTGTGGTCGACAGCGCATCTGTTTTTGAAGCAAAGTTACAAGAAAGGAAATATTGGATCAGTTGTGATATTTTGTGGAATTTCAACTGAATTCCGACGGGAAAAAAAACAGGTATAAACTTTACGTTCAGTAGGTTTAAAACGAGAGTAAATGGAATATATAAATCTTAATCAGTGCAAATAAAACCATGAGGATATGGATATATGCAGAACCTATAAATGGGTGCGTTATTTACTTGCGCTGTTTGTGCATTGTGGTATCTGTAATTCGTATTATGTAAGCATTTGTAACTGCATGACTCTTATATAATTCAATGTATATGCATGTATAGTTAAGTTATTTTCGTCGGGTAAATCATTTTCATTTCTTTCTAAACCTGACTAAACCTTTTACACCAGGCGTGTCAAAAATTGTAGTCAAAATGTAAATGTCGCAACGCATTAATTGGGTTTAGCGTTTTAATTCTTATATAGCAAGAAAGAGATTTTTTTTAGCTTTCTTAAGTCGCTTTCTTAAAGAATTGAATTGACATTCCTACTTGCGCATACAGGCCGCATCAAGCTCATAATAATTTCAGATTTACTTCTTTTCCATCCAAATGACAAGTTTGATTTGAACCGTTAATTTTCATACCCAAATATTCGATTCACTTCATGTTGTTATAAAATAAAGAAAGGTATCATATCACAAAGTTATAAATATAACTGCTCTTTCATTCCACGTAAGGTTAAATAATTAATTCAATTAATATCCGGCATAATAGCTTGTTATGTTCTTTCAAGACACCCTGTATATTGAGGTCATTTATCTCTTTATATACCACCTACTGTCTTCCACTAAGGGTTTGTAGTTTGACTATTTACTTTATAGTTAATCGTAGTTACCTCTAAGTAAATATGCTCCTTATTAACAATCATAGAAAGATAATAATTCGTTGCTGTGTGTGAGTCGCGTTTAAGGCACACATGCAGTTTGAAATTTCTGTGCTCATCCTATGCCCGAGTGATTTCCATAAAAAAACAATTGTTTTACGGTATGTGAACATGAATGGGTCAATATACACCCCCACTTTTAATATACGTCTGGCCACAGTTCTGGTCATATGAAATTTAGAAAAGCTTAAGCATTTTCCTACGTGTATACGTCTTTGTTGAAAGCTATAGGGACGATGAAATCTGCCATAAGTGCAGTCTCCCTAAATCATTTCCAAAGATCACCGCATGCACGAGGACACGACAGAATCGAAATTTAAATAACATTAGGGTACATGCATGGTTTAATTAAAATTTACTTCGAGAGATGTGGCGTACGTTTATATAACAAAATACATTTTCATAAACTTATAATAAATTTCTTTCTTACTGTATGGAAAATATTCTCCCAGTAGAAAACGCAATAAAAAAGATTATCCGAACTGGATATTTTGTACTATATTTTTTAGGCTGATATAGTTTCTTAGGTAGCATGGACATGGTGTTTAAAGATTAGGCGTTCAGAAAATTATAGCTCTGTATATATTTTGCAAACAGAAAATGCCGACGTCACGACACGATAGTTTGACCGAAGAAGCAGTAAACAAATTAAGTCATCATTTGGAAGAAATGCCACAAAACATGAGTAAATTTACCTCAGACTTTCGAGATCTCTACGCAGACCAGGCTGTTGGTGGTCAGAGCGAGGCTGCTGTAAAGTTCAGAAAGATTCGAGACGACACAAGACAAGATGCAATGGTGTATTTGAAGTGGGTCCTTCCCGCAACAACAAATTTCATAAGATCTATAAAAGAATACTTCGAAAATTACGAGGCGTTGTCCTACGAAGAGTGGTGTGAACTGTTACCAGACATTTTGGAAGAAACGAAAACGCACAAAGATCTCGCGCAGACCGTATTTGATATACATCAGAATATCATGGTTCCTTTAAAGAATCGTAAAGATGAGGCAAAACTGGTCATGACAGAATTCAAGAAAGTGCCGAGTGTAAATCATGATAATCTGTCGGAAGAATCTACCAGAGAAAATATGGCTCGGGCTATTGCGTCAGAGAGGCAACACGAGATCAACAAAAATGCGGCTCGAACAGTGGCTGAAACCCTTATCCTTGCACTGTGCAAATTCATTGATGGTCTACAAGAGGTAGCACAATTCTTTCAAGTCATTGAAAATGAACTAAAGTCGTTTGGTAGGTCAGAAAGAGGCGTGGATGAACGTAACAGTCTCATTTAAAATAATAAAGAATTCAGCAAAAGAAATAAAATCCTCCTGCGCTGCATTTCACCGAGTAGTCCCAGATGTTCGGACCGACCTCGAGGCTCTTCCCAGCGAAGATACAGACCAAAACTACGTCGACAAATGGTTGGAGAAAACGCTCGCAGATATTAGGAGCCAAACAACACTCAAGGCTCTTTTTGGAACGTCCTCGGTAAAGGAAGTGAAGGAATCGGTCGGCGAAGGACGACATTCAAACCGAGTAAAAACATCGAATAACAGACGAGCATCAGTAGACAACCCTGAACCAATATATGCAGAACCAGTAGAAGTAAAAACATCGAAAAACAGACGAGCATCAGCACCGTTTAATGAACCTGTACAGATATCGAAAAATAAACCAGCGCCACCTCCAAAAAATAGACCAGCACCAGTATATAACCCTGAACCAATATATGCAGAACCAGAACAAGTAAAAACATCGAAAAACAGACTAGCATCAACACCGTTGGATGAACCTGTACAGATATCAGAAAATAAACCAGCAACGCCATTGAAGAACAAACCAGCGCCACCTCCAAAAAATAGACCAGCACCAGTATATAACCCTGAACCAATATATGCAGAACCAGAACAAGTAAAAACATCGAAAAACAGACGAGCATCAACACCGTTGGATGAACCTGTACAAATATCACAAAATAAACCAGCAACGCCATTGAAAAAGAAACCAGCGCCACCTGAACCAATATATGCAAAACCAGTACGGGCACCCAGAAATGGACCACCATCAACACCAATTGATGATCCAGTACAGAAATTCAAAAATAAAGCAGAACCACCACCACCCAGAAATGAATCAACGTTAACATCAGTAGATGATCCAGAACCAACATTCAAAAATAAAGCACCACCTGTACCACCACCCAGAAATGGATCAGTTTTAACACCAGTAGATGCATCAGAGCATTTAGTACCTGCATCAAAAGATCCTGTACCAAAACCGAAAAAGAATCGAACACCCAAATTGAAACATAATACAGCACCACAGGTAGATGATTCAGCACGAATAATATATCACGTTTAATCGAGCACAAAACCCAAAAAACAATCGAGCAATATTCCAAGCATCGACACCAGTAGATGATCCGAAACCAACACCAAAAGATGGTCCGGAAACTCGAAAACAGGAATGCAACCTCTTTAATGAAACTTTATTTAAATGAAAGAGGTAAAATAAGGTGTTTGGCTACTTTAGAGCCTTTTCAATTATATAATTGAATGACTGGGGTTTCTTAATAATATTATTATGCGTGACTACATTTAATCAACATCAATCTATAATGAATATGTGTATTTACGAAAATTGACTCTATCATAGTTTAAAAATATTTCAATGAGAACACAGAAACAGTTGAGAATGAGAACACACACTACACATGCATAGCATAAATGAAACTAATTTAAATTAAAATATTCAGCATCATTATTAGCATTTTATCGATCCTTTTCAAAAATATGAGGATTAAAAACTGTTGCTGATTAAAAATTGCTGTTTAGTTAGTACTTTGAGTTCATGGGTTTTATTAAGGTTATGGAAAAATAAAAAGAATACAGACTGCAAAATATGTTACAAGTTATAATGTTCCACCATTGTTTTGTTTCACAAATATTGTTTACAGTTATAGCTGTTGCATTGCAAAGGTCTAATAGTAGAACATAAGTTTAACTTCATTTAATGGCAAAATGGCACGCTTTCATGTCAGTCACACTTAGCACTTGCAATTGCCAGCGGGACAAAGTTGCATTCATATATAAACAGATAAAATTGTCACAATGAACACAGCGGTAATATGCATTTAGCTACACCACAGCAGGGCGAGCCATTTGAGATAAAGAAAAATGTCAAAATATTTATTTATATCAAAACAAACAAGCATCAATGAACTTCACATGCAAACGAGATTGATAAAAGATAGGTACACAAAAAAGAAAATTCCAAACATACTGTGAAAAGAAAACATGAACGAGAAGTTGTTGTGCAAACGATGCTTTGTTGAGTGAGTGCATGCGTGGTTATCCCTTTTGTTGTCACCACTTGAAAGCCATTAACTGTGCTTGAAATAATAACTTGATGTTATTTTAAATATAATACAGAACCCCCGTCAGCTCTTAAAAGTATAGTGGATAATAACTTAATTGCATTTCAAAAATGCAGTGATATGGAACCAACTCAAGTGATACACTCCCACTAACGTGCAACAATTAAATCTTTTGACATGCAGATATAGCTAGTCAAAATAGTTTACACAAATATATATCACAATGATATTTAACTTCAAAATTTATAAAACGGCAATGCACAATCTCTTGCATGCACGATAATATAATTACTTTAGCCAAGTTTTTGTATTTTCTAAATCACTAAACCAGAGAGAAAAAATGAACCGCACATAACGACAATTTATGGTATAAATTTTCATAAAATGTTTTAACCACACTGTTCCACAAAAATGGAATTCTCAAATATCATAGAAAAGTGGACAAGTCAAATAAATGCATAACAACGTTCGCGATTCTAGTATTGTGCATGGGCATGCATGGCGAGCATTTAAAAAAGCGTTATTTAGGAAAGCGAGCAAGTTTATTTCTATAACAGCAAAAAACGAAAGTAACTTTCGTGCACATGATATTAACCATCTGTATACATGAAGTGCAAGTCATTTTTATTATTATACGAATTATTTCTTGGCAAATTGAATAGAAGCATCTGGTGAATGCAATTGGCGTTAAAATCGAGAAGAATCTTCACGAGAAAGTATAGGCTATATCCATGCGTATCGGAAAAATACTGTTAAACCGGTTATCAAACCTGTTTACCACGTTAAAAGTGAAACTGGAATAATTAACTAATTTTTGGAACTACAATTACTTGGAATCGGCAACGCCAGGAACACTTCAACCTTTTTTTTAGGTGGCAGCAAGTCGGTACCGCGAAGTCAAAACATTTGGATCAGTGGTGATAATTTGTGAGCTAACATTCAACTGAGTGTCGAAGACTAAAAGCAGGTACTTAATTTTTAATGTACTAACATTCTAATTATGCAGCTAAGATAGAAAAACCGGTGATGCCTAGATGGTCTCTGAAATTTGATCTTATCAAAGTAACTATAATGGGCAGGAGAGTGCGTGTTAAACTTTCTTATTACGGCAGTCTATTGGTATATTCATGTAAATATATTTTTTGGTCCGTCATAACTTGTGATCGATCTCCTTTAACTTTTTAAAGTAGAGCATATATCTCGGTCACCCAGTAAGTATTAACCGCGCCCTTTTAGACGACCAGTTTTACAAACTTTGGAACGGAAATAACTGCTTTTTAACATGAACCGTTTTATGCGTATAGGCTAACTGACGGAAGGTTTTCTTAAAGGTTAGAGGAAGTTGAAAAAACAAGCATTCATCTGCAAAATATGTTACAAGTTCTGTTCCACCATAGTTTGTTTACAGAAATTATGTTTTAGCTATTATATTAATATATATATAGAACTAATCGAACGATGGTAGTACTGCATACAGTATATAGTTGATGCATTGTATTGTATAGGCCTAGTAGCTAGAATAATTGTATACAGTAGTTGTTGCATTGTATTGTATAGGCCTGGTAAAATAAGGTTGAGGTGTTATCTCATCGCAAAATACCACGCTTTTATGTCAGTCAAACTAATAAATTGCAATTGCCAACGGGACAAAGTTATACATTTAACTAAATGTCTTTAAAATCTTGATTCGGAGGGGGAATGCATAATAGTATATAAATCTTCCCACAACCCTAATTAAACTTCTGCACGCCTATAGTGAAATATTAAAATATATCAAAACAAAAACAAGCATCAATGAACTTCACAAGCGAGATTGACAACAGATAGGTACACAATACAGAAAATGCCAGACATACTGAGAAAACAAAAACATAAACGAGAAGTTGTTTTGCAAACGATGCTTTGTTGAGTGCATGCGTGGTTATCCCTTTTGTTGTCACCACTTGAAAGCCATTAACTGTGCTTGAAATAATAACTTGATGTTATTTTAAATATAATACAGAACCCCCGTCAACTCTTAAAAGTATAGTGGATAATAACTTAATTGCATTTCAAAAATGCAGTGATATGGAACCAACTCAAGTGATACACCCCTACCAACATGCTACATTTATTCATTGACATGCAGATAGCCAGAATACTTTTATAATTATACAAACACAAATGACAATCATACTTAACTTTAAAATTTGTATATGTTCAGAGATATATATCTTAAAGTAAGCTTTGAAAGAAAAAAGGTGTGGTGATGCAATCGCCCAAACTAAGCTTTTTTATATATATACAAGCTAAAGCTAAACTGCTATAATAAAAAAACACGAATCCCATACATAAAAAACACGAATCCCATACATTTGACAATTAAATTTGTTGTATAAATCTTCCAAAAGATGTTTAAAATTGATTTGGAAAAATGTGATTCTATATAGTATTGTGCATGGGGATGCAAGTATTGGCTCTAACGTTGTTTAGAAAAGTAAGAAAGTTTATATTTAACAGCAGAAAACAAGATCACGTATGGTCATGCATGATTTAAATTTTTCTGCATGCATATATAATATTTACCAGCATGCACCTGGCACAGCGCATATTATTTAGAATAAAGAGCGTCGCTTGCATGAACAAGACTTATTTCACTTATTGAAATATCTTGTGTGATTGGCATTAAAATTGATTAAGATCTCCTATGTCTTTAATAGTAGATTCATGCATTGAGAAAGTAACCGGTTAGTTATCAAACCAGTTTACTGCAGGGGCTGGTTGTATCAAGCCCGTTTACTTAATTTCATTTTGACTTATCCGTCGTTTAAGCTAAACGGGCTTGATACAACCGACCCAGGTATTTTAATAATGTAATATATTTATTATTCTATGGTGGTCTTTGAGATTTGATCAAATCAATATATATATATATATATATATATATATATATATATATATATATATATATATATATATACACCCATTTGCAAAAACGTTGGCCGCAGATAGATAGATAGATAGATACTCGAAGTCTAATTAGAATTGCATATGAATACATTTGCATGGGATTTCAATCATATTACATAACATATGCAATTCTAATTAGATTTCGGGTATCTATCTATATATATCTATCTGCGGCCAACGTTTTTGCAAACGGGTGTATATATATATATATATATATATATATATATATATATATATATATATATATATATATATATATATAGCCAAAGCCATGCATCAATATTTGCAATATAATTAATAGAAAATGTATGAACCTAATATAAAATCAGAAATATTTAATTTTATGTTGTACTGTTTTCATGTTTTTCTGAAAAATCAAAGCCAGTGGATGATTTTTAAGAGTTCATAAAATGTCTACTTAATGCCACAGGAAAAGAACGATGTTTACTTCAATGTTATGGCTATTCCTATACCGAATTATAGTAATATTGTCTACCAAACAGTTCATTTGAGTCACTTTATAATAAACTTTGAGAAATCATATCTATTTTAGGGTACTATTTCTCTGGTTTTATCTTAGGGTATTATTTCTAGTCTGACATTATTCAGAGAAGATCAAAGAACTCTCATACACACAGATGTCCTATAACGGTGCATGCAATCTCTTTTCGTGTCTTGTATTAAATTGCAACAATATTTAGTTTTATTTCAATTGTAGCTATGTTGGCATTAGCAAAAATTCAACCGATTAGCGAGAATGTAAACAACTTAAAAGAGACCTTGAACGAAATGCCAGAAAACATGCGTCTATTCTCATTGTCATTGCGAGTCCTTTTTTCGAAACAAACCGATGTTAGCGGCGATAGTGATTCTGCTAAAAAGTTCAGAAGGCTTCGAGACGCCACAAAGGAAGACGCCATGGTGTATTTGCGTACGAACCTGCCGATGACGACTTACTTTGTACGCTCCATTGAAAAATATTTCGAAAAGTACGAATCCTTGTCTTTTGAAGAGTGGGGTGAGACGCTGCCGGAAATCCTGGAAGAAACGAAAGTCCATAAGAGGCTTGCACATGAAATGTTGGAAAAGTACGAAAAGCTGATGGTTCCTCTCAAGAAACGCGAGGATGAGGCTCGAATGATCATGAAAGAGTTCAAAGACCTACAAAAAGATTATGATCGTCAGAAGCAAGAGTTAGAAGCGACGGCACAGAAAAAGAAAAGATGGGCCTATGGACTTGCTTTTGTTCCTGGTGTGAATTTGATCGCGTCTCCCTTGCTGGGATTGTCTTCAAAAGGAGATAAATCCGAAGCGAATTCAAAGATGGTTTTATCAAAAGTATCTGGAGCCTCGGCGCTAACTGTGGCCGAAACCCTTTTACCTGCACTGACCAGCTTCGTTGAGGACTTGAGAAATGCAGCAGGATTCTTCTCCACCATGGAACAGGAGTTAGAATCGTTCGAAGGCAAAGCAAAGAAAAGTGAAACATTTCGCAAAAGGCTCCACTACAAGGCAATGTGTAACGCAACGAAAGAGATGAAATCAATTTGTCGATCATTTTACAACGTTCTTCCAGCCGTTCTCAACGACTTGAGCGAAATTCCGTTTGTCGGCAACGACAACAACTACGTCGAAAGATGGCTGGAAGAAAATCTTGGAGAGATTGCATTAACTAGATAATGAGCTAATGATGATGATTTTGAAGCCAGCTTTGCTTAAAAATTAAAGCGGTTAATTACTAGGTAATTAGGCAGGACAGCAGGATAATTATATAACTTGGTTTATACGGATGCATTACATTTGGGCATTTTTAGCGTCGCTAATCAAATGTGAAAAAGGATTTACATCGTCAACTTTCATATTAAATGAGGTAAAATAAACCAATTCGATGAGGGGGGATATACTATACGTTCTGTATTATATTCCCCCTCATCGAATTGTTTTATTTACCTCATATAATAGGCCCTTCTGGTATAGAACTGACGATAACTTAATTACATTGCAAAAATGCAGTAAATTTGATACCACAATGATTTGTGGGAAACATTGCCCTTTTAAAACTATTTTGGCACTTTTACACTTTTAGTAAGTAACAAACATGTGCTACAGGCCAATTTCCGTGTTTAAAAAACCGAAGAAAGTAAGAAATTTCGCCGCGGGTTTGGCATTTTTGCAAAACAAAACATTTTTCTGGTTCAATTCTTTTCCCGCGGTATGTTGGTATCGTGGTCAGTGGATGCCCGCGTGAAAGTTTTGACCTCTGCTGACGCGAGTTTTTTCCAGTCACTTTTGATGGCGCGTGCGCACTCCAGGTTTATTCATCTCAACGATAGGCTTCCATCTAGTTTGTTTATGGTGGCAGTTCTGAAATTTGATGATTGTACAACTGACTACATCTACAACGAGTCATTCTCTGTCACTCTAGTCACTCCCCTAATGTTAAAAATCACCATTAGCAATACGACATTATGTTCTATTAAATCCCATCACGAATGGCCTTTATCATAATGTATATGCGCGTTGTTTTGTGTTACCGCGTTACCGCGGGGGGAGGGAAGTGTGTGATTTTTGGGGGAGGTAAAGAATGCAAAAATAAAACGATTTCAAATCAGTTAACATTTCAAAATAAAATTGACATGACCTTATGTTTGACCTTTTGCTTGACCAACATTGGCTCTTCCGCGGTGCTATAATTCTTTCTAGGGGGTTTAAGTTTTCTAGGATGGATGCAAAAACTTCTCAAGGGGGTGTCTCCTTATAAACAACGGATTACGTATCATTTATAACATCTGGTTTTTCTTACTTTCTTTCCTTATGCATATAAAATAAATTATTCGGAAAATTTTGTTTTCAATCCAGTTACGATGGAAATTTTGACTTTGTATATATATTTGCATTTTATTTACAGAAAAAATGTCGACGTTAGAGACCAAAAGTGTGACCGAAAACGACTTGAACAGCTTAAGCGAGAATTTAAAAGAAATGCCAGAAAACATGCGTCTATTTTCCTTGTGTTTTCGCTCACTTTATTCAGACCAAGCTGTTGGTGGTCATAGCGAGGCTGCTGTAAAGTTCAGAAAGATTCGAGATGACACAAGACAAGATGCAATGGTGTATTTAAGGTGCGTCCTTCCTGCGACGACAACTTTCATCAGGTCTATAAAAGAATACTTCGGAACTTACGAAGCCTTTTCGTATGAAGAATGGTACAAGATGTTACCAGACATTTTGGAAGATACGAGAGAACACAAAAATATCGCGCAGATGGTGTTAGATATGTACGAGAATATGATGGTTCCTTTAAAAAAACGCCAAGACGACGCAAGAATTGTCATGAACGAGTTCGTAGGCTTGCAAAGCAAGTATGAAGAGATATGTGGAGAATACGAAGCCACAGCAAAAAGCAAAAGAAAATGGGCGAATGCACTTTTGTTTGTCCCAGTCGTGAATGTGATCGCGTGTCCTTTGTTGGGACGGGCTGCTCGTGAAAACACTGCACTGGCTGTTGCTAACAAAATGGACGCAGAAATCCACGGAAGTGCTGCACTCATTGTGGCCAAAAGCCTCATCCCAGCACTGTCCAGCTTCATTGACGGTTTGAAAAAAGTGGCCGGATTCTTTCAAGTCCTCGAACAGGAATTGGAATCGTTTGAAACGAAAGCAGGAAAGGATGAACCTAAAAGGTTGCATTATAAATTAATGTGTTTCGCGGCGAGAGATATAAATTCTCTCTGCTGCACTTTCTACGCCGCACTTCCGGATGTCCGCACAGATTTCGAAGCGCTTCCAGTTGAAGATACCGACCAAAATTACGTGGAAAGATGGTTGGAAAAAACGCGTGCAGAAATTCGGAATCAATCGGCATTCAAGTCTCTTGTTGGGGCTTTCTCGGGATCAAAGGAAATCGACGAGCGAAAATTAAAACAACCACGACCAATGCTAGCCCCCAAACCCACCGAACCGAGATACAAGACACAAGGAATTAAACTTCCTGGAATGAACGAATCACTACCACCAAAGGCACCATCAAGGGTACCACCAAAACCACCAAGATCTATGGACACCAGGACCTGAGTGACTGACACTTAACCGCGCGAGATTGTTGAATGTGGATCATGACTATAATTTCAAATTAATTAATATCGATATGTATTAATATCTTAATTAATATTAATATGTATAGTGTATTTGGAAAGTGAGCATACTTATTTATAATATTTAACAAACAGAATGTATGAGTAGAACTGAGATGGAACAATCAATACCACTGAGCAATGGAACTTGTTTGAAATGAACTATTTTCTTGAAAATAAAAGGTAAGGTAAAATAATGGACAATTGTGGACAATGTAAACATAAATGAATTCCACGTTTTTTCGAGCTATGCAATAGTGAAAGAAACAACCTTTCACAAAATACATTACAAGTTTTGTTTTACATACCATTGCCAACGGTAGTTATAATATTCCACAATGTAATTGTTGTACTGTACAGAACTAGTCCATAATTAATTTTTTTATCATCTTGTTCAATTATTTATAGTTTGTCTAACGATCCGCATTTGCTGACGAATTATTTCAATTATGCCTCATCTCATAGCCGGCAACGTTTTCATCTACGTGATACGTGTTTCTAATCTCTCACCGATGCATATAAAGCTTTCACAAACTATTTTTCCAGATATCACCGAAAAATGGTCATTTTTATAGAAATAATTTACTCGACCGTTCAGTTCATGTTCAATCATGTATTTTTTCAAAAGTGTGCTCAAAATAAGTCAGGGATAACAAAAAAATTTACACAAACGTCCTGACAGGGCTTTTTGAAGAATTGATGAATCGAAGCCTATCCCCAAACAGAACCACACTTTAGGCCCCCTTGGAATCATAGCTGCAAGTAGCGCGCCCAATATGCATGACCGCAAAGGACGTTAGAAAAAAAAGGTCTAAGAGGGGATGCCCACGCTCAGTATATTGCGTACGTACAATGTTATTTTAACACATCGTACTTAGAAGAATGTTTTGACGATCACGCGTACTTTCAAAAGCTAAGCGTTGCTTGGTCATATGTATGTCGCTTAATTATAACGATTATATCGATGAACAAACCTCGGAAATGTGAACAGGTTGAATAAGTGGCCAGATGTCTTCTTACCGCATCAGATCTTTTAACAGGTTCTTTCACAATTCAACTAAACAAGAAATCAAACAGAATTCATACAAAAAAATCCAGGAGCTTCCAGCACTTCCAGGACTGTCAAGAGCAATAGCTCAGTGAACTTCCTTGGCCGCCATCTTTGAAGTACCAGTACCCAGTCAACTGTAATATCAACTGGAACGATAACTCCGTACAAATTGCCAATTTGATGAAGCCCTGTCCCCCCCCTTGGATTGTACTGGAACGATCTGCATGCATGGCTGCCAAATTTTGGCTTCAATTTCTCCCCTGACTTATCATTCCAGTTGATATTATAGTTCACTGCCAGTACCTGAGTACTTGAGTACCAGTACCAGTGGCAATGACATTGCTGTCGGCGCAATCGCGATCGACTATCAGGAAAAAAATAGAAATGAACTGGCACTAGTACTCGGCTGCAAATTGGGCCATGTATGAGCCAATAAGGAGCTTGTTAATACTCAGCGGTGGAATATTGCGAATCTGAGCGGGGATTCTATATATTCTAATATATCATATATTCTAATCTATAGATTTCTATTTGCAAATTGTTCCGAAATTTCTCGTTGATGAGGGGAGGCATCCTCAGAAAGCTTTGCTTTGAAAACGGTTGCTGAATGTATGTGTATAAGGAATAATTATATATAATTGTAGATAAGGAACTATATATAACAATCATATTGTCCACCCACACAAAATTCGCCTTGATAACTATAATATTCAGTGAGAACACTTGAGCGAAGACAATCGAAAACATAAATAAGTGGTTATTTCTTCTGTTGTGCAAGAAAGCAAACGTTGATTGATTTGCTTACGTTGAAATAAAATAGATGGTGTGATGACGAAATGTACTAAACAAACCCAGTAATCCTCTGCGCAAACAACACTCGCGGACGTTCTACTACTAGTAAGTCTGAAGCATCTGAATGAAAATCTTACAATAAAGTAATCAAAAGACGAGAAGTTAAAGTTTTGCAGCGTGTTTGGGGTGTATTATGCAAAGCGGATTCGATCCGGCATAACCACATTCTTGGAATGCCGGTAATTATATGATAACAGTTCTACTGTTGGGGTTTGAAATAATATTTGTTCTATAGCGCTGTGCTATAGAGCAGTATCATTTTCCGTTGAAGCAGCAGCTTTGATGAAAGAGCCTTTTGCCCTATATTTTTCACATTGAATACAATATGCAGTTATTTCAGTAAACTGCATGGGCGTTAGAATGCATGGAGATCAGTTTTCACCAGTTTCACGTGAAGGATTCATGCCTTCATTGCTAGCGTATGCATGCGGGAAAATACCGCTGAACCTGTCAATTAAAACCGGTTTTAAAACAAGTACTAACCGGTATGCAGGTAAAAACGAAACTGCAAAGATTAAATACCCTACTTTTTGGGAAAACACATTAGTAAGAATCTGCTCACACTCGGAACGCTTCCAACGTCTAGTGGTCGACACCATATTCTTGTAATAAAACTGAACTGAAAATAAACTGAACTGCAAGAACTGAAGAGTTTCGGTGGTGATATAATTGTTAAAAGAACATCAAAGACGAAAAGCAGGTATTTAAATGTTACCATCTCATAAAGTAATATATATTTCTAACCATCGGAGAGGAAAACAGTTTATTTAGGTGCGAATCCAATTAATGAAATATAGCGTAAAAAACTTTCACCTATAGTTTTTCCATATTGGTTATTATTATTTATTCTTGAGAGCGTATATGTCTATGCAAGCCGTTTCAGGTCATTCATATATTAACATGTCATCTTACCTAAAGATTTTAGAGCACTGTATACGGAGGTAATTCGATTCTATATATTCTCGTTGGTATACTGAGAGATTGCGGAAAGTCGTGAATTTTAGAAATCCTTCAAATGCTATACATAATGCAAATATATACCATCGTCGCAACACAAAACAGTCTGAGTTTAACCAGCATTAAATTTTGTCGAGGAAAAGAGTTTACAGAGACTACATCAAGTTTTACGCTTCCCTCAAGAAAAAATCCAACCTACGAGAAGTCTCATATTTTCTTTTCGGGAAAGGTCCGGGCTATATTTTAATAAAATTATAGTGAAACTATAGGGCGTGCATAATAAGATAGGGCGGTGAGACAGCATACAACTTCGTGATAAAATATACATCAATGTGCATGAACTTTATGAGCTGATCATGCACTGCGCTAGCTGAACATTCGAACAATCATCATAACTATATTTCGATCAAAATTGAAGGTCTTTTCAAGCGTATTTGACGAGAGAGAACATAAGTTTGAAGCCAGGAATGTTTGTTTTCGTTTTCAACAATTCAAGTCAAAATTGAAATGATATTTCGCAATGCGGCGTTCAATCGGGGGCGGCGCTCTTCAGAAATTATTTTACTTTTAAGCACCGCATTTTAAACCAATTATCGCGCCGCTCTTCATAAAATTTTGAGCTTAAATGCGGTGCTTAATGCATGGGGGGTGACGTCCAGTCGCGTAAATACGGTATTGTCCTGAATCAACGAGACACAATGCACTTTAGACACTTAAAAAAGCTAATGCACTTTAACAATTAAAAATTTTCAAATTTAAAATATAATAAGCAAATAGAATGTTCATTATTGTGATGGTGCTATACTCTGCATTAACAACTGGGTAGGCTGAAAAATTAGCTTCACCACGCACGGTGGTAATCAAACCCACGACTTAGAGTGCACCATTATGCACAATATCGATTCACATATAAGTCTCGCACATATTCGCTATCATTATCAGTCCATTATTTTCATATTCACTATCATTATCGGTCCATTATTTTCATATTCACTATCATTATCGGTCCATTATTTTCATATTCACTATCATTATCGGTCCATTATTTTCATATCCACTATCATAATCAGTCCATTATTTTCATATCCACTATCATTATCGGTCTATTATTTTCATATCCACTATCATTATCGGTCCATTATTTTCATATCCACTATCATTATCGATCCATTATTTTCATATTCACTATCATTATCGGTCTATTATTTTCATATCCACTATCATTATCGGTCCATTATTTTCATATTCACTATCATTATCGGTCCATCCTTTTCATATCTACTATCATTATCGGTCCATTATATTCATATCCACTATCATTATCGGTCCATTATTTTCATATTCACTATCATTATAGGTCCATTATTTTCATATCCACTATCATTATAGGTCCATTATTTTCATATTCACTATCATTATCGGTCCATTATTTTCATATCCATTATCATTATCGGTCCATTATTTTCATATCCACTATCATTATCGGTCCATTATTTTCATATCCACTATCATTATAGGTCCATTATATTGTACACACCTCTCAATGTAGAAGAAATCTTACATTTTCTTATGAATTTGATTGCGTACATTATGCAACAAACATCCGAACATGCATAAAATTAATTTTAAATCATGCAAAAAACTTGTTCGGTTTTCAAAAAACGGTAGAAAATTCAGGTTAAAAATTCGCGTTGATCAACGCGTGCACCAAATTTCTTCACACATCGCATATCTTACTTTGGAGTACTTTCTCAAAGAGACTCAATATATACTTTTTGTGAAACACCGTGTATAAATAGCATTTTATGCTTTAAAAAACATCTCAATACCGAGGTCCACGGAATTTTGAGTGGCGCGATTGTACTTATATGTGTAATCGCAGTAAAAATAAAACGATTCTGATTGGTCAAGTTAATCACAACAGGCACGGATCAAAACCGTATTGAAAGTGGCCCGAGCCACGGTTTCCACGATTTTCCCATCTAGAATTTTACGATCTCATCCTTTTTATATATCAGTGTTTTGAATCACAGCAAAATTAAGGAGTAATATCTTTGGTAATCATTGTCATATTAACACCAATTCTTGCTAAAAGTTATAAAAAATTCACAATTATATTCCTCGTTTCATAGTATTATTGTCTAGTTAACACACTAAACGATAAAGTTTGCCGAAAGCTTGCCGAATTGTGCCGAGTATGTTCGGAAGCTTGTCGTAAATCGAAGCTGCGATCACAGCAACAAGTTGACACGGTCAATTAACGTGCAGAATATTACGCAATTCGTACTATAATTTACTAAATATAGTAACATTCGGACACTGTGCAATGTAGCAAACTAATCACAGGGCAAGTACTGGCCACGTCAGCCCACGGGGCGACACGGTGGTTTGAAAGAAAATCAAGCAAAAAATTTCGTTCGATCGAAATTCCAATAGAAAAACTGTATAACGACGATAAATTTTCCCAAAATCCCTCAGTAAAAAAAAATTTAGGTATCAAACATGAGTAAATATCCAAAATAATATATCACAGTTTATATACCGAAAGATTTTTCGGTTTTATGGTGTTCGGAGGTAAACTTTTAAGCTTTCTATGTATACATATGTCCTTAATTTTTGTTTACAAACAGAAAAGATGGCGGAGTCGCAAAGTGACATTGTGACTGAAGCTGGCGTAAACAATTTTGACAAAAATTTAAAGGAAATGGCTGAAAACATGAAGGTATTCTCCTCGGCAATGCGAGATCTTTACACAAAAAAAGCTGAAGCGGAAGATGATGAAAGTGACGTTGCTATGAGGTTCAGAGAGATTAGAGATTACACAAGAAAAGATGCGATAGTTTATGTAGAATGTGTTCTTCCCATAACAGAAAGATTAATACAGTCTATAAAAACATACTTCGAGTATTACCATCAAGAAGTTTCTTCGTTTGAAGAGTGGTGCAAAATGTTGCCAGATATTTTAAAGAGCACTGCAGACCTAAAACATCTTGCACATGTAGTATTAGATATGTATGACAATATGATAGTTCCCATAAAGACACGTGAAGACGAAGCGAAAATGATCAAGGCAGAGTTCGTAGACTTAAAAAGTAAGTATGAAAAGGAATGTAAAAAATACAAAACCAAGTCCCACAACAGAAAAATTTGCGCATACGCCGTCATGCCTATTCCTGTCGTAAATCTCATTGCGTATCCTCGGTTGAAAAAGTCTGCACGTGAAAACAAGGCATTAGCAGTTGCCTCAAAAAAGCACTTTGAAGATAACGAAAATGCAGCACAAATTGTGGATGAGATCCTCATGCCTTCACTTGGTAAATTCATTAAAAGTCTGGAAAATGTAGCAGGATTCATTGGGGTGGTTGAACAAGATTTGCAAAAGAAACCTTGTGAGAACGAGTTTCATTATAACGTGATGAAAAGTAAAGAGAAAAAAATGAGAGAAAGATGTGAAACATTCACCCAAGTATGGCCTTCTGTTCGCACCGACCTCAGGGCACTTCCCACTGAAGCTACTGACAATAGCTACGTCCATGAATGGTTTGAGAAAACACTTGCAGACCTACGAGAAAAGAACACTGAGGAGGCTTTTTCCACTTTCTACCGTGTTGCAGGGGAAAAAATCCCTAAATATATGCGAGCACTTAAACCAGCACAAGAAAGAACACATTCAGAATTGCCAACATCACCAGGTCATGATGGAGAAGAAAGAAAACAACCAGAAATGCCAACATCACCAGGTCATGATGAAGAAGAAAGAAAACAACCAGAAATGCCAACATCACCAGGTCATGATGGAAAAGAGAGAAAAGAACCAGAAATACTACCATCACAAGATCATGATGGACAAGAAAGAAAACAACCAGAAATGCCAACACAACCAGTTCATGATGGACAAGAAAGAAAACAACCAGAAATGCCAACACAACCAGTTCATGATGGACAAGAGAGAAAACAACCAGAAATACCAAAATCACAAAATAAATGAACAAGAAATGTACAAAAGTAAAACAACCCTTGATCGCTTAGTGCATCATGTATTCAGACTTAACAAATTCAATTTCGAAAACAATAAGTAGAATTGAACGGGACTTGTAGTTCGAGACCTTTTCAAGAATTCACTTGAACGATTATAACTTTATAGATACACAGATTTTCTGCCTATAGAACTCGTCATAAAATATTGATAATTAAATGTATTTTGTTTATAGCAGTAAAATTTATTCCAGCTTCCGTTTAGAACTGAGTTTGGGTAGATGGATCGTAACTAGCTCCAAAGAAACCATTCTGCATGATAGACGAATAATATCACATACCTCTTTTATATACACAACCAGTTGCAGGCTAAAAAGAACTGCTATATAATGGCTGGAAATTGTATTTATATATTTTGTCAACAAAGAATGTAAATTACGTTTTAGTATTTTTGCACAAGTGAATATAACAAATTCTGATTGGTCAAATTTGACGTATTTGGCGCTGTTATACTCACCTTCAGCTGAATATAAAAAAAATTCAAAATGGCGGCTAGCCGTTTCGTGGACATTTCTTACAAAGAGATAAGCGAACAAATGCAGTTCTTGTGTCAATTCACTTGTGCAAAAATACTAAATTCGTCTCGGTCAATATTCCACGATAACCACCTCGCTTTCGGCGAATAATTGTTAAATATTACGTTATATTATATATTATATTGCCATGCTGGTAAAACAATGCATAATTAGAATTAATACAAACGATAGAATAGAACTCTTAATATACCATGTATGCAATAATGTTTATGTCCATTTACTTAACCTAAAATTTGTGCAACGTTGAAATATATCTTGTAGAGACAATGTCTGAGAGTATTCTCCTTCTAGCACATAGTTTGTGGTCTTCGTTCAGATAATTTTGATGATCCACGTGCAATAGAAATTGGTAAAAAAAATATGCTACACCTGACTTTCGACTTACACTGTGGATTTCTAATCCGTCAGGGTTTTTTCTCGTATACAACGGATCGATAACTGTACATCATTTCAAATGAACTTTCTAAGTGCATTTATCTACTTTGAATATAAACATTATCAACTGTTGCTCTCGACAAACCAATCATAATCAAGTTCTACTTGTCTAGCGTGCAATTATCTTAATATCTTAATGAAGATTCTGTATTTAATAACCTTATATGCAAACGAGTAGTCAGTGACAAAACTGGCCAATCAGAATCACGTTTTAAGATTTTTTAGATTTACCTCCGCCGTCTGGCCCATTTACAGGGCAGTCTCGTGAAGTAAAAATTTCAAACTGTATTATACCAAACAACTAAAAGAGGAGGGGGTCCCAATCTCATTTCCAACTTCGAATTTATGAAAATCCCAGTCCCAGTTGAACTTTTATATACGAAATCCCAGTGTGAGTTGTAAAATTCGCAACCTTTAAAATATTATTTAGTTATATATAATTTAAATATTTTCCCAGCGTAAAAATAGTGCAACCCCAGTTCCAATTTTACCCGTTCAGGGCCCTCCTGAAAAGCATGCTCGCACAATTTGTAGTTCAAATTCCGTGTGCATAGATGTGGAAATTTATGTTACGCGCATTCCAATTATTTCGATTCAAAAGTTCATGAATTAAATTCTCCGGCATCTATTTCGCGAAAGGTTTTAACCTACGAATTGACTGTCAAAAATTATTTTATATTCAATTCCCAATGCATGATCTCTAAAGGTTTCGAAAACGCCCCAAACATGACACAACACAGATCCGTATAGCTAGCTACAGATACAAATATGTTTAACAAACGGTTGTATAACAGCTTTTTATATCCACTGATTTTTTGCTATATGGTATTAATTAATTCAGAGATGAAATTCCAGCTCTGTATGCATCCTTATATTAACAGAAAAGATGAGGAAGCCACAAAATGACAATGTAACCCAAGAAGAAATGAGAGAATTTAGTGAAAATTTGAAAGAGATGCCAAAAAACATATATGAATTTTCTCAGGCTATGCGAGCTCTTTACACAGACCAAGCTGTTGGTGGTATAAGTGATGCTGCTGTAAAGTTCAGAAAGATTCGCGATGACACAAGACAAAACGCAAAGGTGTATTTGAAATGCGTCCTTCCCGTAACGAAAGAGCTAATTAGCTCTATTAAAAATCTCTTCACGATCTACGAAGCTAAATCGTATCCTAAGGAATGGTGCGAATTCTTACCGCATATTTTAAGCGAAACGAAAAGCGGGAATGACCTCGCGCAGACAGTATTACGTGAACACCAGAAAGTCATAGTTCTCCTAAGGCAACGTGAAGGCGAGGTGAACGAAGTCATGAAAGAGTTGGCAGACTTATATAGTAGGGATAAAGAAGTATGTAAAGAATACGAAGACAAGTGTGAAGAACAAAAAGCAGCTAAAAAGAAAAGGAAATGGCCGAATGTACTCCAAAAAGATGCCTCCAAAAAGCAACACGAAATCAACAATAGGGCAGTAGAAACTGTAGCTACAACCCTTGTTCCGGCAATGACCAGTGTAATTGATAATCTGCAAGCCGTAGCGAGATTTTTTAAGGTCATTATAAAGGAAGTGGAATCGTTTGAAGAATGTACAAAAAGAAAGGATGATGATTCAAAAAAGTCTCATTATGAAGTCATGAAAGATTCAGCTGAAGAAATACAATCTCTATGTGATGCATTTATCGAAGTCCTTCCAGCTGTTCGCACCGCCTTCGAGGCACTTCCCGAAAAAGATACCGACAAAAACTACGTTGACAAATGGCTGGAGAAAATGGATTATTGTGGAGACGAAAATAGGGCACCTTTTAACAATTTACCCAGTATTGAAATGGAAGAAAATGTTCAGTATAAACTGGCAGAACAAGCAGCGACACCAAATGCTAAACAAGAAAAATCACAACCAGAAACACAACCACAACCAGAACGCGATATACAAGCAGAATTACAAGCACCACCAGAAAACGGTGAACAGGAAGAATCTCAAACACAAACACCATCAAATGAACCCCAAATAAATTGTTGTGAATGCAACGTCATGTAAACAAACTTTTGTTCCTGACGACAGGGAGCTTTTTTAACAATAAAACAAAGTGACCACTAAAAGAAACAGAAGGTAGTTATGTCAAGTACAGTAGTATCCTTTTTAACCAATCAACATGCAGTAATTTTATTATGCTAATAACAATAATAATAATATCAATAACCATACGTAAAAAAAATTCGCGAAATCAGCTAAATTAACAGCGCGTAACTACAATGTTGTTATTTTTACATGCGGTAAAAACGCAAAAGAATGGAATTTCGTGACCCAGCAACTCCGGAACCATGCATAATTAGCATAAATCGCGATTACCTCTATGGTCTTTATATACTGGACATTCAAGAAGTACAGTTTCGAACTGATGAAGCTAACAAGTGCAACTAAAGTTGGTTTAGTTATAGCTTTATTTTGTAGTAATAATATATATATATATATATATATATATATATATATATATATATATATATATATATATATATATATATATATACCGACTAGCCGACCACCGAACGCACTTTCTAATCTGTGATTATTTCTAGTTTACAAATATAGTTAAATTCGGACACGGTGCAGTGTAGCAAACTAATCACAGGGCAAGTACTGGCCACGTGAGCACACGTTCGATCGAAATTCCCGAAGAAAAAGAGTAAAACGACGATAAAATTTTCCCAAAATCCCTCAGTGAAAAAACTTTAGGTATCAAACATGAGTAATTATCCAAAATAATATATTGAAGTTTATATACCGAAAGATTTTTCGGTTGTATAGTGTTCGGAGGTAAAATTTTAAGCTTTCTATGTATACATATATCCTTAATTTTTGTTTACAAACAGAAAAGATGGCGGAGTCGCAAAGTGACATTGTGACTGAAGCAGGTGTAATTAAATGTTTCCATTTTACCCGTTCAGGACCCTCCTGAAAAGCATGCGCGCACAATTTGTACGTAATTCAAAATCCGTTGTGCATAGATGTGGAAATTTATGTTACGTGCATTCCAATTATTTCGATTCAAAAGTTCATGAATTAAATTCTCTGGCATCTATTTTGCGAAAGCTTGTAACCTACGAATTGACTGTCAAAAATTATTTTATATAATTCCCAAAGCATGATCTCTAAAGGTTTCGAAAACGCCCCAAACATGACACAACACAGATCCGTATAGCTAGCTACAGATACAAATATGTTTAACAAACGGTTGCATAACAGCTTTTCATATCCACCGATTTTTTGCTATATGGTGTTCAGAGATGAAATTCCAGCTCTGTACACGCAGGTCCAACTTAGCTAAGTTTCTCCCACTCGTGCAGGCTCATATTGTCAGCGGACAACTTACACAAAATTGAGAGCAAGGCGTAAAACGAAAAGCTTCTAATTTTTCATGCGAAGACCGCTGGAAAACTGAGCCCTCTTTACCGGGAGAAAATTTGCCGAATATGACCAACGTGGTATGCATCCTTATATTAACAGAAAAGATGACGAACCCACAAAATGACAATGTGACCCAAGAAGAAATGAGAAAATTTAGTGAAAATTTGAAAGAGATGCCAAAAAACATATATGAATTTTCTCAGGCTATGCGAGCTCTTTACACAGACCAAGCTGTTGGTGGTATAAGTGATGCTGCTGTAAAGTTCAGAAAGATTCGCGATGACACAAGACAAAACGCAAAGGTGTATTTGAAATGCATCCTTCCCGTAACGAAAGAGCTCATAAGCTCTATTAAAGATCTCTTCACGATCTACGAAGCTAAATCGTGTCCTGAGGAATGGTGCGAATTCTTACCGCATATTTTAAAGGAAACGAAAAGCGGGAATGACCTCGCACAGACGGTATTACGTGAACACCAGAAAGTCATAGTTCTCCTAAGGCAACGTGAAGGCGAGGTGAACGAAGTCATGAAAGAGTTGGTAGGGGAAAAGAAAAGAAAATGGCCGAATGCACCTTCGTTTTTACGTAAAAACAAGGCAGGTGAAATTGCCTCCAAAAAGCAACACGAAATCAACAATAGGGCAGTAGAAATTGTAGCTGAAACCCTTGTTCCGGCAATGTCCACTTTCATTAATAATCTGCAAGCCGTAGCGACATTTTTTACGGTCATTATAATGGAAGTGGAATCGTTTGAAGAATGTACAAAAAGAAAGGATGATGATTCAAAAAAGTCTCATTATGAAGTCATGAAAGATTCAGCTGAAGAAATACAATCTCTATGTGATGCATTTATTGAAGTCCTTCCAGCTGTTCGCACCGACTTCGAGGCACTTCCCGATAAAGATACCGACAAAAACTACGTCGACAAATGGCTAGAGAAAATGGATTATTGTGGGGACGAAAATAGGGCACCTTTTAACAATTTACCCAGTATTGGAATGGAAGGAAATGTTCAGTATAAACCGGCAGAACAAGCAGCGACATCAGATGCTAAACAAGAGAAATCACAACCAGAAACACAACCACAACCAGAACACGATATACAAGCAGAATTACAAGCACCACCAGAAAACGGTGAACAGGAAGAATCTCAAACACAAACACCATCAAATGAACCCCAAATAAAATGTTGTGAATGCAACGTCATGTAAACTTTTGTCCTTGACGACAGGGAGCTTTTTTAACAATAAAACAAAGTGACCACTAAAAGAAACAGAAGGTAGTTATGTCAAGTACAGTACTACCCTTTTTAACCAATCAGCATGCAGTAATTTTATTATGCTAATAACAATAATAATAATATCAATAACTATACGTAAAAAAATTTGCGAAATCAGCTAAATTAACAGCGCGTAACTACAATGTTGTTATTTTTACATGCCGTAAAAACGCAAAAGAATGGAATTTCATGACCCAGTAACTCCGGAACCATGCATAATTAGCATAAATCGCGATTACTTTTATTGTGTTTATATACTGGACATTCAAGAAGTACAGTTTCGAACTGATGGAGCCAACAAGTGTAACTAAAGTTGGTTTAGGTATAGCTTTATTCTGTAGTAACACTTGATTAGTAAGAGGAAGAACAGTTTAGAACCGATAGAGCTATCCAGTATAAATAAAGTTAGTTTAGTTTAGGTTTCCTCCTGTAGTAACACTGGATCAATAAGAGATGATCCTTACTGGACCTCTAAGAAGAACAGTTTAGAACTGATAGAGCTATCCAGTATAAATAAAGTTAGTTTAGTTTAGGTTTTCTCCTGTAGTAACACTGGATCAATAAGAGATGATCCTTACTGGACCTCTGGGAAGAACAGTTTAGAACTGATAGAGCTATCCAGTATAAATAAAGTTAGTTTAGTTTAGGTTTCCTCCTGTGGTAACACTGGATCAATAAGAGATGATCCTTACTGGACCTCTAGGAAGAACAGTTTAGAACTGATAGAGCTATCCAGTATAAATAAAGTTAGTTTAGTTTAGGTTTCCTCCTGTAGTAACACTGGATCAATAAGAGATGATCCTTACTGGACCTCTAAGAAGAACAGTTTAGAACTGATAGAGCTATCCAGTATAAATAAAGTTAGTTTAGTTTAGGTTTCCTCCTGTAGTAACACTGGATCAATAAGAGATGATCCTTACTGGACCTCTAAGAAGAACAGTTTAGAACTGATAAAACTGTCCAGTATAAATATAGATTTAGTTTAGTTTAGGTTTCCTCCTGTAGTAACACTGGATCAATAAGAGATGATCCTTACTGGACCTCTAAGAAGAACAGTTTAGAACTGATAGAGCTATCCAGTATAAATAAAGTTAGTTTAGTTTAGGTTTCCTCCTGTAGTAACACTGGATCAATAAGAGATGATCCTTACTGGACCTCTAAGAAGAACAGTTTAGAACTGATAGAGCTATCCAGTATAAATAAAGTTAGTTTAGTTTAGGTTCCCTCCTGTAGTAACACTGGATCAATAAGAGATGATCCTTACTGGACCTCTACGAAGAACAGTTTAGAACTGATAGAGCTATCCAGTATAATTACTCGGGCTCGGTTTTTCGTTTTGCGTCGCGAGTTTACGAAAATCACGTGTGGGTGGCACGAAGTCTTCGAACGAATCGAAATCGTCCTAGGGTCGTTTCTCGCGCGGGTGTCACGAACATGCCATGTTACTACGAAATAGCTGTAGCCCGAGTGAACGCCAAAGCAGGCGTCTTGTTAAAGTTAAAGTTGTTCTTCTTGAATTTAATTCAGAACTGGCACGTAGAACTATAAATATTGTCTAAATGTCTATAAAAATTACATCACAAACCTCGAAGATGTCAACAGGTCCAATGAATGGGCAGCTATCTTGTGTGTTTTTCAAAAAGTTATCGAACATTATAACTAGACATGAATAAATCGGGTATAACTATGTGTAAGTGTAACCACAAAATTTTTATTAAGTACGACCACGCGTACTTTCGAGAGCTAAGCGTTGCTTAGTCATATGTATGCCGCTTAATTATAACGATTATATCGATCCACAAACCTCGGAAGTGTCAACAGGTTCAATAAATGGCCAGATGTCTTCTTACCGCATCAGATCTTTTAACAGGTTCTTTCACAATTCAACTAAACAAGAAATCAAACAGGTTCTCAGAATTCATATAAAAAAATCCAGGAGCTTCCAGCACTTCCAGGATTGTCAAGAGCAATAGTTGCTCAGTGAACGTCTTTGGCGGCTATCTTTGAAGTACCAGTACCCAGAGAACTGTAATATCAACTGGAACGTTAACTCTGTACAAATTGTCTACGATTGGATGAAGCCACGTCCCCCCCCCTTGGATGTACTGGAGCGACCTGCATGGCTGACTTATCCGTCGTTTAAAGCTAAACGGGCTTGATACAACCGACCCAGGTATTTCAATAATGTAATCTAATTATTATTCTATGGTGGTCTCTGAGATTTGATCAAATCAGAACTGACAGGAGTGTTACTTATAACTTTTGTAATACTGCACTCTAATTGTATGTTATTCACGCTCCGTTTAAAAGGTGTACCTGATCAGCGATCTTCGTTTGCCGTTATGGAATAATTTTTTAATATTAAGATAATTCGGGGATAAACCGTGAAATTCACAAATTGTACTTCTAGGAAGGGCGAGGAATGAAAGTTACTCTAAACGAATGCAGACGTAAATTTGAATTTATTTAGCTGTGCGCGTGCATGTATGAGCCAATAAGGAGCTTTTTAATACTTAGCGGTGGAATATTGCGAATCTGAGCAAGACATGTGTCAATTATTGTTTACAAAAGTGGTTTATTACTCCGGCTACCGTAGGTACGCCGGAGTCTTAAAACACCAGCGGCCGGAAGTTTTGGATGTCACAAATGCGACCTACGTTCATGGAGTTAACCGCTTTTTTCTTCGAACGGTTCACGGGCTCACGTCAAAATGGCCGTGGATTATAAACATTGAAAGGATTTAAATTTTGGTTTTTCCATCAAATACTGCGACTGTTTTCCTTGGCATTAGCACTCGTAGTGCGTCGGGTTTTACTCGTAGGATTTTGGCACAATCAGTCGTTAGATCATTGGTGAATATTATAGCTTCGCAGGTTGTATGCATCATATACAGTAACTTCGATTTTAATATACTGTATACAGGCTGTGCCTGTTTATTAACTTGATATTTTGTGGAAGATAAACGAACTGGAGAAGCTTTAACAATGTGTGGAAATTTTACATTCGAACTCTAAGCTATTAAAACTCTACAGATGTCACGTATCATTGTTGTCCCCGTTTTATAGCTCATCTATTAAAATAATATTGGTAGCAACAGCTAAATTTTGCCCTCAAGAAAGAACAATATTGCTCTCAGGCATCACAAACCCCTGCCCGGTCTCGTTATTTTGACGGACGCATGTATACGGTACGCCACCTGTGCCGTAGCCGGAGTGTACGCCTGCCCAGGCGTCTTGTTATATTTACAAAAAGGGTCGCTTTATTATATGGCACGCGGTCTTGTGACTAAATGGCGTGCGCTGATTGGTTCTTTGCCGGTCTGGAATCCCCCAGTGACTAGACCGTTCACCGTTGCCATAGTAACGGTCCGACTCTCATATTTCTGAACAAAAACAAGCTTGCGCTTTTATTTTTGACACGAAAAATATCGACGGAGATTGGACGAAGAAGAGCATTATTTGGTACATGTGAATATTATATTTATTCATCTTTGACTTTTGTTTATATTACTGTATCATTCTATTTAACGAGTAAAAACAAAGTTTTGGAAGCCACTTCAGTGCTTGCTTGGCGACTGGCTGGCGAAAGAGAAATAAACTAAATACTGTATGCCATATAATAAATCCCTTATTAACCGAATACGTTCGGTCCGTACTGGAAAAATATCAGACGGACCTCGCTATCGCTCGGTCCGTACTGTCAAGACCTCGGTCTGATATTTTTCTAGTACGGACCTCAAATTCGGTTAATAAGTGGTATGTATTTGCTTATTGAGATCTGGTTTGACCCTATTTTGTAAATATAAAAACCCACTTTTGTAAATAATAAATAATAATTGACACATGCATTTGTTATTAGAATCTAATATTGTATGTCACTTTATTTTATGACACATCCTGCTGTAAATATTCTTAGCTCACTTCGCACTGAAGATGACTTAGTGTAAGCCGAAACATGTTTGCAATTTAAAAATTTAGTCGTTTACCTCAAATGTTTAACTTGTCTTGTGCTATTACGAAATTATAGAACTGCTATCATATAATTACCGGCATTCCAAGAATGTGTGGTTATGTTGGATCGAACCCGCTTTGCATAATACACCCAAAACACGCTGCAAATTTTTAACTTCTCGTCTTTTGATTACTTTATGGTAAGATTTTCATTCAGATGCTTCAGACTTACTAGTAGTAGAACGTCCGCGAGTGTTGTTTGCGCAGAGGATTACTGGGTTTGAAATAATATTTGTTCTATATAGCGCTGTGCTATAGAGCAGTATTATTTTCCGCTGAAGCAGCACAGCTTTCATGAACAAGAGCCTTTTGCCCTATATTTTTCACATTGAATACAACATGCAGTTATTTCAGTAAACTGCATGGGCGTTAGAATGCATGGAGATCAGTTTTCACCAGTTTCACGTGAAGGATTCATGCCTTCATTGCTAGCATATGCATGCGGGAAAATACTGCTGAGCTGTCAATTAAAACCGGTTTTAAAACAAGTACCAACCGGTATACAGGTAAAAACGAAAATTACGAAACTGCAAATATTAAATACCCTACTTTTTGGGGAAACACATTAGTTAGAATCTGCTCACACACGTTCCAACGTCTGGTGATCGACACAATATTTTTGTTATAAAAATAAACTACATCCAAGAATAAAGAATTGAAAAGTTTCGGTGGTGATACTTTGGAAGTCAATTTTTAAAGGACATCAAAGACGAAAAGCAGGTATTTAAATGTTACCATCTCATACAGTAATATATTTTAACCGCCGGAGAGGAAAACGGTTTATTTAGGTGCGAGACATGAATATGAAAATAGCCGGGTATCTGACGTACAAAATGTGGAAATAACTGCGCTCCTTTTCATGCAATAGATTTTTCTCTGCGAGACATCCTTGATCAATGCATCAGGCATTATTTGATGATATTTTGAGTTTATTTGACCCAAGAACGAAGTCCAGAAAATTCGCTGAAGCTGCATGGCTAAAATATAAATTTATGCAGCGTCATATTGCGGTTTGTGATCAGCGAAATATTTTTCGTTATTTCTCTCAAAATGCGAACTATATATCTTCCATTCTGAATGTCATTCTTCATATGGATATAATTAATTGTATTATTGAACTTTTACTTCGAAAGCGCTCGCCGTTTACTTAGGAAAATTCGCAAATCGCAGTCAATGAGAAACGGCTTTTGACATTTGACTCGAACAACAACATCACACTTGCGAAATAAAATCCCTCGCACCGGCCACTCGTGCGCTTAGAGGAGCTCTCATCGAAAGTCTTTTCCCCACAGTTATCATAAATTGTCCTGATATATTTTATATGTTCAAACAACTTTCTGCTTTGGCTAGAAAATTCGCAAAACACAACCAGCGCTTTTGGCAATTATACGGGTGGGGGTTGAAAATCACTAACAGTGCGATTTGTCCGATTGTGAGCACAATTTTAATTTGTTTCTGAATTTTTTTCCAGGAGTTGACAATAAATTGTGCACAAGTATATAAATATTTTTATAGAAGTCATTTGTTTCCAAAAAAAGTATAATGAGGTCGTTTAATACGTAAACTGATTGCGCACAACCCCCCGGATAAATCTGTCACAAACGCAAATTTCGCGCTGTTTCATATTAATTTTCATATTCGCGCTAAAATCACGTTGCTCGCGGTAAAATGTTTATTTACTCAGTTTTGTTTCATGCAATAAGCTCGTCCATCAATGGCATTCTTGTTGAGTATATATGACGCATTCGAAAAATGTATTTTTAGGTTATTTCGCCAAAACATGAAGTCCGGAAAATTCGCAGAAGCTGCATGACTAAAATGTTACTTTATGCACCGTCATGTTTGCGGTTTGTGATCAGCGAAATACTTTTCGCTATTTCTTTTAAACTAGGAACGATATATCTTCCATATTGAATGTCATTCTTTATATGGATATGATTAATTGTATTATCGAACTTTTACTTCGAAAGCGCTCGCCGTTTACTCAGAAAAATTCGCAAATCGCAGTCAATGAGAAACGGCTTTTGACATTTGACTCGAACAACAACATCACACTTGCGAAATAAAATCCCTCGCACCGGCCACTCGTGCGCTTAGAGGAGCTCTCATCGAAAGTCTTTTCCCCACAGTTATCATAAATTGTCCTGATATATTTTATATATTCAAACAACTTTCTGCTTTGGCTACAAAGAAAGAATAATGAGGTCATTTAATACATAAACTGATTGCGCACAACCTCCCCGAATAAATCTGTCACAAAGCAAATTTTGCGCTGTTTCATATTCATTTTCATATTCGCTCTATAATTACGTTGCTCGCAGTAAAATGTAGAATTATTCAGTTTCTTTTCATGCAAAAAGCTCATCCATGCAAGTCATTCTTGTTGAATATATGGCGCATTCGAAAAATGTAATTTGCAGTTATTTGACCGAAACACTGAGTTTACTCCATCGCATTTTCAATCTCTGCTCGAGCTATGAAAGCTTTCACGTCCAACTCGAAATTGTTAGAAAGTTATTCCAAGTCAACGGGTTTCCTTCGCATTTATTCGACCGTCTGGTCCGAAAATTTCTCGATAATACGTTCGTTCCAAAACCACCTATCCTAACAGCGCCTGAGAAAATCATCTATTTTTGTCTCCCTTTTACTGGGTTACACTCTATTCAGATTCGCACCCAAATCAACCGTCTTTGTAGCGCCGCTTTTCCGCATTTGGATGTTAGATTTGTTTTTCGTTCAACTAGAAGGCTTTCTTCACTCTCTCCTTTCAAAGATAAAGTCCCTAGGTACCTGAGATCTGGTGTAGTTTATCTATTTAAGTGTCGATGCTGTTCCGCGTCGTACGTGGGTCAAACCACGCGTCATCTACATACCAGAATATCAGAGCACTTGGGAATATCATCTATCGCTGGTAAACAGACCTCAAGCCCTGTTATGACTGTTATGTCCAGTATTCATTCGCACTTAAAGGCTTGCGGACACTCGGCAAGCTTTGACGAATTTAGAATCCTCTCTTCCTCATCTGACTCTTATGAGCCAATGATACATGAGAGTCTCCTCATCACCAAACTTAAGCCTTCTCTTAATGTTCAAGGCAACTCTATCCCTCTCAATTTATTTTAGTTCTTACTTCGTATTGTCATCGTGTCGTGAGAGAATGTACTGTTTGCCCTTGTTATCAACCTTTGTAAATTGATACCTTGTAAATATATTACTGGTCTACATATTCAAATTATCATGTAATTTATCATTTAGTCTGAAGATGTCTTAAGTTAAGACGAAACGTTACTACCTGACCAAATATATTTTTATTATTCTCAAATAGTTTAATTGTCTTTTATGGCTTTACCTGGGCACTATGTTGGGCTTTAATATTTATATTTCGAATACGCTTCCAGCCCGGCACGTCTCTGTCAACAGTATTGAATAATGTAAGTTCATGCAGCGATTGGTGATCAGCTAAAATACTTTTTATCCGGGGGGTTGTGCGCAATCAGTTACGTAATAAACGACCTCATTATTCTTTCTTTGGAGACAAATATGACTTCTATAAAAATATTTATATACTTGTGCACAATTTATTGTCAACTCCTGGAAAAAAATTCAGAAACAAATTAAAATTGTGCTCACAATCTGACAAATCGCACTGTTGGTGATTTTCAACGCCCACCCGTATAATTGCCAAAAGCGCTGGTTGTGTTTTGCGAATTTTCTAGCCAAAACAGAAAGTTGTTTGAACATATAAAATATATCAGGACAATTTATGATAACTGTCGAGAAAAGACCTTCGATGAGAGCTCCTCTAAGCGCACGAGTGGCCGGTGCGAGGGATTATATTTCGCAAGTGTCATGTTGTTGTTCGAGTCAAATGTCAAAAGCCGTTTCTCATTGACTGCGATTTGCGAATTTTCCTAAGTAAACGGCGAGCGCTTTCGAAGTAAAAGTTCAATAATACAATTAATTATATCCATATGAAGAATGACATTCAGAATGGAAGGTATATAGTTCGTATTTTAAGAGAAATAGCATTTTATGCTTTAAAAAACATCGCAATACCGAGGTCCACGGAATTTTGAGGGGCGCGATTGTACAGAAAATACCATCTTATTATGTGTAATCGCAGTAAAAATAAAACGATTCTGATTGGTCAAGTTAATCACAACAGGCACGGATCCAGACCGTATCGAAAGTGGCCCGAGCCACGGTCAGATTTTCCCATCTAGAATTTTACGGCCTCATCCTTTATGGATACTAAATAACGCATTATTTAGAAGTATATATCATTGCTTTGAATCACAGCAAAATTAAGGAGTAATATCTTTCGTAATCGTTGTCATATTAACACAATTAATTCCCATTCCAATTCACAATTATATTCCTCGTTTCATAGTATTATTGTTTAGTTAACACACTGAACTATAAAGTTTCCCGAAAGCTTGCCGAATTGTGTCGAGTATGTTTGGAAGCTTGTCGTAAATTCGAAGCTGCGATCACAGCAACAAGTTGACACGGCAATTAACGTGCAGAATATTGCGCAATTAGCCTTTCTCACGATGACGAATATCCGCCATTTTTGGGGTACTTTCAATTTTCTTAAACGCGTTTAAACAATAATAGCAATGTAAGAAGAATTTTTTAAGAGTCCATAGACCATTTAAACAATAAATTAAGCCTAAAATTAAAGACAGCCTCCCTGACAAGGTCTTGCGCTCACAAATTTAAAAAAAAGTACCCCCAAAATGGCGCCACATTCGTCATCGTGAGAAAGGTTAATTGTTACTATAATTTACTAAATATAGTAACATTCGGACACGGTGCAGTGTAGCAAACTAATCACAGGGCAAGTACTGGCCACGTGAGCCCACGGTGCGACACGGTGATTTGAAAGAAAATCAAGCAAAAAATTTCGTTCGATCGAAATTCCCATAGAAAAACTGTAAAGCGACGATAACATTTTCCCAAAATCCCTCAGTCAAAAAAAACTTTAGATAGACGATAAAAGTACCCAAAATAATATTTCACAGTTTATATACCGAAAGATTTTTCGGTTATATGGTGTTCGGAAGAAAAATTTTAAGCTTTCTATGTATACATATATCCTTAATTTTTGTTTACTAACAGAAAAGATGGCGGAGTCGCAAAGTGAGATTGTAACTGAAGCAGGGGTAAACAATTTTGACAAAAATTTAGAGGAAATGGCACAAAACATGAAGGTATTCTCCTCGGCTATGCGAGATTTTTACACAAAAAAAATTGAAGCTGAAGATGATGAAACTCATAAAAGTCACGTTGCTAAGAGGTTCAGAGAGATTAGAGATTACACAAGAAAAGATGCGATAGTTTATGTCGAATGTGTCCTTCCCATAACAGAAAGATTAATACAGTCTATAAACACATATTTCGAGTATTACCATCACGAAGTTTCTTCGTTTGAAGAGTGGTGCAAAATGTTGCCAGATATTTTAAAGAGAACTGCAGCCCTAAAACATCTCGCACATGCAGTAGTAGATATGTACGAGGATATGATAGTTCCCATAAAGACACGTGAAGACGAAGCGAAAATGATCAAGGCAGAGTTCGTAGACTTAAAAAGTAAGCATGAAAAAGAATTCAAAAAATACAAAACCAAGTCCAACAACAGAAAAATTTGCGCATACGCCGTCATGCCTATTCTTGGCGTAAATCTCATTGCGTATCCTTTGTTGAAGTCAGCACGTGAAAACAAGAAATTAGCAGTTGACTCAGAAAAGAACCTTGAAGTTGACGAAAATGCAGCACAAATCGTGGATAAAATCCTCATGCCCTCACTTGGTAAATTCATTAAAAGTCTGGAAAATGTTGCAGGATTCATTACAATGGTTGAACAAGATTTGCACAGGGAGCCTCGTGCGAATGAGTTTCATTATAACCTGATGAAAAGTAGAGAAATAAAAATGAGAGAAAGATGTGAAACATTCTCCCAAGTATGGCCTTCTGTTCGCACCGACCTCAGGGCGCTTCCCACTGAAGCTACTGACAATAGCTACGTCCATGAATGGTTTGAGAAAACACTTGCAGACCTTCGAGAAAAGAACACTGAAGAGGCTTTTTCCACTTTCTACCGTGTTGCAGAGGAAAAAATCCCTAGATATATGCGAGCACTTAGACCAACACAAGAAAGAACACATTCAGAATTGCCAACATCACCTGGTCTTTATGGAGAAGAGAGAAAACAACCAGAAATACCAACACAACCAGTTCATGATGGACAAGAGAGTAAACAACCAGAATTGCCAGCATCACCTGGTCATGATGGAAAAGAGAGAAAACAACCAGAATTGCCAACATCACCTGGTCATGATGGAAAAGAGAGAAAACAACCAGAATTGCCAACATCACCAAGTCATGATGGACAAGAAAGAAAACAACCAGAATTGCCAACATCACCATATCATGATGGACGAAAGAAAAAACAACCAGAAATACCAACATCACCACATCATGATGGACAAGAAAGAAAACAACCAAAAATACCAGCACCAGTGGAGCATTTAGAAATAAAACAATCAAACCCCGCACCACGAAAACACAATATAAACGAAAGAAAACAACAAGAAATGCCAACACAACCAGTTCATGATGGACAAGAGAGAAAGCAACCAGAAATACAAACAACACAAAATAAATGAACAAGAAATGTACAAAAGTAAAACAACCCTTGATCACCTAGAACATCATGTATTCAGACTTAACAAATTCAATTTCGAAAAAAGCAGAATTGAACGGGACTTGTAGTTCGAGACCTTTTCAAGAATTCACTTGAACGATTATAACTTTATAGATACACAGATTTTCTACTTATATAACTCGTAATAAAATATTGATAATTAAATGTATTTTGTTTATAGCAGTAAAATTTATTCCAGCTTCAGTTTAGAACTGAGTTTGGGTTGATCAATCGTAACTAATTCCAAAGAAACCATTGTGCATGATAGACGAATAATGTGGCATACCTCTTTTATATACACAACCAGTTGCCGGCTAAAAGAACTGCTATATAATGGCTGGAAATTGTATTTATATATTTTGTCAACAAAGTATGTAAATTACGTTTTAGTATTTTTGCACAAGTGAATATAACAAATTCTGATTGGTCAAATTTGACGTACTATGCTGTTATATTCACCTTCAGGTGAATATAAAAAATTTCAAAATGGCGGCTAGCCGTTTTGTGGACGTTTCTTACAAAGAGATAAGCGAACAAATGCAGTTCTTCTGTGAATTCACTTGTGCAAAATTACTAAATTCGTCTCGGTCAATATTCCACGATAACCACCTCGCTTTCGGCGAATAATTGTTAAATATTACGTTATATTATATATTATATTGCCATGCTGGCGAAACAATGCATTATTAGAATAAATACAAATGATAGAATAGAACTCTTAACATACCATGTATGCAATAATGTTTATGTCCATTTACTTAACTTAAAATTTGTGCAACGTTGAAATATATATCTTGTGGAAACAATGTCTGAGAGTATTCTCCTTCGTGCACATAGTTTGTGGTTTTCATTCAGATAATTTTGATGATCCACGTGCAATAGAAATTGGGGGGAAAAATACTACTCCTGACTTTTGACACTGTGGATTTCTAATCCCTCAGGGTTTTTCCCGTTATCCAACAGATATATCACTGTATATCATTTCAAATGAACTTTCTAAGTGCATTTGTCTACTTTGAATATAACATTATCAGCTGTTGCTCTCGAAATGCAAACGAATCATAATCAAGTTCTACTTGTCTAGCGTGCAATTACCTTAATATCTTAATGAAGATTCTGTATTTAATAACCTTATATGCAAACGAGTAGTCAGTGACAAAACTGGCCAATCAGAATCACGTTTTAAGATTTTTAAGATTGACCTACGCCATCTGGCCTATTTATAGGGCAGTCTCATGAAGTAAAAATTTCAAACTGTATTATACACGCGTAAAAACGCTCAGGTTGATGCAAGTTGATATGAACAGGATGGAGCAATGTTGTGCTGCCCACATTGTTCAGGGTTGTTATCAATATTGAACAATATTGTTACACCCGATTAAGTTTCAACAATATTGTTCAATATTGATAACAACTCTGAACAATGTGGGCAGCACAACATTGCTCCATCCTGTTTATATCAACTTGCATCAACCTGAGCGTTTTTAGGCGTGTACCAAACAACTAAAAGAGGAGGAGGTCCCAATCCCATTTGCCACTTCGAATTTTCGAAAATCCCAGTCAAATTCCAATCCCAATATATATAATTTAAATATTTTCCCAGCGTAAAAATAGTGCAATCTCAGTTCCCATTTTACCCGTTCGGGACACTCTTGAAAAGCATGCGCGCACAATTTGAACGTAATTCAAAATCCGTGTGCATAGATGTGGAAATTTATGTCACGCGCATTCCAATTATTTCGATTCAAAAGTTCATGAATTAAATTCTGCGGCATCTATTTCGCGAAAGGTTTTAACCTACGAATTGACTGTCAAAAATTATTTTATATTCAATTCCCAATGCATGATCTCTAAAGGTTTCGAAAACGCCCCAAACATGACACAACACAGATCCGTATAGCTAGCTACAGATACAAATATGTTTAACAAACGGTTGCATAACAGCTTTTCATATCCACTGATTTTTTGTTATATGGTGTTCAGAGATGAAATTCCAGCTCTGTATGCTTCCTTATATTAACAGAAAAGATGAGGAAGCAAAATGACAATGTGACCCAAGAACACATGAGAGAATTTAGTGAAAATTTGAAACAGATGCCAAAAAACATATATGGATTTTCTCAGGCTATGCGAGCTCTTTACGCAGACCAAGCTGTTGGTGGTAAAAGTGATGCTGCTGTAAAGTTCAGAAAGTTTCGGGACGACACAAGACAAGACGCAATGGTGTATTTGAAATGCATCCTTCCCGTAACGAATGAGCTCATAAGCTTTATTAAAGATCTCTTTACGATCTACGAAGTTAAATCGCGTTGTGAGGAATGGTGCGAATTCTTACCGCATATTTTAAACGAAACGAAAAGCGGGAATAACCTCGCGCAGACAGTATTAGGTGAACACGAGAAAGTCATAGCTCTCTTAAGGCAACGTGAAGGGGAGGTGAGAGAAGTCATGGGAGAGTTGGCAGACTTATATAGTAGGGATGAAGAGGTATGTAAAGAATATGAAGACAAGTGTGAAGAACAAAAAGCAGCTAAAAAGAATAGAGAATGGCCGAATGCACTCCAAAAAGATGCCTCCAAAAAGCAACACAAAATCAACAATAGGGCAGTAGAAACTGTAGCTAAAACCCTTGTTCCGGCAATGTCCAGTTTCCTTTATAATCTGCAAGCCGTAGCGAGATTTTTTAAGGTCATTATAAAGGAAATGGAATCGTTTGAAGAATGTACAAAAAGAAAGGATGATGATTCAAAAACGTCTCATTATGAAGTCATGAAAAATTCAGCTGAGGAAATACAATCTCTATGTGATGCATTTATCGAAGTCCTTCCAGCTGTTCGCACCGACTTCAAGGCACTTCCCGATAAAGATACCGACAAAAACTACGTTGACAAATGGCTAGAGAAAATGGATTATTGTGGAGACGAAAATAGGGCACCTTTTAACAATTTACCCAGTATTGGAATGGAAGGAAATGTTCGGTATAAACTGGCAGAACAAGCAGCGACATCAGATGCTAAACAAGAAAAATCACAACCAGAAACACCACCACAACCAGAACACGATATAGAATTACAAGTACCACCAGAAAACGGTGAACAGGGACAATTTGAATCACAAACACCATCAAATGAACCACAAATAAAATGTTGTGAATGCAACATCATGTAAATAAACTTTTGTCCCCGACGACAGGGAAAAAGATAAAGTAATTAAGGAGCTTTTTAACAATAAAACATAGTGACCACTAAAAGAAACAGAAGGTAGTTATGTCAAGTACAGTACTACCCTTTTTAACCAATCAACATGCAATAATTTTATCATGCTAAATCACCTAAATCAGCTAAATTAACAGCGCGTAACTACAATGTTGTTATTTTTACATGCCGTAAAAAAGGAAAAAATGGAATTTCATGACCCAGCAACTCCGGAACCATGCATAATTAGCATAAATCGCGATTACTTTTATAGTTTTTATATACTGGACCTCCAAGAAGTACAGTTTCGAACTGATAGAGCTAACAAGTGTAACTAAAGTTGGTTTAGGTATAGCTTAATTCTGTAGTAACACTAGATTAGTAAGAGGAAGAACAATTTAGAACTTATAGAGCTATCCAGTATAAATAAAGTTAGTTTAGTTTAGGTTTCCTCCTGTAGCAACACTGGATCAATAAGAGATGATTCTTACTGGACCTCTAGGAAGAACAGTTTAGAACTAATAGAACTATCCAGTATAAATAAAGTTAGTTTAGTTTAGGTTTCCTCCTGTAGTAACACTGGATCAATAAGAGATAATCCTTACTGGACCTCTGGGAAGAACAGTTTAGAACTGATAGAGCTGTCCAGTATAAATAAAGTTAGTTTAGTTTAGGTTTCCTCCTGTAGTAACACTGGATCAATAAGAGATGATCCTTACTGGACCTCTATAGGAAGAACAAATTAGAACTGATAGAGCTGTCCAGTATAAATACTCGGGTTCGGTTTTTCGTTTTGCGTCGCGAGTTTACGAAAATCACGTGTGGGTAGCACGAAGTCTTCGAACGAATCGAAATCGTCCTAGGATCGTTTCTCGCGCGGGTGTCACGAACATGCCATGTTACTACGAAATAGCTGTAGCCCGAGTGAACGCCTGAGCAGGTGTCTTGTTAAAGTTAAAGTTGTTCTTCTTGAACTTAATTCAGAACTGGCACGTAGAAGTATAAATATTGTCTAAATGTCTATAAAAATTACATCACAAACCTCGAAGATGTCAGCACGTCCAATGAATGGGCAGCTATCTTGTGAGTTTTTCAAAAAGTTATCGAACATTTTAACTAGACATGAAGAAATCGGGTATAACTATGTGTAAGTGTAACCGCAAAATTTTTACAAACAAGCATGCAGTATTATGTCCACAGCATATATATATATATTAATATATATATATATATATATATATATATATATATATATATAGTGAGATCATTCAAATACGATTGTCATTCTAAAACGTTATGGTTCCAGGTAGGTTGTCCTGCTATAATCTCTGAAAGCGCTTTTAGCTAGAGTTGCCTCTACTATAGCCATAGGCCTCAAAACTCAGAACTTTGCCATCTTCCCTTTTCTAAATATCGTTCTGTATGATGAAAAAGAAACCAGCAAGGAGAATATATATTTCTCCCAGTCAAAATTATGCTTGGTGTTTGGGGGGGGGCTATAACTGTCGATATCTACGTGTTACTAAATCACATTACATATATTAAAGACGTTCTTTCGCGGTGACGAGTGACGAAGGAAATTCACCCAAATGATGTAACAGTTATTCCAGTGATCCTGATAATAAATCGCCGATTGTCGGTGGCCTAATCAGGCTTAATGTGTTGGCTTTGTGCTCGGTAGCAAATATATGCAATTTCGTATCATTTCTTCACTCATGCATGTGAGGCATGATTTTTAATATAGGCAGCTGAACTATGGTGGTTATTTAAAGCCAATAGCAATATTTACTCGAAGTATTTCATCCGCAATTTGTAATTCTAGTCTCTTAGATTTATAGAAGATTTAGAATCGTTTTAAATGAAAAAGATTTAAATAGTTTTTTGAGGTTATCGTTGGTTCTCGATATATTTAACTCGAGAGTTTTATACCATGCAGTACAGCTCTTACTTGTGTTCATACTTACCAAATTTATACTGATCGCTGTTGGAAAATACGAGTTTGACATCACGAAGGCAATCCTGGTAAGTCTTATGGTATTAGCTTTCTTTTAATCGCTCTGAAATCCATTGACTTTAATGATCTCGGTATAATCTGGACCTGAATAACGTGAGATCACGGATCAACTAATTTGGATAAACACAATCCCTGGATTCCAGGAGGAACACTTTGAAACTGACTGAGCAATCAAGTGAAACTAAGGTTAGTACGTATAATAGGTTAGTTTGCTGATAATGACATATAAACTTAACATCAGGGATGCTTGTTCAAGATCAATATAGATTCAACGGATTAATTGCTCTTTATAGGCAAAAACGTGTCCTGTTAGTTCTGTTTTGAAGTTTTTGACGTGAAGTAGAGGTACGTACAATAATATTGAGATGTTATATATAGCGAGTTTTGGATTAAATGTGCATAATCCATGCAAAACGAAAAAGAATTTATTCAACTTGCTGCATAATGTAGAGAAAGAGTATAAAGTATTTTTCTCTACCATTGAATGGCTCTATTTGAACAAGCTCTCAACGCCGAACTCTACTCAACACTGCCGACCGCTCTACATAACGAATATCCCCCATAAGGCCATATATACATGCAGCTAGGTTGAGTAAAAATACGCTTATTCATATTCAAATTTGCGACGAACTTATGACCGCATGGCCTAATTTGACAACCGCTTTGAGTTCGCACAGGACGATTGAACAGATGGAAAGCAAAATTTAAAATTTCAAACAAGACGTATAAAAAATGTAAAATTTATTTGCAAACATTTCCTTGTATTGTTCTCGACATCTTCAGAACAATTACTTTGTATGTTCCATTGAAAAATATTTCGATAAGTACGAATCCTTGTCTTTTGAAGAATGGGGTGAAACGCTGCCGGAAATCCTGGAAGAAACGAGAGTCCATAAAAAGCTTGTATGAAATGTTGGACTGAAAGTACGAAAAGCTGATGGTTCCCCTCAAGAAACGCGAGGATGAGGCTCGAATGATCATGAAAGAGTTCAAAAACCTACAAAAAGATTATGATCGTCAGAAGCAAGAGTTAGAAGCGACGGCACAGAAAAAGAAAAGATGGGCCTATGGACTTGCTTTTTTTCCTGGTGTGAATTTGATCGCGTCTCCCTTGCTGGGATTGCCTTCAAAAGGAGATAAATCCAAAGCGAATTTTCGATCATTTTACAACGTGCTTCCAGCCGTTCTCAACGACTTCAGCGAAATTCCGTTTTTGGTCAACGACAACAATTACGTCGAAAAATGCCTGAAAGAAAATCTTGGAGAGATTGCATTAACTATAGATAATGAGCTAATGATGATGATTTTAAAATTAGCTTAATTTGGTTAAAAATTAAAGCAGTTAATTAGGTAATTAGGTAGGACAGCGGGATGATTATATAACTTGTTTTATACCGATGCATAAATGTTTATATTTGGGCATTTTAGCGCGTCCTTAATCAAATGTGAAAAGGGATTTAAAAATAATCGTTATCTTTTATATTATATGAGGAAAATAAAACAATTCGATGAGGGGGGAACATAGTATACGTTCTATACGTTCTGTGTTTTATTTACCTCATATGATAATAGGCTCTTCTAATAGAGCTGGCGATAACTTAATTAGCTACATTGCAAAAATGCAGAAAATATATGATGCATGGAACCTGCTGAGATAATACATCCATCAGCGTACCTCTTTTTGACACTATATATATTAAAAATGATCAAAATAAACATCGCAAACTTTGAAAAAGGAATATGGCAATAGTTTATTATCACGATGTCAAAGACAATAACAGATGTGCTCAAAATAAGTCAGGAATAACAAAGAAATTTACACAAACCTTCTGACAGGGCTTTCTGAAGAATTGATGAATCGAAGCCTATTGCCAAACAGGGCCACACTTTAGGCCACCTGTGGAATCATAGCGGCGAGTAGCGTGCCGAATGTGCATGACTGCAAAGGACCTTTAAAACAAAAGGCTCGAAAATACTTTTTTTCATTTTGAGCCATCAAACGTGTTTCTTCAAAGGTCTAGAGGGGATATATTATCCGTATATCCCTCTGTATATTGCGTACGTACAATGTTGTTATTTTAACACATCGTACTTACAAGAATATTTTGACGACCACGCGTACTTTCTACAGCTAAGCGTTGCTTGGTCATATGTATGTCGCTTAATTATAACAATTATATCGATCCACAAACCTCTGAAGTGTCAACAGGTTCAATAAATGGCCAGCTGTCTTCATGCCGCATTAGATCTTTTAACAGCTTCTCGCACAGTTTCAACTACACAAGAAATCAGACAGTACTATTATTAAAGTTAAGTATAGCCGAAGAATTTTTACGCACAAACATTATGGCAAGAAGTTATGGTTCTTAGAAGGATGTTTCACCATAAACTCTGAGAGGGCGAGCCGCGAGGAGTGTAAAGGTTTTTCCCTATTATAGGCTTAAAACTCAAAACATTGCCTTAGCTGCAGGTATTTGCATTGACAGCCCAAAACTAGGCGTGCGTCATGCATGTTTATCATCCCCGAGCCGGCGAGGCTACTAATTCCGCCCGGAGATTTCAATTAGGTTTAATTACGGGAATGCAACTTGAAATTGTCCGCCATTATGTCATGCATGGACATTTGGCGTGTTTGTACGTTATGCGCATGCGTTTAAGACGAGTTGAAGCTGGTTGGAACATCACATTGGCCGCGTGAGAGGAGACTGGACTGGCGTATTATAAGTTTGAACAACAAACGTTCTTACACTCCAGATATATTTGGAGGTCACTGCATCGAGATTGTTTGAAATATTACACGTAATACTAAATGTCAGAAAGAGCACGTGCGCAAACTCTAAGGTACAAGGTATCGCGTATTGTCAGTTTCTGTCACGTATTGTCAGTTATACTAATAATGATATAGCCTATTGTAATTGCCAAAAAATATACAGAAAAGAAGATTTTGTGACACCATCCAGTCAATCCAGCCAGTCCGCATGAGTGAATGTAAAGTGCAGGCTGCGCTAAAGTAAGATTAACATCATGTTGGCTCTTTTTCTTTTAAATATTTCTTTGTACCACTACTACATGGTTAATATTAAAACAATTGGACCACTCGTGCCAGTTATCAAAACAATTTTGTCACTTGTAACAAATTTTTGTTACTTTGAATTTAGTCCATATAATAAATTTTTATTTAATAATTTTAATTTTTATAAATGAAAGTATTTATTTGTGTTAAGATCAGCCTAAATTTAAAGTTTTACGTGTTTTCGTGAAATAATTCTAAAGAACGACGCTAATATACCTGCATAAATGATTGTGCAATATTTACAGGGAAATAAACATCTGTCAGCAAAACCGGTTATCAAACCAGTATCACCCGTATATAGGTGGGGCGTGGTTAAAAACGAAAGTGGCTGTATAAAAATAACGTATTTCCCAGAATACATGCACTTGGAATCTGGTCACTCAAACATTCAAACACTTTGGAAAATTTTGTGAACAACAGTATAAGTTGAAGTTGAAACTGAACGAATTTGAAGTTTAAGAATCACTGCAGATATTCTGTGAGCCAACTTACAATTGAAATTCGACGACTATCGCAGGTATTTAATGTTATATATATTTTTTAAAATGGGGAAACCAGCCAGTAGAGCTGATATTTATTAGCTTATTATTGTCCGCGGCGAAAATGCAGTTATATGGAACCTGTTCGCATAATAACCTCCAATAACCTTCAGATAATCTGAGTTTTTGACATTCGTTTATTGGTTATTCAATAGTAAGGTTTTCAGTCGGTAAACGCAAGATTTATCACGGTATTATTGTGCGGCGAGTCTGCTAAATTATTTGCCTTAGCGCTGTGTAAGAAGATGACCAAAATTCATCTTTCACACGTCACAAAAGTCATCACCATACTGCACATTGCGTGTCATTTTGGCTATATAGACAAGCCTATAGGTTTTGGTAGGCAAGATTCTTCTAGCATATATCTTTCACACTGAATATAGAGCTACGCTATAAAATTAGCGTAACAATAGGGATAAATTTTCACGTGAAAAATTCATGTCTTTATTGATATGTATATACCCAACGGAAAAACACTGCATGCATGCATGCTATCCCAGTCCACAAAACCGGTTATGAAACCAGTACTAGAACTGGTAAGGTTAAAAATGAAACTGCAAATAATAAATAACTATATTTTTGCTGTAAAAATCAAACGGTATTCGACAGCAAGTCGGTATCGAAGCTATAAATTACAAGTTTGGATCAGTTGTGATATATCGTGAGACAACTTTCAACTGAATTTCGAAAGCAAAAATAGGTATGGAATGTTTTCATACATAGTGTCATTGTCTTAATTAACGGGAAGAAAAACAGTTATATATAGGTGCCAAGTATATTTCGATATATAGTGTAGCATGCTTACCTCCAGTTTCCTTTCCAGGTCTTTAAAATTTTATTGTATAAACACTAGGGGCCAGTGAATAAATTACCTATAAATGTATTAGTTATAGTTCTAGACTTAGCGAATCACGATAGATGATTTAAGTTAAGGATAAATCATTCCATTGTTGCAAACCAACAACTTACAGCAACAGTTTACACCAAATATGCATGCACTTTATATAATCACACATAAATTATTCCTATATAACAAAACACTTAATGTACAATACCTCGGGAATAGTGAGTTTTGTTTTCCCTCGAGTCTCAATATAACATTCATGCAGACTCTTAGGAAAACAAAACTCACTATTTCCCTCGGGAGCATACATTAAGTGAATAATATATGTTGACTTCTGTCTATTTTTATAAATGAAAATATTTATTTGTGTTAAGATCAGCGTAAATTTAAAGTTTTACGTGTTTTCGTGAAATAATTCTAAAGAACGACGCTAATATACCTGCATAAATGATTGTGCAATATTTACAGGGAAATAAGCATCTGTCAGCAAAACCGGTTATCAAACTAGTATCACCCGTATATAGGTGGGGCATGGTTAAAAACGAAAGTGGCTATACAAAAATAACGTATTTCCCAGAATACATGCACTTGGAATCTGCTCACTCAGACATTCAAACACTTTGGATAATTTTGTGAACAACAGTATAAGTTGAAGTTGAAACTGAACGAATTTGAAGTTTAAATCACTGCTGCTGATATTCTGTGAGCCAACTTACAATTGAAATTCGACGACTATGGCAGGTATTTAATGTTATTTTTTAAAAGTTCTAACAAAATGGGGAAACCAGCCAGTAGAGCTGATATTTATTAACTTATTATTGTCCGCGGCGAAAATGCAGTTATATGGAACCTGCTCGCATAATAACCTCCAATAACCTTCAGATAATCTGAGTTTTTGACATTCGTTTATTGGTTATTCAATAGTAAGGTTTTCAGTCGGTAAACGCAAGATTTATCACGGTATTATTGTGCGGCGAGTCTGCTAAATTATTTGCCTTAGCGCTGTGTGAGAAGATGACCAAAATTCATCTTTCACGTCACAGAAGTCATCACCATACTGCACATTGCGTGTCATTTTGGCTATATAGACAGCCTATAGGTTTTGGTAGGCAAGATTCTTCTAGCATATATCTTTCACACTGAATATAGAGCTACGCTATAAAATTAGCGTAACAATAGGGATAAATTTTCACGTGAAGAATTCGTGTCTTTATTGATATGCATATACCCAACGGAAAAACACTGCATGCATGCATGCTATCCCAGTCCACAAAACCGGTTATGAAACCAGTACTAGAACTGGTAAGGTTAAAAATGAAACTGCAAATAATAAATAAATATATTTTTGCAGTAAAAATCAAACGGTATTCGACAGCAAGTCGGTATCGAAGCTATAAATTACAAGTTTGAATCAGTTGTGATATATCGTGAGACAACTTTCAACTGAAATTCGAAAGCAAAATTAGGTATGGAATGTTTTCATACATAGTGTCATTGTCTTAATTAACGGGAAGAAAAACAGTTATATATAGGTGCCAAGTATATTTCGATATATAGTGTAGCATGCTTACCTCCAGTTTCCTTTCCAGGTCTTTAAAATTTTATTGTATAAACACTAGGGGCCAGTGGATAAATTACCTATAAATGTATTAGTTATAGTTCTAGACTTAGCGAATCACGATAGATGATTTAAGTTAAGGATAAACCATTCCATTGTTGCAAACCAACAACTTACAGCAACAGTTTACACCAAATATGCATGCACTTTATATAATCACACATAAATTATTCCTATGTAACAAAACACTTAATGTACAATACCTCGGGAATAGTGAGTTTTGTTTTCCCTCGAGTCTCAATATAACATTCAGGCTCTAGGGAAAACAAAACTCACTATTTCCCTCGGGAGCATACATTAAGTGAATAATATATGTTGACTTCTGTCTATTTTTATAAATGAAAATATTTATTTGTGTTAAGATCAGCGTATATAAATTTAAAGTTTTACGTGTTTTCGTGAAATAATTCTAAAGAACGACGCTAATATACCTGCATAAATGATTGTGCAATATTTACAGGGAAATAAACATCTGTCAGCAAAACCGGTTGTCAAACCAGTATCACCCGTATAGTTAAAAACGAAAGTGCATAGCTATATAAAAATAACGTACATCTAAGACACGCACTTGGAATCTGCTCACTCAGACATTCAAACACTTTGGATAATTTTGTGAACAACAGTATAAGTTGAAGTTGAAACTGAACGAATTTGAAGTTTAAATCACTGCAGATATTCTGTGAGCCAACTTACAATTGAAATTCGACGACTATGGCAGGTATTTAATGTTATTTTCTTAAAGTTCTAACAAAATGGAGAGAAGAGCCAGTAGAGCTATTATTCCCGGCGAAAATGCAGTTATATGGAACCTTCTTTCATAATAACCCCCAATAACCTTCAGATAAACTTTGAGTTCTTGACATCGTCTATTGGTTATTCCATGGTTTTCAATCAGTAAACGCAAGATTTATCACGGTATTATTGTGCGGCAAGTTTGCTAAATTATTCGCTGTTTAAAAAATGACCAGAATTCATCTTTCACGACACAAAAGTCATCACTCTAGTGCACATTGCGTGTCATTTTGGCTATATAGGTAGTCTAGGTTTTGGTAGGCAAGATTCTTGTAGCATATATATCTTTCACATTGAATATTGAGCTACGCTATAACGTAACCATAGAGATAAATCTTCGCGTGAATAGACTTCATGTCTTTATTTATAGGCATATATGCACAACGGAAAAACAGCTACATGCATGCTATTCCAGTACACAAAACCGGTTATGAAACCAGTACTAGCACCTGTAAGGTTAAAAATGAAACTGCAAAGAATAAAAAACTATGTTTTCTGCTGTATCTTTTTTGAAGGCATGCAGTTTAAAATAAACAACAGGGTAAAAATAAATCTTCACGTGAACAATTCATGTCTCATTGATATTAATATCTACATGCCGGAAAAGTACTGCTAAACCTGTCAAGTAAGTGTCAATAGAAACCAGTTATCAAGCCTGTACGGTTAAAACGAAACTGCTAAGATAAATTAACTTATTTCCTAGACTACAAATTACTTCGAATCAGTTAACACTCGGAAGACTTCTAATAGTTTGTGGTCGACGAGAAGTTTGCATTTTGGCTTGGTTACAAGAATTAAAGACAAAAAGTAGGTATTTTAATAAATCCTTAATATGTTATAAAGTGATATATAGTTTATTAGTTAGTTTTAAACAATTTGATTTCGATGAAATATCCATGAGTAAAATTGCATGCATGGATTTGGCTTTTTTGGTATAAAGTATTTTAATGATGTATTGCAGAATTTTATTAATCCACTTTTATTGTACATAGTCATGGTCGATTAGCCCTTGCTCAGGACAAATGCAAATTTTTAGCTCATAGACATAGCATATAAGGACATGTTTATTCTAGTAATATGTTATTGCCCATCATTTTTTGCCCAGTAAGAAATGATTATTTTTCTTCCTCTTAAACAATTAACGGAACCAAAATTTTTTGGGGGTAATATACCAACAGTGTATATGGAAAAGGTGTTCACTTGATATTAAAATATTGATATCAGAGGTCGGTTGTATAAACATGCATGTAGTAAAAATTTGTTCACACAAAACATGAGCGGTTACTTCATATGTCGTAAAAACAGACACCTTTCGATGAATTTACAGGTGATGAAATAAAATAGTTTGGTTTGTGAATAATAAACTACAAAACCCGGGCAGTATATATAACTGCATGGCATTACATACTTAACTACATTACAAGGATGCAGATATGGAAACTACTCGTATAAAAAAAACAAACACAGGAGTTCAAAATTTTAAACTCCTCAACATTCGTCTACTTGATTTTAGTCAGTTGAATGTACAGCATATTAGTAAAACATTCACGATATTTGACTAATAATTTGCTTTAAAGATGCTAAAAAATTAGCAGCATTTTTTTTAATAGAAGATAAGAAGGTTTAAAAGTAAAGGGGTTTTTTACGAAGCATCCAAGCTTTCGTTAGGAAGATTTCTTTTTTATCTTTCACTTTCGATATCAGGTTTTATTATATGTGTGAGATTTATGCACAGCAGAATGATGAAATATCGTATTCCACAGGGTAATCGCAAAAATATTCAATTTTTAAGGCATCAGTTTCAATTAAACAAGAGGGTAAAAATAAATCTTCATGTAAACTATTCGTGTCTCGTTGATATTCATACATGCTGGAAAAGTACTAGTAAACCTGTCAATATTAAAAACCAGTTGTCAAACCAGTACAATTAAACCGGCCTGTACGGGTGAAAAACTTATTTCCTAGACTACAAATATTTGGAGTCTGTTAACACTCAGAACACAGCGTGTAAAAAGGCGTTCACACATTTCTATATATAGGTCTATATATAGGAAAATATTACGACCGTGCGGTTGCATACGTAGCAAAAATTTGCTATATCGTTAGTGTAAAGATTAGCTAATCACAAAGATTTTGAGTCAACTTCGAACTTAACTAAAAAACAACAAAGTTCGGTGTTATATATAGTTTTCTATCGTAGAATTAGATCTCAACGCAGGGTTGAAATACGCGCACGTCAGAGTTGTTCAGGTAAAAATACCCGAATACAAATATTAAGAGAAGTCAGGGCGAAAAAAAAGAAATTGGCTCATAAAAAGAAATCTGGTCAAGTTGAAAAATCTTAACTATATTTGCTATGTAGTAAAGTTTCGTGATCCAAACTATACTGAAAAGACCTTTCGGCTCTATGATGTCCAGAGATAAAATTTCTCTGCATTACCTTAATTTTTTTACTAACAGAAATAATGGCGGCGTCGCAAAAAAACATTGTGGGTGAAGAAGATATAGTACTATCAGGTGAGGATATTAAAGAAATGACAGAAAACACGCGTTCATTCTCCTTGGCTTTACGAGCCCTTTATACACACAAAGTTCTTGATGATAAAAGTGATGCCGCAATAAAGTTCAAAGATGTTCGAGACGAGACAGCACAGCATGCAAACGTGTATGCGAAACACGTCATTCCTGAAACGACAAATTTTATAAGGTCTCTTAAAGATTACTTCGTGAATTACACCGTTCCATTTGACGATTGGAGCAAAATGTTACCATCTATTTTAATTGAAACGGAGGCTCTGATAACCGATGTGGAGAAACTGTTAGATTTGTACCACAATATCATGGTTCCGTTAAAAAAATGTGAAGATAAGGCACGTGTGATTTCGGCAGAGTTCCATATTTTACAAACGAAGTATGAAGAGGAATGTAAGAAATACGAAAGAGAGGCAGACAAAATAAAAAACAAGTATAGTTTCCAAATCTTAAATCGTATCACGTATCCTTTCCGTACACAGTCTGTTGAAGCAAAGATGGATTTGGCACAAAAAGCGAAAGCTCGTTCAAAACCACACAAAAACGCAGCAGAAATTGTGGATAAAACCTTTATTTCTAAGCTTCAAAAATTTATTGCAAGCTTGGAAAATATATCAGGTTTCTTTACAGTCACTAAACAAGATTTAATATCGTTCAAAGATACTCAAAAGCCGGAAAATAGAAAAAAAATGAAACAGCATTATGACAATATGAATCACGGAGCCAGTGGTATAAAAGCTGCGTGTAATATATTCTTTTCATCACTCCCAGCCGTTACCACCAACTTTGATGCACTTCCTATTCAAGGTTCTGCACAACGACAATCACAATATGTTACTCTGGAAATGCAGCCATCAGAAATACCGCCACAACCAAAATATGTTTTACTGAAATTAAGCCTACCAGAAAATCCATAAGAACTAAAACAAGTTGTACTGGAAATAAAAAAATCAGAAATTCCACCACCAAAAAAACATATTATATTGGAATTAAAACAACCAAAAACACCAGTAAAACCAAGTCTTGTTACAGTGGAAATAAAACAATCAGTAATTCCACCACCAAAACATGTTATACTGGAAATAAAACAATCAGAAACAGCAGCACCACCAAAACCTTTTGTACTGGAAATTGGACCATAAGCAAAGCTAGCATAACCAGAACTTTTTCTACTAGAAATAAAAGAACCAAACAAAGATGCAAACACTACCAGAACACGATCAATAAGAAAAAACCCACCAGAAATATGACATGACTTTTTGTTTAAAAATTCACAAATTCCGAACAAAATCTAGAAGATCATCATATAATTAAATATTTATATAATTAAATACTTCTACAAGGAACCAACTGGAATTCAAACGAGCTAGATAGGTACCAAGATGATTATATGATATGTATGATTGTAAAATATAATCTTGGATTTATATATTAGAATTTAAATGAGAATAGAGTAATGACAAGAGCACAAATATACACACAAGGGCGTATGAAGGGAGGGATGTGACAATTAACAAAATTTATAATAAAATTTGAACATATTGCTTTTGTTATTGGTAAGAAAAACACGGCATAAAATTCAAATAAATTGCCCAAATATTCATAACGTCCTGGGGCGGGTTGTGTGAACGGTGAATAGCGCTATCCACCGGATAGTGATTTTTTCAACCGTTTTAAACATGCACGAAAAGCTATGAAATCACAGATTTGGAGCTAGCAGAGATCCCCCAACTTGAGAACACTACGGTTTAATCGAGGTTATGCCGAACAATTGGTCCTGGATTATTCCCAAATATTTGAGGGACATCACTCAATATCGGCTGTTTCCTGCATGAGTTTCCATTCACACGCTAAATTGAAAAATTGCCAAATGTTAATCAACTTTTTACAACCCATGCTATTTAGATGACAGTAGGTCACTCTAGTCTAATATCCAATTATATATAATTACGAGATTGAGCTAGGGAAAATGGAAAGCTAATTTGGGAGCGATGTATCGGAAAATTACGAAACAAACTCAATAAAAAAGAATTCCCTCGTAATTTGCCAAAAATTTTCCGATAACGACGTTTGTCGAGTCACTAACTTGAAAGTTTAGTAAATGTATCTGAGCTGTTTTGTATCTAGTTTTTTTTTCTCATGAAACTATATAGTGATATTTTTTAAGCATCTGACTATCATTTAGGTCATTATAATATAAGCTTTTTCTGGCTAGCCTAGGAAGTTATTTACTTGTTTCGAAATGGCGAGGAGTTGCTACATTCAGTAGCTACATCTGCTAAACTATCCTGCATAGGCTCTCCATATAGCATTCAAGGACACTGAAAAATCAACGATTGTTTCAGTTTGAAATACTGCGACTGGTTGAGGTGTAATCCATGGCTCCACTTCGATATATATGTAGAAGTTAACACAGCAGGGGCGTAGGAAGCATCCAGAGATTGGGGGGGCACCAGCTTTCAGAGGCAATTTTGGTTAATTATATGGGCAGCTGAAAGTGTGTATAGGGACGGTTTTATTGCCCAAGCTGCACGGACATCACTAGTGTGGTTTATATTTATGCTCTACAAAACGATTTGGGCACGTGTAGGTCGATTTTTCACAATAACATTAGCTTCAAAAGAGGTTTTTCATCACAAAAAGGGAACCTTTCGCCCCTTGAAAACTTTGGGAGGGGGGCAAGTGCTCCCAAATGATAATGTAAGCAGTTCGCTTTCTTCACCCGCACTCGAGGAAAATACATTCACATGTGCCCAAAATTACTCGATAATTATTCGGTGAAAGCGGCAGGTGTCAACAAAGCTACGTCGCTATAGCCTGGAAAAATTTGCGTACGCAATAGTCAAAAATGGTGCTTCACTTTAGGAAAACGGATGTTACGAAGCTTCCCGCAGAAAATGGAATTTTTTAAAATCTTATTGTGCAAAACCAATAAAACAACAATGAAATTTTTAACTTGATGTATTGTAATAATATTGATACTGATAGATTATACTCCATAGTGCTGAGAGCCGAAATTTTAGCTCTGTATATATCCTCATTTTTTACAACAGAAAAGATGTCGGAGTTGCAGGATAACAATGTGACCCAAGGCCAAGTGGACGAGTTAAAAAAGAATTTGAAAAAAATTCCAGAAGACATGCGTGAGGTTTCTTTGAGTTTCCGCGCTCTTTATTCAGACCAAGCTGTTGGTGGTAATAGCGACGCTGCTGTAAAATTCAGAAAGATTCGAGATGACACAAGACAAGATGCAATGGTGTATTTGAAGTGCGTCCTTCCTGAAACGACAAATTTCATAAGGTCTATAAAAGAATACTTCGAGAATTACGAGGGTTTGAAGTATAAAAATTGGTGCGAGATGTTACCAGACATTTTAGAAAATACAAAAACCCAAGGAGACATTGCAACGCAGGTCTTAGGTATGCACAAGACAATTATGAATTCCTTGAAGATACGTCAAACCGAGGCGAAAGATATCATGGAAGAGTTAACAAGCAAGTGTAAAGACGAAGAAAGAGAATATGAAGACCAACACAAAGAAGGCAGTGTAACGACAAATAACGGAGAAAAAAACACCACGGGCTACATGCCTGACTTTGTAAAAAAAATATTTTCGCCTTCTTCCCACGGAAGGTCTACACCTGAAAAAAAGGCGCGTGTAGTTGCTTCAACAACGAATTACGAAATCAACAGAAATGCAGTACAAATTGCGGTTGAGAATCTTATTCCTGCACTGTCTAGATTCATTGATGGTCTTCAAAATGTAGCACAGTTCTTTCAAGTCATTCTAGAGGAACTTGAATCATTTGAAGATAGTACCAAAGAAAAAAAAAAGTGCCATTATGATGTGATTACAAATTCAGTCAGGCAAATTAAATCTCTCTGCAATGCATTCTTCAAAGTACTTCCTGCTGTTAGTTCAGACTTCGAGGCACTTCCCAGCGAGGATACGGACCAAAACTACGTGGACAAATGGTTGGAAAAAACACTTGCAAAAAAATCAGCATCACAAGAACATTCTGAACAAGAAAGTGAACACCAAAAAACACCACCACCGCCATATGGACAAGATAGACCAAAATTTAAGCAAATTAGTTCAGTTTAGGTTTCCCCCTGTAGTAACACTAGATCAATAAGAGATGATCCTTACTGGACCTCTAGGAAGAACAGTTTAGAACTGATAGAGCAATCTAGTATAAATTAAGTTAGTTTAGTTTAGGTTACCTCCTGTAGTAACACTAGATCAAAAAGAGATAATCTTTACTGGACCTCTAGGAAGAACAGTTTAGAACTGTTCACCAAGAACTATGCAGTTTAGAACTCGCGTAGACTGGTATAGAACCTGGAAGAACAGTTTACAACTGATGGGGCTATCAAGTATAAATAAAGGTAAAGTTGCTCCTCTTGAACCTAATTTAAAACTGCCAGAACTTTAAATGCTGTCTAAATGTCTAACAATTACATTATATTACAAATCTTGAAGATATCGCGACAGGTCCAATAAATGGCCAGCTATATCTTCACGTTCTCGCACATCTTAAACTATACAGACATAAAGAAATCGGGTAATATACTATAAGAATAAAAAAAGTTTGAATATTAAAGTCTTGATCGTGTTGTATAATGACAAGAGCAGAAATGCTCACAGCATTTGTCATAATAACTATTGTTCATTGCAAAATTTTTTTGTTTGATTATTCTTGTTTGCAATGAAATTTCAAGAAAATTAAACGAAGTTATAACTGGCAAAGGCAGAGACGAGTAACCTGATTATTAATTTTTAATAACAACCAGAAAATGAATGCTTCGAAGAGAATGTTACTGTTTAAAATCGCGAAGAAAAAATGCTTTTTCTTTAACCGTCATATTAATCTAATAGATAGCAAGTATCGCTGCCAAATCAGAATGCAGCATTTGCATTACAGCACTCGCGTTTGCATTTAGATGTATAGTACAATCACAAAAGGTGATGATTGCGCAGAAGAATTTATATACTGTTGTACATGTTTAGGTGTGCGTGTGTCAAAAGGAATTTTGTGACTTTTCAACTCTGGAACCATGCATAATTAGCATAGATTGCGTTCAATTTTATGGTCTTTACTAGACCTTTACGAAGTACAGTTCAGAACTGATAGAGCTATCCAGTATAAATAAAGTTAGTTTAGTTTAGGTTTCCTCCTGTAGTAACACTGGATCAATAAGAGATGATCCTTACTGGACCTCTAGGAAGAACAGTTTAGATCTAATTGGTGGGGCTATCTAGTACAAATTAAGTTAAAGTTGCTCCTCTTGAACCTATAATTTATAATTGCCAGAACAAAAATTGGGGGGGGTTGAATATTCATATATTCAGTTCTGCCGATGGATTTCTATTTTAAGCTATTGCACTTACAAGTTACAAAAGTTACGCCACTGTCTAGTACAGGTCATACTTGCGTTAGACCTGGTTTACATTGTCAAAGTTTCTGTGATCACAGTTGCAATTTTGCGTTGTTAAATACAAAGTTCTAATCTCAGTATATATTAATTAGTGTTACAGTTTCCTCCAATATTTTCAGCAAACTTGGCATTTGTTATAATATTCTTGTATGTTTGCATGGTGACAGTCGATAAGTAATTTAGCTTGTAGGTACACCACGTAAGTATTTAATACTGCAAAGCTTCCGGTCCGTTGACGCGGGCTTATTTCACTGATGAAGGCCCAGGTTAACGGACGGTAAGCTTTGCAGTATTAAATACTTACGTGGTGTACCTACAAGCTAAATTACTTGGCATTTGTTGTTTGAAAATTCCAACAGTGATCACAGAAAATTTGACAGTGGAAACCGGGCCATATATAATATATATACACTTACCAAATTATACTGAGTTGCTGGCAAATACAAGTTTGACATCACTGATGCAATCTTGGTATTAAAGCCTTACGGTATTATAGCTTTCTTTTAATCGCTCCGACGTCCATCATGGAGTTGAATGATCTCGGTATAATCTGGACCTGAACAACGTAAGATCACTGATCAACAAATTTGAATAAAATAAACACAATTCCTGGATTCCTGGAGGAACAATTTGAAACTGACTGAGCTATAAGGGAAACTAAGGTTAGTATACGCGTATAATAGGTTAATTTGCAGATAATGACATATAAACTTAACATCATGCTGTTAATTCGACAACTGCAACTTCGCATGTGCCAAACGTTCAAGATCAATATAGATTAATTGATCAACGAATTAAATGCTGGCAAGAATGTGTTCTGTTAGTTCTGTTTTGAAGTTTTTTAAGTGAAGTAGAGGTACGTACATGAAAAGAGTTCATATTGAGATACTAACGAAGGCCCTCAGGTCGAAACGTCGAGAAATGCATGTTTTGTTCATTTTAGGCAGTTGTTATACCACATTTGCAGCTTAATATTGAGATGTTATATATAGCGAGTTTTGTATTACATGTGCATAATCCATGCAAAACGATAAATAATTTATTCAACTTGTTGCATAATGTAGAGAAAGAGTATAAAGTATTTTTCTCTACCATG